GCGTCGTCGTGGTCGTCGTCGTCGTCGTCTGGCGTCGTCCGGCGTCGTCCGAAGACACATTGGTTTTCGCACTCTAACTTTAGTTTAAGTGAATGGATCTCCATGAAATTTTACCATAAGGTCCAATACCACGAAAGGAAGGTTGGGATTGATTTTGGGGGTTATGGTACCAACAGTTAAGGAATTAGGGGCCAAAAAGGGGCCAAAAATAAGCATTTTTGTAACTTCCAGACAATAACTTGTGTGTAAGTGTATGGATCTCTCTGACATTGTACCACAAGGTTCCATATCACAAAGGGAAGGCTGGGATTGATTTTGGGGGTAATTGCCTCAAAATTTTAGGAATTAGGGGCAAAAAAGGGGCAAAAAACAAGCATTTTTCTAGTTTCATGACAATAACTTGTGTGTAAGTGTTTGGATATTTCTGAAATTGTACTACAAGGTTCCATATCACAAAGGGAAAGCTGGAATTGAGTTTGGGGGTAATTGCCCAAAACGTTTAGTAATAAGGGGCCAAAAAGGGGCCAAAAATAAGCATTTTTCTAGTTTCCAGACAATAACTTGTGTTCAAGTGTATGGATCTCTCTGAAATTGTACTGCAAGGTACCATACCACAAAGGGAAGGCTGGTATTGAGTTTGGGGGTGATGAATCATAAGGGGGTTCAAAAAATTTGGGAGGGGGGATTTTTTGTTTTTCTTTTTTTTTTTTTTTTCCTTTTTTTTTTCTTTTAAAATTTTCCATTTTAAGTTGGTTATTTCTGATTAATATTTAAAAGCAAATAATAATGATATGGTAGGAGATACACACCAAACAGGATGTGTAAATTATTACATAATAAGTATTGTGCAATAGCAAGAAATTTTCAATTGCACAGTATTGCACAATAGCAAGAAATCTTCAATTGCACAGTATTGCGCAATAGCAAGAAATCTTCAATTGCACAGTATTGCGCAATAGCAAGAAATATCCAATAGCACAATATTGCGCAATAGCAAGAAATTGTCAATTGTACAGTATTGCGCAATAGCAAGAAATATTCAATTGCACAGTATTGTGCAAAAGAAGATACTTCGTATAAATTGCTTATTTCTTGATCAATTTCAATGGGGTTTTATTCTTGAATTCTTGGGGTTCTTTAATATGCTGAATCTAACCGTGTATTAAGTTTTTGGATTTTGGGCCCCATTTTTAAATTGGTCCACATTGAGGTCCAAAGGGTCCAAAATTTAACTTTGTTTGATTTCATCAAAAATTGAATTATTGGGGTTCTTTGATATGCCGAATCTAACCGTGTATTTAGATTCTTAATTTTTGGTTCCGTTTTCAAATTGGTCTACATTAAGGTCCAAAGGGTCCAAAATTAAACTTAGTTTGATTTTAACAAAAATTGAATTTTTAGGGTTCTTTGATATGCTGAATCTAAACATGTATTTAGATTTTTGATTATGGGCCCAGTTTTCAAGTTGGTCGAAATCGGGGTCCAAAATTAAACTTTGTTTGATTTCAACAAAAATTGAATATATGGGGTTCTTTGATATGCTGAATCTAACCATGTATTTAGATTTTTGATTTTTGGGCCCCGTTATCAACTTTGTCCACATTGAGGTCAAAAGGGTCCAAAATTAAACTTTGTTTGATTTCATCAAAAATTGAATTCTTGGGATTCTTTGATATGCTGAATCTAACCATGTATTTAGATTTTGGATATTGGACTATAAAAGGTGAATGTCAAATTTAAAATTTTTAAGTTCTTAGACCACATTCATTCTGTCTCAGAAACCTATGCTGTGTCAAATATTTAATCACAATCCAAATTCAGAGCTGTATCAAGCTTGAATGTTGTGTCCATACTTGCCCCAACTGTTCAGGGTTCGACCTCTGCGGTCGTATCAAGCTGCGCCCTGCGGAGCATTTTATTTGTTATTATTTTGAATATTATTATAGATATATAAAAACTGTAAGCAGCAATAATGTTCAGCAAAGTAAGATCTACAAAAAAGTTAATATGACCATAATTGGCAATTGACCCCTTAAGGAGTTATTGCCCTTTAAAGACAATTTTACACAATTTGTTCATCAAGTTTGCTAACATTTAAAAATCTTCTCCTCTGAAACTACTGGGCCAATTACCTTCAAACTTTAACTAAATGTTCCTTAGGGTATTTTGTTTATAAATTGTATCCGAAGTTTGTATCCATCGACAAACATTGCCGCCATGGCTAAAAATAGAACATAAGGGTCAAATGCAGTTTTTGGCTTATATCTCAAAAACTAAATCTTTTAGAGCAAATGTGACATGGGGTAAAATTATTTAATTGTCAAGATCTATCGGTCCTGAAATTATCAGACGAATCGAACAACCCATTGTTGGGTTGCTGCCAGTGAATTGGTAATTTTAACAAAATTTTGCAGTTTTTATACGACCGCAAAAAAATTTTGTGGTCGTATATTGGTATGACGTTGGCGTCGTCATCGTCGTCGTCGTCGGCGTCGTCCGAAGACACATTGGTTTTCGCACTCTAACTTTAGTTTAAGTGAATGGATCTCTATGAAATTTTACCATAAGGTTCAATACCACAAAAGGAAGGTGGGGATTGATTTTGGGGGTTATGGTACCAACAGTATAGGAATAAGGGGCCAAAAATAAGCATTTTTGTAACTTCCAGACATAACTTGTGTGTAAGTGTATGGATCTCTCTGACATTGTACCACAAGGTTCCATATCTCAAAGGGAATGCTGGGATTGATTTTGAGGGTAATTGCCTCCAAATTTTAGGAATTAGGGGCAAAAAAACAAGCATTTTTCTAGTTTCATGACCATCACTTGTGTGTAAGTGTATGGATCTCTCTGACATTGTATCACAAGGTTCCATATCACAAAGGGAATGCTGGGATTGATTTTGGGGGTAATTGCTTCCAAATTTTAGGAATTAGGGGCCAAAAAGGGGCCAAAAACAAGCATTTTTCTAGTTTCATGACAAAAACTTGTGTGTAAGTGTATGGATCTCTCTGACATTGTACCACAAGGTTCCATATCACAAAGGGAATGCTGGGATTGATTTTGGGGGTAATTGCCTCCAAATTTTAGGAATTAAGGGCCAAAAAGGGGCAAAAAACAAGTATTTTTCTAGTTTCATGACAATAACTTGTGTGTAAGTGTATGGATCTTTCTGAAATTGTACTACAAGGTTCCATATCTCAAAGGAAAAGCTGGAATTGATTTTGGGGGTAATTGCCCATAACGTTTAGGAAAAAGGGGCCAAAAATAAGCATTTTTCTAGTTTCCAGACAATAACTTGTGTTCATATGTATGGATCTCTCTGAAATTGTACTGCAAGGTACCATACCACAAAAGGAAGGCTGGGATTGATTTTGGAGGTAATTCCCTCAAAATTTTAGGAATTAGGGGCCATAAAGGGGCAAAAAAACAAGCACTTTTCTAGTTTCAGGACAATAACTTGTGTGTAAGTGTATGGATCTTTATGAAATTGTACTGCAAGGTTCCATATCACAAAGGGAAAGCTGGGTTTGAGTTTGGGGGTAATTGCCCTTAACGTTTAGGAATTTGGGGCCAAAAAGGGGCAAAAAAACAAGCATTTTTCTAGTTTCCAGACAATAACTTGTGTTCAAGTGTACGGATCTCTGAAATTGTACTGCAAGGTACCATACCACAAAGGGAAGGCTGGGATTGAGTTTGGGGGTGATGAATTATAAGGGGGTTCAAAAAATTGGGGGGGGATCTTTTTTTCCTTTTTTTTCTTTAAAATTTTCCATTTTAAATTGGTTTTATCTGATTTATATGTAAAAGCCAATAATAATGATATGGTTTGAATAGGTAAATTAAATTTTTTTAAGTTCTTACACCACATTCATTCTGTGTCAGAAACCTATGCTGTGTCAAATATTTAATTACAATCCAAATTCAGTGCTGTATCAAGCTTGAATGTTGTGTCCATACTTGCCCCAACTGTTCAGGGGTCGACCTCTGCGGTCGTATCAAGCTGCGCCCCAGCGGAGCATTTTATTTGTTATTATTTTGAATATTATTATAGATATATATAAACTGTAAGCAGCAACAATGTTCAGCAAAGTAAGATCTACAAAAAAGTTAATTTTAATTTAAAGACAATTTTACACAATTTGTTCATCAAGTTTGCTAACATTTAAAAATCTTCTCCTCTGAAATACAGGGGAGCGATTCAGGCTATTGAGAGCATCTTGTTTCTTCTTGCTTGAAGATATTGATTTGATATTTGGTATATAGTTTTATCAGGACAAGTTACAGATCAAGTTCGAATTTTGTTCCGGTCTGATGATTTTGTCCAGAGTTATTAATAGTCCTTGGACTTAGAAAATTCATTCAAATAATCAGTTTTCCGCACTTTTTTTCATCATGCTTGAAGATATTGATTTGCTAATTGGTATAGTTTTATCATGACACTGGTCTAATGGTTTGTGCAGAGTTATGGTCCTTTGACTTGGAAAATTCACTCAAATAATTAGTTTTCCACACTTTTTGTTCGTCATGCTTGAAGATATTGACTTAATATATGTTATATAGTTTACACTGTGACAAGTTATAGATCAAGTTTGGATTTTGTTCCAGTATAACAAATTTTTAACTGGTAAGGGACTATGTATTGCCATATATGCAATACTCTCAGATTTCAATTTCATTGCACAGACATTAAATAACTGAATTTGGATGGTAAGTACTGGTATTACTTTTTATTTCAGTGCACTCACTTCATACTAACACCCTCTCACTGAAGCAATTAATTAGCTTAGATATTTTACCAGTTGATCAGTTTGTGGAGAAGATTCAAACTGAAATTTGGTAAACTATTTGAGCAATTGGTATTATGATAGGGCAAAACCTTGAGGATAGGCACAGTAAAAAGTATTTTTAAGAGCACCATTTGTAATTTTTCAATGTAAGTTGTCTTATTTTTCTGTTGAGAACATGTATCATATATTATTCCATTCTGTATATTTCAGTGTGATTGTTGCCAGAGTTGTAGAGGCAAGTTTGATTTCCTCAGGAGAAGAAAGGTGGGTTGGAAGAAAAATCACCAATCAAAATTTTATTAAAGCTATAAAATGTTTGTGTTGATTTTAGAGAAGGTTTCAATTGAACCATAGGACATAATGTATCGGTATAAAATATCTCTTTAATGGAAGAATTATCTTCCAAGTATCATTCCTTTGAATTGAATATTCTTTTGTCAGATAGTGTTTATTGAAATAAATTAATTTTGAATCAATTTTATATAAATAAGAAGATGTGGTATGAGTGCCAATGAGACAACTCTCCATCCAAGTCACAATATATGAAAGTTTTATAGTTGATATTATTTATTGTATTCAATTCTCTCTGGCACTTTCGGGACAAAAAGTTTACTAAAGAACAAATTCCTTCTATTTTAAAGTTCAAGTATAATAAGAATTATTTTCCTTTAAATCGGTACATATTTTGCATATATAGCTTGATACATTGAATTTTGTTTAAAAAAATTTCTGTAACCTTAATTGCACTGTTTCTTAGAACTTTAATAATAACTAATGTATGTCTAGACATTTTTTCTCTGTGTTTAAATTATGAAGTCCTTAGCGTTTGGCAACAAATAACAGAATTTGTAGGAAGATTTCACCAGTTTGTTTTATGACATCCACATACATGTACATGTTTTTCAGGTTTGATGTCATTGTATGATGTGGTTTATAATTGATAAATGTAAATACAAATTTTCCCAATGTGAAAACTAACAACATATCTTTCTGAAAGAGACCCAGTTCATGTAGGTTATAGAAATGGGACTTTGAAACAACCTTTGGAATGAATAATTTAGGAAATAAGCAATTTGATTATCTATTTGTTTTTTTTTTAAATTAAGATTTATTTAATATATGCACACTCACTTGAATTTCTGGCAGTAAGTGGTGGAAAATTGGTTAATTTTTTTTCCCTAATTTTGAATCACTGCTATATTAGTCTGATTAAAATCAAACCTCTCACTTGCTATCGTTTATTTATATATCGCGCGTGGGAGCATAACAGAAAACGGGAGCGCTGAGAGGTTTGATTTTAATCAGACTGCTGCTATATATACATGTACTGAAAACATTATTTTTTTACCCAATTTATGCATATTGCTAAAAATTCAGTTGAATGTAATATATCATATGAAAAGATATGCAATTATGCATTAATATGTTTGATCTTTTTTCCAGCATCACTGTAGAAGATGTGGGCGGTGTTTCTGTGATAGTTGTTGCAACACCAAAGTAGCTTTACCTAGAATGTGCTTTATTGATCCTGTACGGCATTGTGCAACATGTATTCAAACCACAAAGAAAGAAAACGAATTCTTCGATAAACATGTGAAAACTCTTGTCAATGGTTTGTATAAGGCAAACTGATATTTCGTTTTTGTTCTGTGCTATTAATGTTCAAGAACAGAGATGATTTTGTTCTGTGTTATTCAGAATTTGTCCATTACGATTTCTTTATGAAACATAGTAATAGACTATTTTCATATTATTGACTTTTGACTCCGAGTATATTTTATCTACAGGTTACCTACTCTGTGGTGGGACATTCTGGTACTCTTGTCAAGTAAGAGCAAAGGTAAAAAGTCAATAATATGAAAATAGTCTATTGTTGACCTGTACTGCCATTTTCACTTTTATTTTTAATAAACAAAATAATTTTCTGTGCAAGACAGAATATTTATATGAGTTAGGACACTTGGTATTAAGTGGTTCTGATTCAGGGACAAGGACTCTCACGGTATAAAAAAAATATATATAAATAGATGTCTGAGTCAGTGAATAAATCAACAAAAAATTGAAATATGACACTGTGAAACTTTTGAATCAGGACACACACTACACAGTGAATAGTTGTTAAACTTTTTTTAACTGAATAACCTGCCTAATATGAACAACACATTCATCTTAAAAAGGTTCTGTCTACACAGATTTGACTATATGACTATTCCAAATGAGTTTTATCTATTGTAATTTAACACATACTATGTCTTGCCATTGATCATAAATGCCCTTCTGCATTTTGCTTTGTATACTTAGATGTTTCCTTAGATGTAAGTTGTCTGTGTATAAATATTTATATCATTATAGGTGGAGAGTTTATGTTGTCTGGAAAGGACCAGTCAGACATAGAATCACAGTTTCTGTGTAAATTATCATCAGATCACAGGTATTTCTTTAATCTAGAAAAATGACAAATTATTTTTAGATTTTATTAATGCTAGATTTAACTAATTTCATGATATAAAAAAATTAGCTCTGCCTGCAAGTCATGATTTTTGTCGTTCTCTCAATTTTTTATACGGCTGCACAAAAATTTTGCGGTCGTATATTGGTTTAGGCGGCGTCGTCGTCGTCCGAAGACACATTGGTTTTCGCACTCTAACTTTAGTTAAAGTGAATGGATCTCTATGAAATTTTACCATAAGGTTCAATACCACAAAAGGAAGGTTGGGATTGATTTTGGGGGTTATGGTACCAACAGTTAAGGAATTAAGGGCCAAAAAGGGGCCAAAAATAACCATTTTTGTAACTTCCAGACATAACTTGTGTGTTAGAATATGGATCTCTCTGACATTGTACCACAAGGTTCCATATCACAAAGGGAATGCTGGGATTGATTTTGGGGGTAATTGCTTCAAAATTTTAGGAATTAGGGGCAAAAAAGGGGCAAAAATAAGCATTTTTCTAGTTTCATGACAATAACTTGTGTTAGTGTATGGATCTTTCTGAAATTGTACTGCAAGGTACCATACCACAAAGGGAAGGCTGGGATTGAGTTTGGGGTTGGTGAATCATAAGGGGTTCAAAAAATTGGGGGGGATTTTTTTTCCCTTTTTTTCCTTTTTTTTTCTTCAAAATTTTCCATTTTAAATTGGTTATTTCTGATTAATATATAAAAGCCAATAATAATGATATGGTTTGAATAGGTAAATTGAAATTTTTTAAGTTCTTAGACCACATTCATTCTGTGTCAGAAACCTATGCTGTGTCAAATACTTAATCACAATCCAAATTCAGAGCTGTATCAAGCTTGAATGTTGTGTCCATACTTGCCCCAACTGTTCAGGGTTCGACCTCTGCGGTCGTATCAAGCTGCGCCCAACGGAGCATTTTATTTTAAAGATGGCCAGGGAAACCAAAAAATAGAAAATTATTTAAGAATTATATATGAATGCAAGATTTCTACATATTTATTATATCCTCCTTATAGTTACATTCAAATTTAATGGTGAATCAAATGAAACTCTCCACAGAGTCATCTCCTCTTGGACAAGGTATTTAAACTTTCGTCAGTTCAATTGTTCATTAAATAGATACAATAGCTATTGAATATATATTATTGATATTGAAAAAAAATACAACATCACATGCAGTATTGTTAGTTGATTACATGCATTTTCATCTACTTAAATGATGAGTTTTGCTTCATGTAAATTAATCAAGGAGTGATGGATTTCTCTTAGAAGAAATTTAAAGGTCCCAGTGAATAAACTACACAGAGAACAATAAATATGCTGACAAAAGTTTAAATACATTGACTAGAAGGACATGACTCTGTGGAAGAGCTACATTTGGTTCACAATAATGTATTCTAAATTAAGGTAATTTTAATCAAATTGGTTTCTACCTTATTCCAGATTTCTACATTTTGAAGCAGAGAGTGATAAATATGAGTCCATTAAGGTGTCTAATTTGGAGTCTTTACAGATCATGGCCAATAGTCGAGATCTGGAAGGTAATGTCAGTGACCATTCACTCTTACAGTGACTACAAACATGTTAATAAAATAACCATGAATGACAAAATCAACCAATTTTCTTAATGCAAATGGGAGAACATGTGGGGTATACCTAAATGAGACAGGAAAACAATGACACAAAAACCTTAAGATATCAAGAGGATATTGTTGAACAGTTAAAAACAGTTTGTTTTGTGTCATTGCACCATGTTGCCATTTTGAATACAATATACAATTGCAGATATGGATTGGAGAGTATGTATACTAATTTATACAATTGGCTGTTAGTAAAATTGAATCATAACTAATTCCCGTGAGGTCTTCATTTCATGAATCTGTACAAATATAATGGGTTTTTTTCCGCATGTAAAGATATAAAGGGAAATAACTCTAAAAACTTTGCTTGAAATAAGCTAATCCCTTCCAAAATATAACAAAAAGTAATTTTCAAGAAACATAAACAAAATTTGTTGCTGCAATTAATTTTTCCAAGATGGTAAATTTTCTTTCTGTATTAAGTGAAACTTGAAACAAGTTATTTTATAGATTCAGCCGGTGTAAATTAAGTTTTAATGAACACACAGAAAAATTGTAAAATCCCCTTGTGAGGAAAATATTTGAATGAATATAAAATGTTATCATACAAAGTTTTATTTGTTTATGCTGCTTTCTGTAGATGATAATGGTGAGATTGATGTTGTTGATGTGTTTTACATGTTGTAATGAATTCTTATTTCAGGCTTATTCTGATTATTCTGATTATAAAATTATTAAAAATAACAACCAGATATTTTTTTTTTTGCTGAAATATACATTTTTTTTGTAACCTACATGTTCATCCTTTTTAAAAATGCAACTTTAGCATTTCTGTTATAAAGATATTATATAATATGTGATAACATCTAGTTCAATTATAGAAAAGTTGTATACTAGGAAATTCAAATATGTGTTTGATATTTCTATGTTAATAATCCTATGAAAGATTCAAAAGGTAAGTATTATATTCATTTCAAGTCTTTTTCAGGTTTTTACTTGTGATTTTACATTATTTTTTTATGCTCAAGTGAAAATTTTAGGAAATACTCTTGCCACTGGTCTTGCATTGAAATATAAGAATAGCAATGATGTAATGACAATGGTCAAGATGGTTGTCACAACAGGGGCCAATAAGAAACAAGCACAAATATGGATAGCAGCTATGCAAAAGGTATTTAGAATATATCACCTTAGACAGTCTTTATTGATATTTTTAGACCTTTTTGAGTCCAACTGTTCCCAATGATTTATACATCTTTTGCTCTCCTACTTTTGGTTTTTATATGACCGCAAAAAAATTTTTGTTGGTCGTATATTGGTATGACGTTGGCGTCGTCGTCCGAAGACGCATTAGTTTTCGCACTCTAACTTTAGTTTAAGTGAATGGATCTCTATGAAATTCTACTATAAGGTTCAATACCACAAAAGGAAGGTGGGGATTGATTTTGGGGGTTATGGTACCAACAGTTAAGGAATTAGGGGCCAAAAAGGGGCCAAAAATAAGCATTTTCTAGTTTCCAGACAATAACTGTGGAACGGTGTATGGATCTCTCTGAAATTATACTACAAGTTTCCATATCACAAAGGGATGGTTAGGATTTGCTTTGGGGGGTTATGGCTCAAACCGTTTAAGAATTAGGGGCAAAAAAGGGGGAAAAACAAGGTTGTCCTGGTTAATGGACAAATACTTTAGTACAAAACATAATTTAAAGCAGTGTAAGGGAGATAAATCAAATACATTATTGAAATTATCTCCCTTACACTGCTTTTAAATTATGTATAAAGTAATGGTTAATGAACAATTAAGATAATTTAAAACAGTGTAAGGGAGGTAATCCAAATACAATGTTTTGGTTACTTCCCTTACACTGCTTTTAAATTATGTTTAAGGAAATGCATATTTATAAAGGAAGACCAGTAAAAATATCTGCAAATGTTGCATCTTTTTTTTTTACAACAAAATCCATATGAAAGATTTGACACTATATTTTAAATTCTATTATAAAATAGATTAAGTTAGCACTATGGTAAATTTAAATGGGTAATTATGGTTGCAAACTCAATTGGAAATTTGAATTGAGATTATGACCATATCTTGAGGGAAAGAATTTTTTTGGGGAAAAAAGGGGGGGTGGGTTTAATGAAATTGTGGGGGGTCAATTTTTTCTCATTTCAGATTTCAGAAATTAAAAAGAATTATTCTTCAAATATTATTTTTTTTTCAAATTTCAAATATTGAAAAATTTCAAGAAGTAATCTTTAATTGGACAGTATGGCGCATGAGATTTGTAAAATCTTTGACCACATTTATTTATTTGTTATGCCGAATCTAACAGTGTATTTAGATTTTTAATTTTGGGTCCAGTTTTCAAATTGGTCTACATTAAGGTCCAAAGGGTCCAAATTAAACTTTGTTTGATTTTAACAAAAATTGAATATATGGGGTTCTTTGATATGCTGAATCTACACATGTATTTAGATTTTAGATTTTTGGCCCAGTTTTCAAGTTGGTCCAAATTGGGGTCCAAAATTAAACTTTGTTTGATTTCAACAAAAATTGAATATATGGGGTTCTTTGATAATCTGAATCTAACCATGTATTTAGATTTTTTATTTGTGGACCCCGCTATCAAATTGGTTCATATTGAGGTCAAAGGGGTCCAAAATTAAACTTTGTTTGATTTCAACAAAAATTGAATATACGGGGTTCTTTGATATGCTGAATCTAACCATGTATTTAGATTTTTGATTTTTGGGCCCCGTTATCAACTTTGTCCACATTGAGGTCAAAAGGGTCCAAAATTAAACTTAGTTTGATTTTAACAAAAGTTGAATTCTTGGGGTTCTTTGATATGCTGAATCTAAACATGTGTTTTGATTTTTGATAATGGGCCCAGTTTTCAAGTTGGTCCAAGTTGGGGTCCAAAATTAAACTTTGTTTGATTTCAACAAAAATTGAATATATGGGGTTCTTTGATATGCTGAATCTACACATGTATTTAGATTTTAGATTTTTGGCCCAGTTTTCAAGTTGGTCCAAATTGGGGTCCAAAATTAAACTTTGTTTGATTTCAACAAAAATTGAATATATGAGGTTCTTTGATATGCTGAATCTAACCATGTATTTAGATTTTTTATTTGTGGACCCCGCTATCAAATTGGTTCATATTGAGGTCAAAAGGGTCCAAAATTAAACTTTGTTTGATTTCAACAAAAATTGAATATACGGGGTTCTTTGATATGCTGAATCTAACCATGTATTTAGATTTTTGATTTTTGGGCCCCGTTATCAACTTTGTCCACATTGAGGTCAAAAGGGTCCAAAAGTAAACTTAGTTTGATTTTAACAAAAATTGAATTCTTGGGGTTCTTTGATATGCTGAATCTAAACATGTGTTTAGATTTTTGATAATGGGCCCAGTTTTCAAGTTGGTCCAAGTTGGGGTCCAAAATTAAACTTTGTTTGATTTCAACAAAAATTGAATATATGGGGTTCTTTGATATGCTGAATCTATACATGTATTTAGATTTTAGATTTTTGGCCCAGTTTTCAAGTTGGTCCAAATTGGGGTCCAAAATTAAACTTTGTTTGATTTCAACAAAAATTGAATATATGGGGTTCTTTGATATGCTGAATCTAACCATGTATTTAGATTTTTTATTTGTGGACCCCGCTATCAAATTGGTTCATATTGAGGTCAAAGGGGTCCAAAATTAAACTTTGTTTGATTTCAACAAAAATTGAATATACGGGGTTCTTTGATATGCTGAATCTAACCATGTATTTAGATTTTTGATTTTTGGGCCCCGTTATCAACTTTGTCCACATTGAGGTCAAAAGGGTCCAAAATTAAACTTAGTTTGATTTTAACAAAAGTTGAATTCTTGGGGTTCTTTGATATGCTGAATCTAAACATGTGTTTTGATTTTTGATAATGGGCCCAGTTTTCAAGTTGGTCCAAGTTGGGGTCCAAAATTAAACTTTGTTTGATTTCAACAAAAATTGAATATATGGGGTTCTTTGATATGCTGAATCTACACATGTATTTAGATTTTAGATTTTTGGCCCAGTTTTCAAGTTGGTCCAAATTGGGGTCCAAAATTAAACTTTGTTTGATTTCAACAAAAATTGAATATATGGGGTTCTTTGATATGCTGAATCTTACCATGTATTTAGATTTTTTACTTGTGGGCCCGCTATCAAATTGGTTCATATTGAGGTCAAAATGTCCAAAATTAAACTAAGTTTGATTTCATCAAAAATTGAATTATTGGGGTTCTTTGATATGCCAAATCTAACCGTGTTTTTAGATTTTTAATTTTGGGTCCCATTTTTAAATTGGTCTACATTAAGGTCCAAAGGGTCCAAAATTAAACTTAGTTTGATTTTAACAAAAATTGAATTCTTGGGGTACTTTGATATGCTGAAAGTTGGGCCCCGTTATCAACTTTGTCCACATTGAGGTCAAAAGGGTCCAAAATTAAACTTAGTTTGATTTTAACAAAAATTGAATTCTTGGGGTTCTTTGATATGCTGAATCTAAACATGTGTTTAGATTTTTGATAATGGGCCCAGTTTTCAAGTTGGTCCAAGTTGGGGTCCAAAATTAAACTTTGTTTGATTTCAACAAAAATTGAATATATGGGGTTCTTTGATATGCTGAATCTAGCCATGTATTTTGATTTTGGACATTGGACCATAATTGGTAAATTAAAAAAATTGAAGTTCTTAGACCACATTCTTTCTGTGTCAGAAACCTATGCTGTGTCAAATATTTAATCACAATCCAAATTCAGAGCTGTATCAAGCTTGAATGTTGTGTCCATACTTGCCCCAACTGTTCAGGGTTCGACCTCTGCGGTTGTATCAAGCTGCGCCCAGAGAAGCATTTTATTTGTGTTCTAGATTCCAGTTGAATGTTCAGAAAGTGATTTGAACATGGTAGTCAGTGTGCTTTTAAAAAACACTGAATCTTTAACATTAGGAAACAGATTATAACCTTTTCTGATGCCCTAAATGATTCATTGATAAGTATTTGTACTATTGTTTAGTGTTGAGTTTTAGGAATTTCTGTCAGAATCTATGGAAGTACAGTACACTTTGATTTCTTTAAAATACAAGGGATCATCAAAGTTTATTCTACTTTATAGATGTTTTCAAGTTATGTAAAGTTCTTTTCCACAAATTAGAATTTACATTACAAAATGTGTTCTGAAAATGCATTTAAAGTGACAGTTTTCCGATGAGGCAAGGAAAACATTTTAGAAAAAAATGTCAAACTGTCACTAGTATTGAACAGAAAATATTTCATATCTGTGTGTGATTTTAAATCGTTATTCGTTATGCAAGTTCACATGCAAAATATATTTATAAAAGAATATTAATACATCAAAAGGATAATATGAATTACCTAAAACATTAGACAGTACAACACTCCACACAAACGACCAAAACCTTAAGATTCCTCAGAAAAAATAGATGTACATTTGTAAAATAAATAAAGACCAACAATACTAACAACATAGTGTCCAGATATTCTTAAATTGATTTAAAAGACTTGAAATCAAACAAAGAGGCGAGGTAACTTACTTAAACCATAAAACCTCATATAATTTACTGAATATCTATAAGATGACAAGGTCATGAATTTGAAAGACTGAATAAAATTACTTTTCCTACAGTAAATAGTGGGATTGGATACAGAGTGTGTTAACCTAGCATGCACACATTAAGGAGTAAAATTGGCTTTTCCTACAGTAAATAGTGGGATTGGATACAGAGTGTGTTAACCTAGCATGCACACATTAAGGAGTAAAATTGGCTTTTCCTACCATAAATAGTGGGATTGGATACAGAGTGTGTACACCTAGCATGCACACATTAAGGAGTAAAATTGGCTTTTCCTACCATAAATAGTGGGATTTGATACAGAGTGTGTACACCTAGCATGCACACATTAAGGAGTGGACATGCTTGTTTACTTCATTTTATTATAAGGCTTGCAAGTATAACCTTTGAAACAAGCAGAAATAAATATAAAAATAAGGAGATGAGGTATGATTGCCAATGATACAGCTATCCACCAAAGTTCAAATGAAGTAGATGTAAGCAATTATAGGCAACTGTACAGCCTTCAACAATGAGAAAAACCCATACTGTATAGTCAGCTATAAAAGGCCCGATATAAAAAATGTGAAACAATTCAATTGAGAAAACTAACGGCCAAATTTATAACAAAACAATTTACTAAAAACAAATATGACCAACATGAACCAAAAACAACCACTGAACTACTGGCTCCTGATTTGGGACAGGCACATAAAGAATGTGGCGTGGTTAAACATGTTTGTGAGCGCTCAACCCTTTCCTAACCTGGGACAATGGTGAAACAGCACAACATAAGAACAAACTATAAAAATCAGTTGAAAAAGGCTTATCTCATCAGATCGGTACAAAGCAGAAGAATCAAACAAAAACACAGACCAGACGTGGCAGGGTATTTATCCATCCCTCATCCCAAACAACAAAATCGATACTAAGTACAGATCTGAGAGTACTCGTAGTTACTGACAGCTAGTTCAAAGCCAATAACAACTAATAAAAAAAATCTTTTATCTAAGACTAAAATATCAATCAGTACGCATCCAACCTCCAATGGATTTAGTATAAGGACATCATAAACCGTTAGAGAAATTTGGTTCATGATTTTACATAACATACAAAAATGTTGAGGGAACATGGTTGGGCTGTCCACTTGACAATTTGAAATAATAAAATTCTCTTATGAACTGTAGTGACTTACGTTTTTACAATTTTTTTTATTCTTTTCTATTTCAGGCATTTAAAATGGTGTATGAAGGTAGACAGGCAATGAGGGCATGATGCAAGCAAAACATTTCTCTTGTTCTGTTATTTGTTAATGAAAACTTTGAGAAACGTTGCAATTTTAAGAATTGGATAAAGTCTAAATTCAGCACCTCAGCTGTTGGTGAAGATTTTTTTCTGTGTTTGAAATGTATTTATGTACTATAGTCAAATTACTGATGCAATTTGCAGTTAGTACTTAGAATGAAGTCTTCAGTCTTCACTGAAACTGTCAAACAAAATTTATTAGAAATACACTCTATGAATCTCAAGTTTAATGACTTGAGATATTGACTGTGTTTACTTTCAGAAAGTATAAAGAAGATTTTTAAATGAGAGTCAACTCTTTAGTTTTTCTTTCTTTTGAAGTTTTGCTGAAAACCATGCAATTTAGATTAAGTTTTTATGCAAGGTCTTTATTCATCTGAGGTGCTGAATTTGACTGTTAATTCTTTTATAAAACTATATTTTTTAAGGTAATTCAAAATGTGATATTGTACATAAATCAGCATTGGAGTTGTTGTAATTTTGGGTATTTTAAGGGCATTGTTACTTAGTTTTAGCATTAGTCAATACAAAGAGCTGTTTAAGTTTTGATGAAAAGGTGGTGATATTGTGACCAGCATATATACAACATGCTAGAATGTTTTACTGAGAAATTGATTTAAAAGCCCAAATATTGAAAAGATGTGTTATATCATTGTATATTCTAAAATTGATTATGAAATTGACTTTTAAAAATGAATATAGCAAGCAACGATTAATCGATCATCGATCAGACATCAATGTATATAGCTTACACTGTGATCATAATATTAATCTTATTTGACTGCAATTAATTTGGTGATGTTTTGTAAGAATCACAGAGCTTTGCTACATTTTTGCCTAGCAATCAAATTCGAAACATTATGTATTACATTAGTTAGCTATGGGCTAGGTTTTACATAAATAATCCAAAAATTTAAATTTATTGTATTAAAAAAAATATATTCACTGAGTGATAACTTTAGTTTGCTCTGGAAGCCTGTTATAATTCACGCTGAAAAACCTCCTCATTCACACTACATATTGCAAGTTATATCCCTTCACACATCCTATTTTTGTACAACAATGCAAGTTTAAATGTTATTATTTGATACCAATGTACTGTTTTGGAGCATCTAAGCCATTATTTCTCTTCATAAGGATACAAATTGTTCTGTGTTAGTGAAAATTGTTTAAGTTTTTACAATCTTTTCATTGTAAGATGCAAATCAAAATTGCTTTGAAATATTAATTATATAAAGTCTTCAGCATTTTATTATACAAATTATTGGAAATAAAAGATAAAATTACAAGAATAAGATCTGACTACACATACTTTAGGCAAAAACAGCATAATTATATTAATAGGCAGCAAAAAAAACCCACTTGTTTTGTATAAAAAACTAAAGATAAAAGATTTATTACCAATTTTTAAAGGAACTCTCAGCGATAGGTGTGGATCAAAGCTTTATAGGATCAGTGATGAAATTACATAACTTCATGCAGTCAACACATTGTGATTGCTCAAATAGAGAGATTGCCATATAAAAGGCAATATGCAGTCAGTGATTGTATCTTTCAAATATTTAATGAGTCAATCGATTTAACTGCACAAATAGCATAGTTATACTAACCATAATAAAATGAACTGCTGACTTCATATACACATTGCAGCATTCACATGATCAGATTTTGGCATACATGTATATTCCAATTAAGCAAGCATTTTATTCAGGGATATGGGTATAATTTGGTGTGCAATTGTATATGTAATGTACTGAAATGCAATAAATCTGTATGATGTATAGTTTTTATTTTTTTTTTTACTGAATTGAATATGCTTCATAGATATTCAATTATTTCACACTTTGTACTCATTGTTAAACAAATTTTATAGACATTAAATATAACAAATATTACATGCAAAATAAGTTCAGTTAATACAAAGCCTTAAAACAGAGCTATTATTTCTTACAGAAATGACAATTTTTAATGGGTTATCATGCAGCTGACATTGTGTAGCAGTGTCTAGTATTGAAGCATCTGGAGAAGGGAGAGAAGTGTTATATAATGTTAACATAAGGATTATATAAAGAATAGTTTGGTTGATATATATATTGTTATGATGTTATCAATGCTTGCCATTGTGATCAAGTTTTTTTCAGAATTTTAAGTATCGTGTTGATAGTTTATTATGTTCTTGAACTGTTTTTTGTAGTTGAATATTGTTGAATGGAAAATTTCAGTAGATGAATATGATTTTGTAAATATACAGAAAGTATAAACTTTTATTTTAACAGAGATACATGGTGCACAATATGGTTGGTGAGAATTGGTTGTTTTTAAACTATTATATTGAAAAAATTTAAACATTTTGTATATTAATAATAAATACCTGCAAATATTTAGACAACAAATAATACCTATATTAAGCCTATAGATATTAGAAAACAAATTCGCTCTATTTTTCATTTATATCGTATAATGACACGTTCATTTCTATAAAGGACCAATTCAAACATTGTATTGCAATATGGTAATATCATTGTTATATATGTTACTCACTGGTCCAGATGTTGACATACAAGTTACTTTTAATTTAGTTTTGTTTTGGTCAAAGGGAGATAATCCAATTTGAATAATGTTTCATCTTTTATTACAAATGCATTTTACATCTGATACTTATCATAGGTATACATTATGTATCAGTGAAGTCACTTGTGTGTTTTTCTCTATTGGGAGCTGAGACTGTACAAGTAATTCATGAGGACACAGGTTAAACTTTTGAATTGGTCCATTGATATAAAATGATCCATAAATGTATTGCACAAGCTTATTTATTTAATGTATAAAAATGTTTTTTCACATGCATTTACAAAAGAAATGTTTTGTTTGTTTTATCATTTCTTCTGAAAATTTTAGAACAAGTACCTGTTCTTAACAACAGTGTATCAGTTATTTAGGAAAATAAACTAAACTGCAGACAATTTACAAACACTGGTATAAATCCTGCATTATATTTTGTTTGTTGAAATGTGCATATTTAATATTTAGGTAGTTTGAATTGATAAGTAATTCAAATATCAATGAATACTTTAAAATAGAAATTGATTTAAGAATTGAATGCATCTTTTTGTAAATTCATTGGGGTGTAAAAGCGTTGTCCGAAGTACATTTTGTATGAAGCGCGGAAGCACTTCATTCTAAAAATGTACGCACGGTCAACGCTTTTACAACCCTATGAAATTACTAAAAGAAGCATTCAATACTTATAATTACATTTTTTCGCTATGATCATGAAAACACGATTACTATCAAGTTTTTCTTTTATTTACCTGTGCACTTTATTGTGGAAACGTGTGTCATCATATGTTTCAATTCATGCAATTCATTTTGAAATGAAGAATGACGCGAGATTGCTGTTAGCCAATCAAAATAACGTATAATAATGAAACATACATCTAATGTAATTATTGATATGTAAGAAGTAAAATTTGTTCAATATAGATTTTTCATGTTTTGATTATATTTAATATTGATTTAGTTGTAGGCTCTGTTGTTGATACAATGAACAATTTACAAAAGACACATTCTATGTTAACTGCTATGTATTATAGTGCTTTATGATAGTGCTTTGTAATATATATATACTATTAAAATATTAAAATACGATTTTTCTTTACTGTTATGAATCTCAATGAATGACTCAAGTTCTCATGATTGAAATTATATATCCTTCTACATTCATTGCCAGGAACAGTAAGTAATCACGTCATTACGGCGTCTCAGTTTAAGGTCTTCTATAAATGCATGATCTCCCAACTGGTGCTTTTTCCCAGTAAAATTTGACCTCACAAAGCAAATATCTTCATGTTACAATCAATGTCCAATTACAGGTTTTTCCCCCAATGACCCCAGGTCAAATGGGGCACATCATTTATAAAATCCTATAAAATTTTTCTTTTCAATCGATTGTTGTTTAAGTGAAAATTTTTTACCCTTTTGTGTTTTGGGAAAACTATTGAAAATAGATAGAAACTTAACAGATCAGCAATACAAGATCAACAAAAAGAGAGATTTTAGTCATTGATTATATTCTAGTCTACAATGTTGAAGAGAGTCTATTGCACATAGGTCTATATGAGTGGCACAGGCTCTTTAGAGCCTCTAGTTGTCATAAAGCATATGAAATAATGGAATTAATTATTTTTGGAGTATAAACTTTTTGGATATTTTGGATAAACAACATGATTTTGATTTCCGTTCTCTAACTTTAGTTTGCCTCAACCAAATGTTATGAAACTTATATACAATGCTTATTACCACAAAACACAGATCAATATAAAAATAAGAAGTAGTATGATTGCAAATGAGACCACTCTCCACAAGAGACCAAATGACACAGAAATTAACAACTATAGGTCACCGTACGGCCTTCAACAATGAGCAAAGCTCATACCGCATAGTCAGCAATAAAAGGAATTCAAGTTTGAATATAGGTGGCTTCACTTTTACCGTTCTTGAGTTATGTCCATTTATAACATTGTATGCAAGCAGGGGCATCATCTTTGTCCCATGGACACATTCTCCATTTATCTATTGACTGTAGGCTATGCTCTCACTCAATCTCATCCAAGAGAAGTTCTTTTATTTAATTTATAAAACGGTCAATTGAAATGAAAAATCTGATTACAGATTTATTTGCTGCAACTCATATAAATATAAAAATAAAAAGATGTGGTATGAATGCCAATGAGAAATAGAAAATTAAAATAAATGGAATATGTAGACAGCTCTCTCACAAGCGATAAAACCCTAACTGTAAATTATAAGGGCATACACTACAGACACAGGAACACATTCTACAGCATCTACACAGCACGAGTAATAAACCCTGCAGTAAATAAAAAAATAAGAAGATGCGGTATGATTGTCAACGAGACAACTCTCCACAAGAGACCAAATGACACAGAAATAAAATACAGTAAAAGAAATAGAAAATTAAAATAATGGAATATGTAGACAGCTCTCTCACAAGGAAAAATCCCTAACTGTAAAATATTAGGGCATATACTACAGGCACGGGGACACATTCAGCATGAGTAACAAACCCTGCAGTAAATATAAAAATAAGAAGCTGTGGTATGATTGCCAATGAGACAACTCTCCACAAGAGGCCAAATGACAGATATAAAATACAGTAAAAGAAATAGAAAATTAAAATAATGGAATATGTAGACAGCTCTCTCACAAGCAAAGAACCCTAACTGTAAAATATAAGGGCATACACTACAGGCACGGATACACATTCTACTGCATCAACACAGCACAAGTAACAAACCCTGCAGTAAATATAAAAATAAAAAGATGTGGTATGATTGCCAATGAGCCAACTCTCCACAAGAGACCAAATGACACAGAAATAAAATACAGTAAAAGAAATAGAAAATTAAAATAATGGAATATGTAGACAGCTCTCTCACAAGCAAAAAACTCTTAACTGTAAAATATAAGGGCATATACTACAGGCACTGGGACACATTCAGCATGAGTAAAAAACCCTGCAGTAAATATAAAAATAGGAAGCATGATTGCCAATGAGACAACTCTCCACAAGATAAAGGGGTCGGAAAAAAATATTCACTTGATTTTGACAGGTGTAGGAAATTAATCCTACATTAATCCATTGCAGTAAAAAAAATTCTGAGTCATAAACATATATCTTGGGTGTTTCAAATCACCATTCTTTTTCTATTTGGTGTTTCTATAAAATATTTTGGAAACATGAGGTTACATAGTTACTAAAGCTTGTAAACAGGAATAAACAGCTGCGCCATGACAGCATGATATGCCCATCGCATTTTCAAGGAATAAGTTCAATCACTTCTCAATGTCATATCAGAAATTTATGAAAATCGAAAGGGAGCTTTTGTCAATAGATTTAAACAATTCACCAAAGTTTCATGAGAACTGCTATAAGCATTTTTGAGGTATTGTCCGAAAACTGGAAATTCCCCCCTTTTTTAATGAATAAAACCCCATAACTCAGAAACGTAAATTCTAAAATTTATGAAAATGAAAAGGGAGCTCATGTCAATAGATATAAACAATTCACCAAAATTTCTTGCAAACTGGTGAAAGCATTTTGGAGTTATTGTCTGAAACTGGAAAATCCCCCTTTTTTAATGAATAAAACCTCATAACTCAGAAACGTAAAATCTGAAATTTATAAAAAACGAAAGGGAGCTCTCGTCAATAGATATAAACAATTCACCAAAATTTCTTGCAAACTGGTAAAAGCATTTTGGAGTTATTGTCTGAAAACTGGAAAATCCCCCTTTTTTAATGAATAAAACCTCATAACTCAGAAACGTAAAATCTGAAATTTTTAAAAAACGAAAGGGATCTCTCGTCAATAGATATAAACAATTCACCAAAGTTTTATGCAAATTGGTTCAAGCTTTTTTGAGTTAATGTCCGACATGTTGACGACGGACGGACAGACAGACGGATGGACAGACAGATGGACGGACAGACGGACAACCATATACCATAATACGTCCCATAAACGGGCGTATACAAAATGAGTGAAAATTTGATTGGTTAACTTCCAGTGATAGTTATTATCTTATATGCAATGAAATGTTATGTGAAATTTTGTCTGTAGTACTGGACAGGATAAAACTTTACTCATGTCAAGTATTTCTTTATTTGCAAAATTTTCTTAAAAAGTGCCAATTTGACAAAGGATAATAGGGGAAAATCAATGGTGGTATTACTCCTGTAAACGTATACAATATTGCTTTCGGTTGGGAACATTGCACTGCCTCAGAATGCTGGTTTCTTAATGTTATTTTCAAGTAGAATTTTGTGTTGTTATCAGTGTTTTTAAAAATATCCACAATTTCAAAAATATAATATTCTGACTGGATTCATAATATGAAGTTTGAAATTCAAAATTTCATCAGTAACAATTCTTACACATACAAAGACAGACCAGACCTCCATCTCAACAGAAATTTTGTCCGATACGAGTGTAAACTCATCCAATATTGCTTTCAGTTGGGAGCATCGACTGCCTCAGAATGCTGGTTTCTTTATATTTCTTTTCCAGTAGGGAATTTGGTTTTGTTATCAGTCCCAGACTGACAAAGCGAAAGGGGATCAAAGGTTTGCACTCATCTCTCCGTCTGAGTTTTTCACACTTTTTTCTGGTATGTTTTCATCTATTGATTTAATATAAAGTACTGAGATAAAGCCACATCATTACAAGTAACAGCTGAATTTAAATTTTGTTTAGGCTGAGAAAATTATTTTGGGAAGTTGTGGCCATTGGACATAGAAAATTGTAGTTTTCTAGGGTAAACAAACCTGATTCCTCATGGTTAGGGTTGGACGGGCCATTTTTGAAAATATCTATATCTGTAAATAAATATTCTGACCCAATAAATGATAACACAGAAATTCTCATTCTCAACTACATCATCAATAACAGATCTTAACCAATGTGAATTGAAAATTCTCTGGACCTCTTTTTCAATTAAATGCTTGTCTTATCTATATATCGCAAGTCTAACCTCATCCAATGTTCCTGCTGGTAAAAAGACATTTGAGTTGAGCCTTTTTCAACTGATTTTTATAGGTTGTTTTTATGTTTCCCTGTTACACCACTGTCCCAGGTTTGGGGGAGGGTTGAGCACTCACAAACATGTTTAACCCGACACATTCCTTATGTGCCTGTCCCAAGTCAGGAGCCTGTAGTTCAGTGGTTGTTGTTGGTTCATGTTGGTCATATTTGTTTTTTCAGTAATTGTTTTGTTATAAATTAGGCTGTTAGTTTTCTCAATTGATTTGTTTCTTAATTTTCATGTCAGGGCCTTTTATAGCCGACTATACGGTATGGGTTTTTCTCATTGTTGAAGGCTGTATGGTTGCCTATAATTGCTTACATCCACTTTATGTGAACTTTGGTGAATAGTTGTCTCATTGGCAATCATACCTCATCTCCTTATTTTTATATGGCAATGTACATGCAATACCCTTATAGAATGCTTGTTCATGACTTGTCTAGACTTAGGGAGATTTAGTTTAGTGGTTAATATATTAAATAGATATTTGTCTGTTGTTGATAACATTTTAATGATATCAAGATGTCTTGATTTTTAGTGTTGTTGGTTTTCTGTATCTTTCAGTGAGACATATTGTACATGCCTCAGAGTGTTGAATGCAACTGGATATTTGTTGAAAGAATGTGATTTCAGGATTTTGAAAAAGGGTGGACCCACCAACAAGGCAACAATGGAAATGTGACTATATATTTACCATATATTTAGCTCCATAAAGGAAGGGGTCTGTTCCAGTAAACTGAGTATATTACTTCAGTAATTATTCCAAATGCTGTTATCAATAGTTTAATAAAATGTAAGACAACACATAACAAAGATTTTATCTTTTATTTCTTTGGTAATAAAATCAAAATTGCATTTGACAACTTTCTACAGTGGATGAATAGTGATCATATGAAAAACATTCCTATTCACAGGGGAAAATACGAACAAATTCTGCTACATGCATCTGGAAGACTTTTTGTCAATCATGATATAAAAAACAGGTACTTTATATTCCAGGATGGCACACATGTGAGACTTCTGATTATTAGAAAGTTATATAAACAGACCCTTCAAGATATTATTAAAGAAGCTCTACTGTTAGGAAAGTAAAACTTAGTTCTGTTAAGTTGGCTATAGAACCAATCTAAATTTTAAGCAAGTCATTTTCAAGCCAGCATTTCTGCTGGCATTATACCTTGAAAGGGTCTCTTCAGCATCAAAGAAAGTAATTTAAAAATAGATTTACCACATATCAGAAGTTATAAATGCTTACCATAGCTGCAAAGGAACATGCTGTATTGTCAGAAATAAGTATAAAAGTGGGATTCAATAGTTATTTTCTTTGTGACGTTCAATGTCTTATAAAAACTTGATGTGAACTAGGGATATGTGTGATGTATATACACCTCATGACGAAAACATTTCAAACATTAAATGATATGTGTTAAGAGGATGTAAAATAAATCCAAAAAAATAAAAAAATAAGTAAACAAATAAATAAAAGCAAATGTATAGCATTGTCTAACTACATGTAGATCTAAGTGAGCTATTGCACAAGTCCTGACTAGCCTACCATCTTTAAAAAAAAGTGAAAGTTCAATAACATATAAGGAACAAAAAATAACAATGTTAATATACTTGGCACAACTGTGATAATACATGCTTAAAACACTGAACAATAAACCGTCAACATATATTTGACAAATGAGCATGATCTACTTTTTATTGCATTTATTGAATAAAAAACATCCCAGATCTTTACATTAAATAAGACAAAAATATGCATGGCACCATGTATAAAACTGTGAAAAGCCATGACAAATTATAAACTCCGTGGCACAATGTATACTATTATGAAATGCCAGGAACAATAAACACCATGACATAACACATACAATAGTGAAATGCCAGGAACAATAAACACCATGACATAACACATACAATAGTGAAAAGCCATACAAATAACAAATTTCATGGCATCATGTATACCATTGTGAAAAGTCAGGACCAACTAAAAACACCATGACATAATGTATACAATTGTAATTAGCCATGACAAATTATATTCATTTTGGTACCACGCATTTAAATATATAACCATTACAAAATATTCTTGCATGGCACCATGAATAAAGTTATGAAAATCAAATTTAAAATGTGAATGCATTGATTTAAAGGGCAGGGATAAAAATGGACGAGATTCTTTAGCTACTAACAGCGAACTAACAAATATAACTAACCACTATAAAAAGATCTATTTAACAATAAACAAATAACAACAACCATCTAGTGACTTGGTAAAAAATGTATTAAGTCATATGGACAAAAAATTAATATGATTCACTACAATCTCAAGTTTATGAGGTACACAAATATAAAAGACTAGGAAAACACTCTTATTTTCAAAATCACAGTAAATATCATTTTATGTAAAATTGGCAGACAAAACAAAATTACAATTTCAAAATTGAGTATCACAACAATGGAACAAAGCAGGATTTCATAAGTCAAAACAAAAACACTACATCTCCCCTACTGGATCTTCAAGAAAAATACGAAACAGAAAGTCCAGTCAAAGATTTTCAAATTTATTACCAGAAAATCCAGTTTCAACTTTTCTATTTTTCAAATCAATTATCACCAGAGATAGAGATGTATTTAAGTACATGTATTAATACTGTCCCACATAACCTTCATGGACCTTGTCTCGAAAAAATAATAAAGACACACAAAATTTCAAAATAAAAGGGGTACACTACCAAAATGTCTCTTTGTCCATTCAGGCTATGTGGAATCTTTTTTGTCATCACAAACACACAAAATCTTGTAAAAAGTCACTTTCACTAAACAACTTTTGTTACTTTGTCATAAAAATCAGCAACAAACTTTCTGAAGTTTTTCAATATAATGTATTCCATGATATAAAATAACTGTTCCTATTAAAAATTGACCTAAGTGTAAAAATATCAACTATGTGAGTACTTCTAGCATGAGTATGTCTAGGATATATTGTCATTTCTTTGGTACATATTTTTGATTAGTCTCTCCTATGATAGGAGTATAGCCACTTTTAGCTACTGGGTTCGTCTTCATACTGTTTTCTGAAGCAATCTCCTACAGGGAAGAAATCCCAGCACCTCTGTTGATAAAGTTCCCATACATATGTTTCCTGAAATAATAAATAAGAGTCACACATTTAACTGGTTAACTGGTTTATGATCTTTGATCATCTTTAATTTAAGTATTGTTGTGCACATTAACAGATTCCGAAAATGCCTACTTTCCCCTGTAATAAGAATAATTATCATTAAATTTTCCTCTCTATAATTTCAAGAGTGCACTTGCTAAAATATATTGCCTGCTTTGCTGTTATTAGTTGAGTTTACCTTGAAAGTCTTTTAGATTAAGGTTTCAAACAAGTATCATGCAAATTAACATTATCAATGATCCATGTAAATGAAGTCAAGGTCAGATGAACCCTGCCAAACAGACATGTACACCTTGCAGTTATTCCGTATACCAAATGTACTTGATCTACTGCTTCAAGTACCAGAGAAACAGACCTCAATATGAAAACTTAACATTGACCAACTCACCATAAAAATTAGGTCAAGGTCAGATGAAACCTGCCAGACAGACATGCACACTTAACAATTATTCTATACACCAAACATAGTTGACCTTCTGCTTTAATATGGTATCTGAGGAACAGATTTTATGAAAAAATAATCTAGATCACTGATTTTATAAATGAGGTCAAGGTCAGATACATCCTGTTTGACAGATATGTAGACCTTACAAAGGATCATTTATACCAAATATAGTCATTACCTTCTGAAATATAAAGCTTCTTATATAAATGTTTTATGTCATCGTCACAGCTGGATATGAATATCCATGTGTCGTGGTCACAGCTGGATAAGAATATCTAGGTGTCATCATCACAGCTGGATATGAATATCTATGTGTCATCATCACAGCTGGATATGAATATCTATGTGTCATCGTCACAGTTGGATATGAATATCTATGTGTCATCATCACAGCTGGATATGAATATCTATGTGTCATCATCACAGCTGGATATGAATATCTATGTGTCATCATCACAGCTGGATATGAATATCTATGTGTCATCATCACAGCTGGATATTAATATCTATGTGTCGTCGTCACAGCTGGATATGAATATCTATGTCTAGCATTTTTGAGTCTTCAGTCACAGACAAGACAAAAATCAAAGATCCTAGTACTAATGATTTTGTTGTCAACAGATAATCACAATATTTTTTTACATGTAAATGAAATAAATTTTAGACATAACAACGTCAAACCTATCAAGTAGTTAACTAAATATATTGTACCAGCTGAAAAAGTAGGGATGATAAGAAAATGAATTAGATTCTCGACCAAAATTTTACATTAACAGTAGAAAAGTCACTCCCCTATTGTTTTTCAAAATGTTTCATTTGTATATCTAATGTGTTCAATTATCTTTGTTTACATCAGGCTAGCATACATCTGTCTTTCTATTTGTTATACCATATTGTATATAATACATACCTGTCCTGTGTATTCTGTATCTGGTTTGTTAATCAAGTGCATCAAGAAAAACCTGTCAATTGTAAAAGAAACCACTGATGATAAATGTCGATTTATATATTACAGAATTCTCAATAAATGATAAATAATTTTGGAGACAAGTCTTTTTTTATACTTCTGATTAGACGGGATGTCAACTGAAGCATGTTACAAAAAACATACCAGAAACATCCTTGGTTTGACAGACCATTAACAATCTGTTTATTGCCGTTTTTTAGGCAACATCAATGAAAATATGAAAAACTAGATATCATTGAGATGGGAGCCATCTCTGTGGGCCCCGCTGTGAATAATGTGTGGTAAAAAATTTGTATCTTTATCATTGGACATGGGGTTGTCAACTGAAACCGAAGTTTATAACCTTGACCTATGACCTAGGAAGTTGTACATAAATTATGACACAACCTCTGGTGTTGGTTTATATACATGTCAAGTATAAACTTTGAAATCATAACGGTTCTCAAGATATAGAGCGGACAAGATCTTTACCATAGGACATGGGGTTGTCAACTAAAACCAAAGTTTTTGACCTTGACCTTTGACCTAGGAAGTTGTACATACATTATGACACACCCTCTGGTGTTGGTTAATATACATGTCAAGTATAAACTTTGAAATCATAACGGTTCTCTAGATATAGAGCGGACACAATTTGTTACAGATGGACGGACGGACAGACTGATCACTATAAGGAGTCCGCCATTCGGCGGGGCCCTAATTATCACAAAAAAAATCAAAGCAAAATTTCAGAAAAAGCGATGATCATATACTTCAAATAACCAGCATATCTGTTTCATTGAACATTTGTGTTCTTTTCTGAAAACTTAAGTCTGAAGAGTAATTATCTTAGAGATTTCAAATAGGGCAGATATATTTCGTAAAAGTTTAATGAGTGTCAACAAAATACTTACATGTAGTTGGCAAAATTATGTTCATTCGTCGTATGAGTCTCAAACCCATGAGGTACTTTGTCAAAGTATTCTTTTCCAATACCACAGATGAAACATTTTGACTGAAATGAAAATTAGTAACTTTAGAAAAAACTTAGTATCAAGACATAACTTAAGAACTCCATAATCTTGACCAGAAATGTTTTTAAAAAACTCCCCAATTTTTACTAGAAAAATTAAAAAACTCCCCATTCTTAACCAGTACAACTTGAAAACTCCACACTCTTTAACCAGAACAACTTAAGAAAACTGATGTAATCCATAATTGGTTCAGATACACATATTTATTTGTTTCTAAGTGATAATATGTTTCCATAATAACTCATTGTAAAGTATTAAACGACCCTTTAATTGGATAAAGGTTACTGTAAATTCAGAAATTATTGTGAGGTTTTTATTATTGAGAATAATGTGACAAGGTGAGTATCGCAATAATTAGAATTCCTGTTCAGATATCTGATACCTATATCAGTAAGCAGATTTTCCTGAAATAGCAATAATAAATGCATGCAATAATTTCTGAAATTTACAGTATTACTTATTATGTTATCAAATTTTGATTTTTTTTTTGCAGTTTTTGGTATTTCAAGCTAATTCTTTCTTCAATACATTTCACGAAGAATTTATTACTTCCATTTTTGAAAAAGAAATATGAATTCCAATACAAATGTAGCTTTAATAATGCTTATCACTTTTATTTTACCTCCATGTCTTCTTTGACTTGTTCTAACTGATCTCTCAATTCTCCAAAGGCATCAATAATTAAACCTAAAATGGTAACAATACATATGTCAGGAAAAAGTATATAGGAATTATAATCTACTTCATACCTTAAAATGCATTACTTTTCATGAAAGGGAAAATTTAGCACAGGTATATTTGACACAAGATCTGTAAAACATATTTTGATTGATAAATTTTAGCCTTTATTATGTATGAAAGGGAAATTCAAACCATGAACTATGTATTCTTTAATTCATTTATTCATAGAATGAAATGTTCATATATCCATGAAATGACAACCTCCTCCCCCCTCCCCACACCTAAAAATCTAGAACAAAAAACTTGTACTGGAACCTGATTAAAGAAAAGAGTAACAGTGATTTCAATGCATCTATATATTTTCAATTAGTTCCCCATTAAATAAGGCCATTTATATTCATGTTTTGTGCCTACCTTGTATGATAGCTAGCAGGATAACAATCACAAAGAAAAAGAATGTGATATCAAATAAAATTCTCCACACTTCATATGGATCTCCATCCGCTGGCTCTATCTCATCACCTGGATAAACATGAAAAAAATTATATAACTTTTTTTTAAGCAAATGACAAGGCTAGTTTCACATTTTCCTTAAAAAATTATATAACATTATAAGAGCTACCTGAATCTACCTTAATCAAATTTCAAATCAATCAGCAAATTTGCATAATTTTTTACACACAAAATTCAATAATTGCAGTAGAGGGCATTTTTTAAATCCCATTTTCTCCTTCTTTCATTACATTATGCATTCTACCTTTCTCTACATTACACTTCTTGATTACATGTATTATCAATGTGGGCTGATAATTTCAATATTTAATTCACATGATTTCTTGCACAGATAAAATATTTCAAACTAAAACATGTGCTTTCCTAAATTTATACAATTTATTTGTTGTCAATTGACATTCATTATTCATTTAATTTGATATTTATTCACTTTCTGATAACTTGTAATACTCACCTATACCACCACCAGCTCTTACACCAGTATGTAAATGGTACACAAAACACTGAAAAGTAACACAACAAACATTAGTATCACAATTACCAAGAAGTTAAGTTTCTACAACAATCAAATAAAATTTCAGTTGGATAATACCAGTACATTAAAATGATACCAGGAATTACCAAAAATGTTTATAGTCATCTGACCCGTCCATAAAGCCTTCAGTTTACCAGAATGTAAAGTAACAAAAAAAAAAGAACTCCAAGGAAAATTACCCAATATTACAATTATAGTCATAAATGAACCTATTTTCTTTGAATTGATTTGAACTCTACATCAATATTTGAAAACATAATTTTGATCTGTTGACTGATAATGATGTTTCTTTGAGTGGTCAATTTTCTTACATTCTATTGTCAGAGGAAAATAATGTTGTCACTCCATATATCATAAATGTTTTAATCAATTAGGCAATCTATTCTAAATGATTCCTCCATCCTACTTAACTTTTTAGCTAACACAGATCAATTCAACCATATGGTATAGACACTGGTCTATTGTTTTTGGTTTTGTTAGATTGCTGTCTCACTAAAAGGTATTTATGTTACTTACTGTTAACATATCATGACATTTATAATCTGTGTTTCCATCTTCCTCTTTGACATAGAATTTACGGAAAAAGTTGAAAGCTAAAACTGTGTAAATGTACACAATAACACTGGTTAACATCACTGTCAACACAAGCTGTAAAAAAACAAAGCAAGCATATTTACTAAACTGGAAAAACAATCAATTTATTAACGAATGATTATTTTCATGGTAGCTTAATTCTGCATTTTAGATTCTTACATGATGCACTATGAGTTGTGGCTAACTAATCATAACTCCACTCAGAATTGGTAACTCTATTTTGCAGTAAATATGTGAATCAATCAAATTCATAAATCAAGAAGTTTTGTAAATGCTAAGAAAAATTTAACAAAAAATTTACAATATTTTATAAATGTGTTTTTGGCAAACAGGAAGTAGTACCGGTATATTGAAAAAACTGAAACACATCACATAATAATAATAATAATAATAATAATAAATTCTTTATTTAAAGAGGGTAAACTCAGTTAGTTACAATAAACTAATCTTCCCTGAGGCCCTCACATACAAATTACAATACAATCAAAAACAGATATTTACACATAGTTAATTTACAGTCAATTAGTTCAATGTAATATTACTAACATGATAAGATATAAGGCTGTTCAAGAATGCACATGTAGTCAAAAAATCAAATAAAAATAAAAATAAAAGAACATACAAATCCATTGTAGAAAACATAATCTTATCAGGACTGTGTTAAGTACTTCTTGATACTTTGTTTAAAAGTATAAGTGTTTTGAGCTTTACACATTTTGTGTGGTAGTCCATTCCATAACACTGAATAAACAAAAGATTTCTTAAATAGCTCAGCTTTTGGCTTAGGAACTATCATATTACCTTGAGTGACACCTCTCAAGGAGTAAGGATTATTATCTGATTTCAGTTTAAACTTTTGAACTAGGTACATTGGAGCTTCCATACGCATACATTTATATAGAAGTAAATATTTGTGGTATTTGATTCTATTGTCAACTGTCATCCACCCAAGTTCTTTAAATAAGGGGGCTGAGGGGGATAAAGGATCTGCATCTAGAATTAATCTTGCTGCCCTTTTTTGGAGTTTTAAAATTCTTGTTATCCCTTCATTTTTACATTCACCCCAAATAATACAGCAGTAGTCAATCAGGGGCAGAATATACCCATTGTAATATGTTTTCCTTGCATTTATATCTAAAAATTTCTTTATTTTAGAAAGAAGGTATATTCTGGATGATATATTAGCACAAACTTGGTCAATTTGATTTCTCCAGCTAAGTGTGCTGTCAATTTTAACACCTAATAATTTTTCACATGAAGAATTTTGTAATACTTCTGAATTTATTATCAAGTTTGGTTGATAAGTCTGAATTGATAGTTTCTGCTTTGTTCCAGTAACCAAACATTTTGTTTTGTTTGCATTAATGAACATGTTATTCATTTTGCACCACTCTTCAACCCTGTATAAATCTTCTTGAACATCATCATGTATATTTTCTATGTTTTTCCCTGATTTATGAAGAGTGGTGTCATCAGCATATAGGTCTGCTTCACAATTTTCAATGCATAAGGGAAGGTCGTTTATAAATAGCACAAACAATAGAGGACCAAGTATAGAACCTTGGGGTACACCAAATTTTACATGTTGTTGTTTAGAGTAAACATTACAAATGTTTACCTGCTGTTTTCTGTTATTCAGGTATGACTTGAAAAAACTAACAGTAGCCTCACTAAATCCATAAATTTCAAGCTTTAAGCAAAGAATGTCATGATCTACCAAATCAAAAGCTTTTTTAAAATCTAATAAAATTGCTAGGTTTAAATTACCATCATTCATTTCTTGCAACCATTTGTCAATGATATTAATAAGTGCAGTTTGACAAGAATGCTGCGGCCTGAAACCAGATTGTGTAGGGTGTAAAAGTTTAAGTTTAGATAAGTATTTGTACATATTATTAGAAACATGTCTTTCTATTAATTTTGATAAAGTTGGAAGAACAGATATAGGTCTGTAATTTGTTGCTAAAAGCTTGTCACCATCCTTGAAAACTGGTGTTACCTTAGCATTTTTCAGTAAAGAAGGATATATACCAGTATCTATCATTCGATTAAATATGTATGTGAGAGGTGATGCAATAACAGGGGCGCTTAATCTTAGAATTTTTGGTCCTATATTATCCATACCAGATGCTTTGTTTATATCAAGTTTTGTTAACTCATTAAATAGCTCATTCATGATCACTGGTGGTATAGAAAATTTATCATGTTTATGTAATTTATTTTTAACAAATTTACCAAGATTACTGAAATCTGCTTTGTTTACAGGTGTATAACTTCCTTGTTCTCTTAATTTTTCAGCACAGGAAGTGAAAAAGTTATTACATAAGCAGGTACATATACATGGTATGGCATAACCAGATGAAACGTGGTTTCAGATTTTAAAGCAAATTTGTTTATATATCATGTAGTTTACAAGACCAGAAATTTGAAAAAAATCACAAATGAAACATAGATCACCATCTTTAAATACTAGGAGAGCTTTTCCAAGAACAACTATCATTTTCTATGTTCAGTGGCCCATGAAATTGGGGTAAAAACTCTAATTTGGCATTAAAATTAGGAAAATCATATCATAGGGAACATGTGTCCTAAGTTTCAAGTTGATTGGACTTCAACTTCATCAAAAACTACCTTGACCAAAAACTTTAACCTGAAGACGGACAGACGGACGAACGGACGGACGAATGAACGATCGGATGCACAGACCGTAAAACATAATGCCCCTCTACTATCGTAGGTGGGGCATAAAAATACCCATGATGTTTTTCAATTTGAAAGCTTTCCAATAACGTATTTTAACAATCAAATAATTTTCAAAATTAGAATATAACTTACTTAGTTCAAAAGGAAACATCAGTGGAAGTTTTGAAAGGTAGAACTTGAATCTAGTTTCTGGCCACTGTAGACAGCCCTTTGAAAAGCAGGTACATATACCCTTAAGGATGTAGTCATGTCAGGTTTAGGAATTTTTGTCAGATGTTCAGACTCCTGGGTTTTTTCCTATGATACAGTGTAAAATATTTTGCTCCATATCACCCACTTTTCTTTTCATAGGAGACTTCAATAGCTCATAAATGGTCATTACTAAAATTTAAGCAGATTCTAGATTTCTTTTCTTACAATTTGAGACTCGAATAATGCCAATGCTAAATGTAAGGTAAAATCAGTCAGCTTTTCCCGCCATTTTTAAAAAATTTAATATCTTGAATAAAATGCTCCGCTGGGCGCAGCTTGATACGACCGCAGAGGTCGAACCCTGAACAGTTGGGGCAATTATGGACACAACATTCAAGTTTGATACAGCACTGAATTTGGATTGTGATTAAATATTTGACACAGCATAGGTTTCTGACACAGAATGAATGTGGTCCAAAAACTTAAAATTTTTTAATTTACCTATTCAAACCATATCATTATTATTTGCTTTTATATATAAATCAGAAATAACCAATTTAAAATGGAAAATTTAAAAAAAAAAAAAACCCTCCCCCAAATTTTTTGAACCCCCTTATGATTCATCATCCTCAAACTCAATCCCAGCCTTCCCTTTGTGGTATGGTACCTTGCAGTACAGTTTCAGAGAGATCCATACAAGTTATTGTCTGGAAACTAGAAAAATGCTTGTTTTTTTGGCCCCTTTTTGGCCCCAAATTCATAAACGTTTAGGGCAATTACACCCAAACTCAAACCCAGCTTTCCCTTAGTGATATGGAACCTTGTAGTACAATTTCATAAAGATGCAGACACTAACACACAAGTTATTGTCCTGAAACTACAAAAATGCTTGTTTTTTGCCCCTTTTTGGCCCCTAATTCCTACAATTTTGAGGCAATTACCCCCTAAATCAATCCCAGCCTTCCCTTTGTGGTATGGTACCTTGCAGTACAATTTCAGAGAGATCCATACACTTGAACACAAGTTATTGTCTGGAAACTAGAAAAATGCTTATTTTGGGCCCCTTAATCCTAAACGTTTTGGGCAATTACCCCCAAACTCAATTCCAGCTTTCCCTTTGTGATATGAAACCTTGTAGTACAATTTCAGAAAGATCCATACACTTACACACAAGTTATTATCATGAAACTAGAAAAATGCTTGTTTTTTGCCCCTTTTTTGGCCCCTAATTCCTAAAATTTTGAGGCAATTACCCCCAAAATCAATCCCAGCATTCCCTTTGTGATATGGAACCTTGTGGTACAATGTCAGAGAGATCCATACACTAACACACAAGTAATGTCTGGAAGTTACAAAAATGCTTATTTTTGGCCCCTAATTCCTTAACTGTTGGTACCGTAACCCCCGAAATCAATCCAAACCTTCCTTTTGTGGTATTGAACCTTATGGTAAAATTTCATAGAGTACCATTCACTTAAACTAAAGTTAGAGTGCGAAAACCAATGTGTCTTCGGACGACGACGACACCAACGTCATACCAATATACAACCGCAAAATTTTTTTGCGGTCGTATAAAAAGAAGTTTGATAACCTATCAATATTTCTAGCATCTTTTGTTCCTTAACTTATGATTTTCTGACTTATAGTATCAATTTTAAATTCTAGATTTTTTTAATTTCACCCGACTACATCCTTAGGTTATCATTATTTTGAAAAGATTCTGTAAAACTGTTTGCAATCCATACAGCTAAGTCAATCTTCATCGAGTGAAATAATTCCAAAGTTCCATAAACCCAGTTTTAATGTGAAATTGATAACAGATACAGAATCAAGTAATCTCCTATATGATGTGTCTGTCTAATACTGCCAAACTTTTTTTATTTATTACCGGCTGATTTTGTAGAAAAAATTATTAGAAAAGAAAAATAAAAAGATAAAAAAAGAAATAAAAAACCCCATAGAAAACAATACCAAAAGCAAGTCATTATGGAAGGTATGCATACTATATCTTTTGTTTGTCACTAAGTTCAATTATTTTAAATGTATTTCATATATTTGATATGTCATTTTTATGTTTATTAAAAACAACAATTGTTTCCACAAAGATCACCCTTTTTTATCACTTGACTTTTTCATCATATTAAATGTTTTGTTTTTTTTTAGAATTGTCTTTTTTTAGCTTAAAAAATTCAACATTTTATAATCTCTATGATATGCTCCTAGATGCACTGAGTGACATGCAGTTCTTTATTTTTGTCAAACTTACATTACATTTAAATACCAAAAAATCTTTGCAAATATTGATTATACAACACTGAATGTAATCCTTAATAAAACAATTCACCGATCTATAAGTTTAAAGAGGACATATCTGATTCATAATAATGGCGTTTTCCAAATCTATCCAGAAGGTACAGGCTCCAATGTCCTGTCAGATGTGTGAAGAATCCAGTGAGATTAAATGGAAATGTTTACAATGTAACTTTTTCTTGTGTACAAAATGTCAGAAACTTCACCTAAAAGTTAAATCCACTGACAAGCATGTTATCATAGATATAAAAGAAATTGCCTTTTACCAAAAGCAAGCAAAGGATAGTGTGGATTTTGGTAATATACCATGTGAAATTCATAATGGACAAAACTGCTGTTTATTTTGTCTGACCTGTGAGGAAGTTGTCTGCCCTTTGTGTATTGCTACAACTCACAACAAACATAATATGATTCAGTTAGATGAAGGATATAAACTTACTATAAATGGAGTCAAAACTTTGAACTCTGAACTTGAAGAGCTATTATTAGATAATGTTAAAAGACTATCTAAAGTAGATTCTTTAAAATCTTCTGAAGGCTCAAAATATGAATCTGAGAAGCAGAAAATTCTAAGTCAAGATCAAGTTTTAAAGAATGAAGTTGACCATTATACAAAGAAACTTTTAAGAGATCTTGAAGACAGATGGGAAACTCTGAAGTTATCTTTAAAAGAAGAAGAAGACAGATCACAAAAGATCAACAAAGATATAGAACAAAGGAACAAAAAATTATACCAAGCCCTTCAATCCAACAATGCTAATGAAGTCTTCAATAAATTTAAGGAAGAAAAAAGAAGCACACAACTCAGAACAAAAACTGTGAACCCAACATTTAAAAGACTGCCACAGTATGTATCACAAAAACTACCTTTTTTAGTCTCACAACATGGAGAGTTAATTGACCCTGAGGATGAGAATTCACAGGATGATTTTGTTTTTAAAGTGATACAGCAATATAAAACTGAATTAAATTTTGTTGAAAATTTAGTGTGCTGTGATTATGGAATGCTATGGATAGATTATGGAAAGGGTAAAACATTACAGAAAGTACAGCCTAACAAAGAATCAATAAATGTTATCACAAACCTAAATATAGAAATATCTGACATGGCTTTATTACTATATGGTGGATTGCTGCTATGTACTAAAGAACCTGAACTAAAAATATTTCAGAAAAGAACTTCAGAAATTGAAGAGACAAAATACAGTGTAGCCCCATTGATTGGTATATCGGTTCATGTATCAGTTGGAAATAAGATTATAGTGGGTGCTAGAAATAGAGGAGAAAAGGCATTCCCCATCAGTGGTCCGAGAAAGGTCATTGTGATGGATTTGGATGGGAAAAAAGAGAAAGTGTATCACTTAGATAGTAAAAGGAAACCTATATTTTCTGTTCCTCGTAGAATAACTTCTGACAATAACGATTACATTTATGTCATAGACATTCTATCGGAAGAAGATTGGAAAGGTAGGATAGTGGCATTAAATAGTTCCAATGGAGTAAGATGGATGTATAGGGGTCATCCAGATATGAAAAAAGAACAAATATTTCAGCCAAATGATTTAGTGGCAACAAAATCAAACAATATTATAGTCACTGATGATCAAAATCATATGTTTCATATACTTAACAAAGGAAAATGCATTCGTTACTTGAAAGCTGATGAGTTTGGTATCAACCTCCCTTCGTCTCTAGACATTGGAATTGAAGGTCTGTTATACATAGGTTGTGGAACACATGAAGAAGAACCAGCAGAAGCCAAAATTTTTACTGTTCAATTTTCTGGATTCTGAACTAAAATTAACTATACAACTGTGGCATATAAAGGATAACTAAAATGACTTTTAAAAAATCTTGAACTTTATTTTCCCCCCTTTTTCAATGATCAAACAACACTGGACTAAAGAAAAGAATTCCACTATTCAAATTTTCAAATGTACTGTTGATTGTAATTGAGGTTTGTTTTTCTCTCTGATGCATACATACTACTTAAAACTCAATAGAGATGTGGTATGATTACTAATGAGACAAATATCCACCAGAGTTCAATCATGTGTCTGTCCCACATTGGTGGCTGTCTTTAGTTAGATCTCAATGTTTTTTTTGTCATTTAGTGAATTAAGTGTTAATGAAAGATCCATCCTTGATAGTCTCTGTCAAATTTATTTAAAACCTTTCTAGACTCGAGCCATTTAGAGCTTGATATATTGTATAAGACACTTGTCTATAGTTGAAGACCATATTTTGACCTCTAAATGCCTTTTTGTGTGTTGCTGGGTTGCTGTCTCATTGAAGTATTACCCACATCACTTATTCTTCACATACATAGCATTTCCTGGAATGAGTGGCTAATTTCATTTCATTGCGATTTAATGAGTAAATAACTTGAAAAGCCTATAAGTGGGTAAAATATTCAGACTGATTTAAACATATTACACAGCTGTTGGAAACCAAAAGTAAACGTTGACATTATGCCATGTGATAAAATGTTGCTTTGACTGAGAAAATGCAACATAAAAGACGTGCAAATAACAAATCATGGTAAATCTTGTTTCAATGGGTGTTTTTGTATATCATGAGAATTATTAGATAGATAGGCTATATCGATATGTAATACTAGTAAATCTACTTTGATGTCCGGTCAGAATTGTTCTTAACATGCATGAAATATTTGCCACTGGATGTTTAGCAACCAAAAGTCAATCAATCTCCTCAGAATGCAGACATTATATTTTGAAAAGACAGTTTGGGGGAAAGATAAGATAATGAAAAATGTCAAACTACATATCCCTGCTACTCAGTGGCTAGGGCATTAAAAAGGACAAGGCTTTCACTTTAGGTCTTTTGGATGAGTTTGCACAGTGAATAATGTTACAAGTAAGTTCTACCTTACCATGTAATAAACATGACTTACCTGTTTACCATTGTGTGTAACAGACTGTAAAATTGTCCTCAGTGCAGGAATGGCGATAGCAACATCCAGTAGATGTGCAGCAAAGAAAAAGTAGTTACGGTTTCCAAGGACTGAGAAGATGAAGTACCAGGCAATGTACAAGAAGGACTGAAAATATACAAATCTAGCAATGATAGATGAAATATAACAAATCTAGCAATGATTAATGAAATATAACAAATCTGGAAATGAAAGATAAACAAGTGAAAATGCGAGCTACTGCTCACTGATGATACCCCTGCCCAAATATGGATAATTTTAATAGTGTAAAAATATGTAAGTGATGAGTGATGAATCTGAAAATGCATCACACGGTATAGCTCACTCATATAAACCTTGAACCGGGGCCTCGGTGGCCGAGTGGTCTAAGTAGTTACTACTGCAATCACTAGCCAGTCAACACTGAGGTTGTGAGTTCGAACCTCGCTCGTGCGGTTGCACTCAACTCCAATCTTAATTGACTAGGATTGTCAGTTTTGAACCAAATTTCAGAAATCCTTGTAATGTAGTACCAGAGAAAAATGCTACGAAAAATATTCATGGGACGGACGGACGGATGGGCGGACAGACAGAGCTAAAACAGTATACCCCCACTTTTTAAAGTGGGGGGTATAAATATAACAAATCTAGCAATGATAGATAAAATATAACAAATCTGGAAATGAAAGATAAAATATAACAAATCTAGCAATGAAAGATGAAATGCAAAAAATCCTGCATCAGTATTGAAATTACAAAATAGTAATTGTGAGCAGAAATTACAAATTCAACCCCCCTCACCCTCTCTCAATTTATTCATATAGACAAAAAAATCCCATGTTTTGCTAATGGAAACATACAAATCATTTGGATTCAAATATGAAATAAAAGGTGCAGAATACTGTATATTATTTTCTAAAGGTATGAAAAATTAGCCACTGGCTTAAAAAGATATGCAGATACAAATTGTGAAGAGACGGAGAAATGAGTGGACACTTTGATCTTACATTGTACTTTAATACCTTATCCTGTGATGAAAGAAGGTGTTGAGGGTCATGATGAAAACTGTATTTTCCACAAAAAAATATGAATACCCCATTGATCGCATTATATGTTAATTCAATGAGTTTGTATGAGGGTCTGGATGGGGATCATTCATTTCTTTATTCTGTAACTTTTTAGACCATTTTTCTCTTTTCTTTATTCATTTTGACCATCATTCTCCATTCTTTATATTTCAAAATGTTTTTATTCCCTATTCTTTAATTTTTTTGCTTGTTTTCTCTATTCTTTATTTCTTTGCCTTTTTTTCTGCACTTTTTGTCCATTGTTCTCTATTCTGTAAACCCCATCCAGACCCTCTTTTATATGTCTAATACAACATTTCCAAATAAAATTTCTAAGTTTAATGATTATGTTGACTTACATTATCTGTAAAGATGACACCCCATTTCCATATCTGGTACTGCCAATCAACATTGCTGAGGCTAGAGGAGGAAATTAAACTATAGTTTGAATATGGCAACTTATAAACATGGTGGTGTGTAACAGATATTATTTCATTTTCTTTGAAATTAATTATCACGTGCATAATAACAATTTATCTCAGTTAAATGATTTGGATTTTCAAACAAAGTGCTTCTGGTCCTCAATTTACCTTTTTCTCTTTGCTTCTGAAAATAATTTGTTTTGAATCATGTCTTTCTACCAGTATAAGCACTATGTGGTTAGCTCATAAAATAGTTTTATTCAGGAAAATATGAAACTAAAAATCTTTATGCTAAAAACTTTATGAAAAAAACTGTATGACATATACTGTGAATTCATTTATTTTCAGGGGTACCAATTTTTGTGGATTGAGGAAAAATTGTACATTTGTTGATGTTTGATTTTATGGTTTTGCCAAAGTTTACCTATTTATCAACAGAAAAGTTGTATTTCGATGTACATTTAAATTTGAGCATCACCTATACCAACATAAATTGGTCTCACACGATTAATTATGAATCCAAAGTAACACATTTATAAATATTTCTTTATCATAATACCCTTAAAATAAAGTGTATACTCCTTTCACATATAAATATAAATGTATTCTCCTTTCACATATAAATATAATGTTAAAACTTACAAGGATGGGAGGACACCAGATTTCTGTTCCTCTCCTATTTTGATGGAATCACTTTTGTCCATTCCCAATAGGTTACTGATAGCTTCATAGTCATACTGCTCTGCATACCTAGCTCTCACCTTAAACCAACAACAATTTCAAAGTCAATTCTAATTTTTACTCTATCAATTCTATATATTACTTAAGTCAAACGAAAGAGCCATACTGAATTTTATATGTGAACTAAAAACCTAATATATACCTTATTCTAATATCAAAAGAATCACAAGTTACACATTCCATTTTCTGTCAACATTTGCCTTTGGCTATAGATAGGTTTCGATAGACACTATTTGAGCAAAAGTTACTTCCCTTTTGTTGCCTTGCTGGAGGTCTATGTGGAAAAGTTCCTGCATAAATCAGTCAAATTCAATTTATTATACTGACTGACTTAAGAAAAAGTTATTTTCTGAACAATATTTATTTCTCTTAGCCTTACTTGGTTCATCACTACAACATAGTAAGGACCTCTTTTCAGACTTTGTGGTATTGCATGTTTTAATTTGGTTAGTCAAATAAGAAAATCAAAGATTTACCCCTCCAAAATGGGGACCAAGGGAAATAACTCAGACTCAAATTACATCATATTGAAACCTAGCTATTGCTGTGTACTATTTCAATTCAGATATGCTATGATTGAAATATGCTGTTTATTTCAAATTAATAATCTGAAAAAAAAAAATATAAATCTTATCTTATAAACCAAGGCCCTCACCTTCTTTTTAACAAACTTGTCCCAGTAACTTTCTGGAAATGACTGGGTACTTAGCACAAGTTTATCCCAGTGTGCCTTGATATCATCTTCTGGTTGCTCAGCTACCCACAATCCCTCAAATTCCAACTTCCTGGCAATTTCCTTCTCTCTTTTGAAAATAACTAAAGGAACTTTGAGACAGTAGTAGGCAATGAGCATAGAGAATGATATCACACTATGAGCAATAGCTAGGATCTGCATCATGTATTCTCTAAAGTAAATGTCATCTTCCATGGCAACGACCTCAGCGAACTCTTGCTCTACCTCACCACCTCCTGTTGCATTGTTGTCACTGTTGTCCTCTGCTTCTTCTCCTGCTAATGGGATTCTGTTAACCTAATAGGGATAGTATACATTGATTGTTTTAGTATTTACCAAGTAATTAATAATTGTGCAGAATAGTAATTAATTTAACACAGGGGCTGTCTGAATCATGCTGTAAGTTGTGATTTCTTTAGCTCAACATCAATGAAGGCTGTCAAAGAGTCAGCCATTTGGTTTAATTAATCAAAGTACTGAAGTACTGAACATCGGATGACCACAAGTTCTTGAGGATGGTCAAAAGCACTTGTCTCAGAAAAAAACAACATATCTCTTTACCTAAAACTGAGGTTAATGAACAGAGATATATTTTTTTCTGAGACAAGTTCGTGCGTGGATGATGAATAAATGACAGGAAATTCAACTTCACCGTAATAACTATTATATTGTAGTGATACAAATCAGTATACACTGAGTTGTTGTTTATATTATATTAAAATAACAGTTACATATATATATGATTTGAATCCATTTGTATATCATTCTATTCTACTATTCTAAAAATAGTGCAATGCAAGTGCATGGTGGACACTTTTCTGTAAAAATTCGATTTTTCTAAGATTGGATACGAGTAGGCATTCATATTTTCCCGCAAAATCAATTACAGAGTTACCGGTCCTTGACGGTATTTTCACAAAACGTTCTTTGAGATATTCTTCCGCATGCTTTAACACAATTTTTCGGTACTTGTGCATTGATATTATCAATGATTTTTTAATTATATATATATATCTAACTACAAAACATTTTCATATTATTAATTTATGTTGTAAACAAAAATATTTTTATCAGTATTCATTGAAGAGATGTATTTATATCAAACGATAAGGAATGTTATTTTGCACTCGTTTATGTGCGCGTATTTATCATGTTTATAGATCGGTTACAAACCCAAAACTAATTTACATAATGGAAATCTAGGCGAAAGCAATACATCGGGATGACCTCAAGGTCATCGCGATGTAAAAATGAACTCTTACTATTTTACTACTAATATTCTTGTCAAATTGTCACATACAGATATTAAAAATTCAGAAATTATGGGGATGTTTTTATTATTGCGAAAAATGTGACAGTATCAGATTCGCAACAATATAAAATGGCATTCATAATTTCTGTAGTGATTTTCCTTTTAATACAAAATTTGCAATCACATTATTTAGATCTTGCAATTTTACCAGTAATCAGTGGTTCCCAATAATTAATGCATGTATTAATTTCTGAATTTTCAGTAGTAAAAGCTTAGTGTCTTGGATAATAGACTTTCAAACATGAACATGATTCAAGTATTTCTACATGTAATTTTTAAGACACTCACCCTGTAGAATAACAGCATGACATTGATAATAAAGGCAAGAACCAAGGCTGCATATTTAAAGTTGTAAAAATTCCTGGCAAACAAACTCTGAAAGTAGATATATAAGCCACTTAACAACCAAGTTTACAAGCAAAACACTCATATTAGTTTTGTTTACAAGTAAAATGTCATTATCAGTTCTAAATAAGATTTTGTGGCCTCGGTGGCCGATTGGTCTAAGTAGTTCATCTACTGTATCACTAGCCTATCAACACTGAGGTTGTAAGTTCGAACAAGGCACGTGGCAGGTGCACTTGACTCCAATCTAAATTGAGCATGATTGCCAGCTTTTCTGCCAAAATTGAGCGGTTGTCTACAGGCACTACACCTTCCTCAACAAATAAAAAATGGGCCACCAAAATATAGCCTATAACTGCTGTAAGTGACATTGAACACCAAAAATCAATCAATCTGATAAAATTTTCAGTTTGTATATAAAGTCAATAATTCAATTCTAATCTAATCCGTACAGTGACATTTAGTTGTTAATTTCTGTGTCATTTGATCTCTGGTGGAGAGCTGTCTCATTGGCAATCATACCACATCTTCTTTTTATATAGCAGTGAATTGACCACAAGAGGAACAATCTTGATGCAAGTATCTTTAACAAAGAACTGTTTTTCAGGATAAGGTTAAAAGGGGTTCATTCTTTTGGTTTTGCACCAAGTTGAACAAGGACTTGTGAAAACTGGGAATGATTCTAGATGGATCATTGAAGGACATTCTTCCAAAATTCTTTAAAATGTGTTCAAAAAGGTTTCTTTCTACAGTACAAATTGAAGTTGAGCAGTATATTTTATGGAATGATGGAAAAGTGTAACACCCTGGAATTGGATCATTGAGGTAAATTTCTTCTTTAAATTGACTTTGATAGACACAGGTACATTCTGAAATGGATTGCAAAATAGGCAGAGAAACAAGGATTGAAAACTTTATTACCGCAAATTTTCGGAAAATATTCTGTAAAAACAAAACATATGTGATAATGACTTTAAATCAATATTTTTGTTTTAAAAGATGAAATTCACAATGAATGGGAATTATCTTATTCTTAACTATTTACTATAAAATTTTTAGACTTAAGAATTTGAACAAATAGTTATTGTCAACAAAAGAAATATTAATTCATGACTTTGATAACTTTTATCTTAAATAATGCTACCATTCATCGGTATAGAGAAAATATTAATATCTAACAGTAAACCTCCTGAAGGGAAAACATAACGTTATTCCCTTAAGGTCTTAATCGTAACTAAAAGAAAATGTTAATATCTTATACATTTAACTAATAGATATACATACCAAAACATATTTTCCCCAATCAAAACTCTTTGCTTCATATGGTAATTCATCATCTTCTCCAGGTTTAGGTGTTGAAGTTCTGAAAATATATGTTTTGAAAGTCAGTCTAGATATAACTTATAACGGCAAAGAAGAAAAATGGTGTATGAATTCTTCACACAAAATCTTTACAATTAACAAAACCCAAAGCAAAGGACCATCAATTTTATTGCTGTTCTTCATCCTGACAAGTTATAGGCTGTCTAATATCCTTTCTGTCAAATGTAAAAGAACTTGAACAACTTAATAAGCATGTTATGAAATACTTTTTATAGTCAAACCTTGATGAATCAGATCAAACATAATTTTTTCAACACTTTTTCATGAAAAATATCAAGTCATACTTAGTATTAATTACTCATGCTTTAATTTGAATGGAAACATTTTTTAAATAATTTTTTTATAATAATGCATTAACGTTGAAGTAATTAATTGGGATTGCATGCGAGTTAGCAGGGAAGGGTTTATTCTGGGATTTAGTTTTACCTTGGGACAGAATCTACTGGTTCTTCTGTTTCTGTTATAGGAACTTCCTGTACTGCAGGCTCAGTATGCTGAAAATAAATCAGTCAAGTTAATCATTGGAAGTGGACAATATAAATATTTCATACCATTCACTGTCATTTACTTAAAACAACCTTTCTTTGCGATGGACCGACATTTTTATCAGGTAACAGAAATTAATTCTAACTGCACCTTGAAAAAGCATTTTGGTCAATGGTATTCTGAAAGGACAAAGGGTCCAAGACAGACAGAGTAGCATATAAACTGTTTCTGTTGTAGGATTTGTTATTTGCTGTTAGCATGTGCTATCATTGAAAGCATATGATAGAATCCTAATAAGGTTTTCTAATTGTTTGGTGTTGTTGGGTAACTGTCTTGTTGCTGTTTTCCCTAATATATCTTCTTACTTACTTAGCATTAAGAATCTGAGTTTGTAATGCTTGAACTTTCATATTGGTTCAGGCAGTACAATGATATTTACACTTTAATACTTCTTAAACAATGGTCACAGTTCCCAAAAAAAGATCATCAAAACCCTTTCAAAATAGTAAAGCCTGAATTTGATGCTAAAATGAGTTATTTCTGTTCTAGGGAAATTGTACTGGTTTGCTGCAGTGAAAAATAGCAATGGAACAGTAAAGAAAGGGGACTGACTAAAATCAGAACATAATTTTAGATTCAAACAAGAATGCATGCCTTGTCATTCTAAGCACATTATTATTCAATATATCAAAAAACAGGATGGAGGTGTCTCACAGATTAAAATAATAGCTCACACTTTACACCTCATCACTGTTAATCTGCTAACCAAATATTAGCCATTCTTTTTAGTAGTTCTGGAGAAATATGTGACGATTTTTTTTTAGTTCAATCAACATATTGAAAAGTTCAAATTATTTGAAAACAGGAAGTAGGTGTCTGACAGATATGAAAAGTGCTCATACTTTACAACTCGTCACTGTCAGCTAAATATACTAAAATACTACAGACCAAATATGGAGAAATACCAGAGAAAATTATGACAGAAATATTTGTTGCACAAACAAATGGATAGAGGGACGGAGAAGGTGAATGCAATATGGACCCTGGTATAAATAATGCATTTAAAAAGGCTTGCTACAAAATGTCAACAACATTTTCACAACGACTTCCCAAGTACATGTACATAAAAAACAATATTTCCATATACAATGTTCCTGTTGATGGAGTGACTACTTTTAAAATTTTGTATTGGGTTGGTGTACTGTTATTTTGGTAACATAGTCTCTTTTTATTCATGTACATGAAAGTATAATTTATTCCAACTACCTCTTTAACAGGTGGTGTACTTGTTTCGGTCTGTGTATCAGGTGTTTTTGTAACTCCATTGGCAAGGTGTGATCTGAAAAAATAAAATTATAATAAATGCAATGATTCAGTCTTTCTTAGTGGTCACTTTCCTAGTTAAGATAACACTAACACAAGCTTAACTGACCTAAACAAATGTTCAACCTACGCCTTGATTCGTATCTTTAAAAGCTGTATTAATTGTCTTCCATTATTTCATATCCACAATAGAATTTTTCTTCATATTCTTAAATCTATGATGTACAATGCTTGTGCTTAAGAAATGCATATTTGAAAATCTCTAAATGATTTAGTATTACTGTAAATTCCAAATTTTTTCCAATGTTTTCAGTATTGCAAAAAATGTGAAGGGATAAATTTTGCAAAAATAAAAAACTCAAATTTTAAATTTGAATAGCATTAAAGGTATGCAACATTTCCTGAATTCATATTAATTAATCTCACATTTTTGTTTATTGTTCGACAATTGCAATAATAAATGAAGGCAAATATTTCTGAACCTATACTATCTTAGCTTAAGTTTTATCACATAACAAGAATGTGTCCATAGTGGACCGTGAAATTTGGGTCAAAACTCTAATTTGGCATAAAAATTTGAAAGATCATATCATAAGGAACATGTGTACAAAGTTTCAAGTTGATTGGACTTCAACTTCATCAAAAACTACCTTGACCAAAAACTTTAACCTGAAGCAAGACAGACGGACGAACGGACGAACAGACGAACAAACGGACAGACGCACAGACCGAATAACATAATGCCATTAGGTGGGATATAAAATCACAAAGAGGTAACACTTACTCCTCTGTTTCACTCTCCTGTTCTGATTTCATGGGTATTCCAAATGGTGTCATTGTTTCCGATGTTTCTAGTTCCATGGGAGGTATATATACTCTCGGTGGGGGCGGAGCAGGAAGTGCTAACATGGCTGGCTGTGAATCTTCTACAGACTCCTCCCGTTCTCCTTTCATCATGTTAAATATGAACTTCATCAATGTCCTGATAAAAAAAAAGAACAGTGGTATATTAGCTAAAGTATATTCATTATAAAATTATATTTATTTGGTAACTTTTATGCAAAATAGGATTCAAACTAGATTCTAGGACTATTTGAATGAATTGTAATTATGCTCAAAGACCAGCACTCTTGAGTATGCAATACTGCTTCATAAGATATCAAAGCACTATATCTTATCTTAGTTTGTATCAAATATTATTTACACTTTTTTTCTCCAATGATTGATTATCTTGACCATGTTAACTAGATATTTCTTTGACTTTGAAATAGTTAGATCTCTTTTCTTTCAATTCTTGTTTAAAAGAGATTTTTCCCCTTAATATACATATATAAAATATATTCTAATATGATGTCCTGCTTTTAATGATGGTATGTTACATAGTTAATATATTAAACCAACAAGTTAGAGTATGTCTGCAAAGATACTAAAATATAGCAATCTGAATTTCACAAAAATCTATCAATCATCAAACTCACCACATAACATGGAATAAGAACGTCAACAGTAGGAAAGCCAGTCTGAAGTTCAACTTGATCATGGCTACAAATAACTGCCAGTATGTCATTTTCTTAAATGTCTGATAACCCCACTTCATATTGGTCCATGTAAATAAGGACAATATAGTTGATAAACCATCAACAGCAAATCTATAGACTGTAGATATTGGTTCTAGTAATCTGAAAAAAATAATGAAAATTAGCATTCAAAGTTATTGCTTTAAACTTTTAACTATTCAAAATATGTCCACATTTCCTACCTCCATACTCATTGAAAATTTTAGCAGAAGCTACTTATTGAATTTCTATCTAAATGATTTTGTCTTGGTTATGAATGAACTATTTACAACCTGATGTTTACAATAATCAATCAATTTAAAAAAGAAAATTATACTAATCTTGTCTTTATTCATCTCAAAATTGTATATCATTATATTTTGATTTACCATTTGTTTTATTCTATTTTAGATGTTATGATCATAAGACAATATTGCCAGACTACCTACCCTCCCTCTTGTACTCCTGTACCACTCCTCATAGCTGCTAGTCTCTGTTCCTCAGCACTTATACTGGTGGCATGCTGCATCTATTATATTAAGAAGAGTTGGGTTTTAATAAAGATGTAGACTTTATAAAAAAACATTTTATAAAAGTTTAAATAAAACCATAAAATTTTCACAAATTCACTCATTCTGGTAGTGAGACATCTTATCTATTGTGAATCCTCAATGCATTTTACACTTTTATGCAAACAAAATATCAGTTACCTTTTTATGGGAAGAATAGACACAAGTCAAAAAGACACTAGCTATTTGACACAGCTTGGAATAAGATTTAAACAATAATGGCCATTTGACACAGCTTGGAATAAGATTTAAACAATAATGGCCATTTGCAAGAAAGCAGTCAACACAAGTATGATTATGTCTGCTATCTAGTGAAATAAATAAAGGAGAAGGTCTGGTAAGGGCTAGTTTTGGCCTAATATTCGAAGTACATCTAATAAAAGATTTTTGACATTTTTTAAACATTAAGTGTCTACTTCAGTCGATTCAATTAGTTTATGTAAAAGATTTGAACTGATTTGATAATTAGAGAAGCTCAAATTCACGCTTAAATTTGCAAAATCTATCAAAAATGCCATAAAACGTAGATGGTTTTTGTCTAAAATGGAAGTGGCCGCATTCGTGTGCAGTCTCAATCTTTATATATGTTATGTATTATCTTCAAATACAACATATATTTAAATTTTAAGACTGAACACAAATGCGGCCACTTCCATTTTAAACAAAAACCGTCTTAAAATTAGCACAAATGCTAAAATTGTGAAGAATTCAGTAATAATGAACGAATTTATGATGCTATTACCTGCTGCATGTGCATTGTATTGTCAAAAACAGCCCTTATTTATGGAACAGATGTATTCTACTTTCCAATAAATAGCTTAAAGTTTACATTTTAACATATTGATAAAAATGCTATATTTTGGGGCCAAAAAGGGGTCTTACTGGGCCTACTCCTTTATCAAAGAAATTTTTCAAATCAACACAAAAATTCCAATACCTCAAAGATGCTGTCTTCACAGAAGTTGACAAAGCTCTCTAGTTTTTCTTTGTCCCCTCCTTCATTCACTACACTGTGTAGGAAAGATCTCTTGGACTCTTTGATCTGTGGTTTCTCCCATTGGTCTATATGGGACTGTTTGATCTCAAAATAGACCCGCTCTATCTTGTTGCTGCTACCCATGATTTCTATTCTACCAAGGTAGGGTCCAAAATAATCCAACACACTACGAGCCTTCTCTAGGAATCTTTCAAGTCTACAAACAAATCATTACTATAGTGAGTAAATTTTAAAAATACCATTCAGTGACCAAAACAGTTCCTTAAAAATAGAATGTAATGCCCAAAATTATATTAATAATATTCCAAATAAAATTGAGAACGGAAATGGGGAATGTGTCAAAGAGACAACAACCCAACCATAGAGCAGATAACAGCCGAAGGCCACCAATAGGTCTTCAAAACCCTATTTGAGCATTCCTAGTGCAAGTAAATCCAGAAATATCTAGCAAATGCAGTTAGTCTCTTTGTTTATAAACAAATGGAAAGAAAGGAGTTACTTTTTTCATTCATAACTTTAAAAGCAATTTGAACAAAATCTATACTTACCGAGGATCAGATGGCATGTGCTCTGACAAATTAGTTAACAGTACAGCCATTGTAAAACCAATGTCTTTAGCAGGATTATGGAATCTGTCAGTAAACTCATTGAAATCCACCTTTCCGTCTTGATTTGCATCCACACACATCATAATGTAATCTATTTCCTCACTGTAAAAATAAATAAAAAACTTCTTGTATGAATAAATGATTTCTGATACATGTATATTCTTTTAATCCAAATACATATATCTGATATTTAAAAAGGTACTTTGTAAACTGTAAAATATGGATATTTTGGAATTTAGAATCAAGTAAATATGTGGAAAACTTACATAAGAAACCTGAAGTAAAATACCAGGGCCCTCGGTCATAAAACTTTACTCAGTACTCGGAGTAGGAAATTTGTGCTCGAAACACCAAATCCAGTATTTTGATTGGTTGATTTCCGAGTCTGAGTACAATTATCGTGCTCGAAAGTTTTATGACCGCAAGACCAGGGAAATGAACAAAGTAAGAAAACAAACTTTTTATTGCTGTTCTTCATTTTGAAATTGACGACAATGAGATAATCATACTAAACCAAAACATCTCTATTTCAAATTTGATCAAACAAATTTTCTAAAACATCAAAATCCAAATTAACAGACCAAACAACACACAAAATAAGGTGTTTTGAAAAAAAAAAAAAAAACAATATCTATATCCATACTGGTCAAGTCTGGAAAAATTTTACATTTTTCTTAGAAACAGCTAATGAACAGTAGTCTGGTAGGATATCAAAGGTTAGGCCATTCAAACAAATCTATTTTTCTCTCAGTATGTGCAAAGCAGCAGTGAGCTTTTAAATTCTTAAAACTTTATTGATTCTAAATGTATCATTTTTATTTAGAATCAAATCAGATAGCCTGGCAATGGCTGATGCCATGCATATGGGATGGGATTGCTTCCCTTGAGTTGTTGAAACTTAGCCAACCGTAATTGAAAGTGGGTTAAAGCACTGAATTGAAGCACAGAGATCCCAGGTTAGAGTACCTGAGGAGATTATGTAATTTTGTAATCAGAATCGTGCTCTCTGGTTACACATGACTTTTTTTATTTGATCTGCAACTAGATATCTATCCGCTACTAGATATAAAGCCAAATTGATTAATTTGAAAATAAAATGTAAAAGATTCTATGCTACGTTAAAATCAACTGCCTTCATTTTTTAACCTAAAGTTTTCATAAAAATAATAAACTGCTTCGCCTCGTGCAGCTGGATATGACCACAGAGGTCCAACCCTGAACAGTTGGGGCAAAAATGGACACAATATTCAAGCTTGATACAGGTCTGAATTTGGATTGTAATTAAATATTTGACACATTATAGGTTTCTGACACAGAATAAATGTAGTCAAAGAGCTTGAAATTGGTTGTATGATTTGAATTTATATTCAATTGAAGATTTCTTGCTGTTGTGCAATACACTGTGCTGTTGCGCAATACTTAGTAAATCTGTTTTCAGACTATATACAAAGAATTAGCAAAATAAATTGTGACCCCCAGTTTTTTTCTTTGGAAATTGACAATTTCTTAAATCTTGAGATCCTCTCCCTCCCCCCCCCCCCCCTCCAAAAAAAAAAATATTTGAAGAGAATTTTCTTTTGAAAATTGCCCCCCCCCCCCCCCCCCCCCCCAAAAAAAAAAATAATTTGTTTACCCCAAAAACAATCCCAACCTTCCTTTTGAGGTATTGAACCTTTTGATTAAATTTCATAGAGATCCATATACTTAAACTAAAGTTATTGTCTGGAAACCAAATGTCTTCGGACAACGACGACGACGTAATACCAATATATGACTGACCACAAAAATGTTTGTGGTCGTATAAAGACTCTTAGAAAACATTTCAATCATCTAAGATGCAATACTGTGTGAGAAAATTAAGATTTATTTTGCATAGCCTTAGGTTACCATATAAGAAAGACAGTTAATGGGTATAGAAAACTGCTAAAATATCTGGAAACTCTTCCTTTTGAACCCCTCTTATTGATGGAATAAGCATAGACATACATAAAGGGGGGTTCAAAAGGAAGTCTGCCAAATATCCTTTAAATAATGAACATAAATGCAAACATTTTAAGGATAAATAATATCATTACAAATATCTTAATAAAACTACTATTTGTGTCATGCATGGTTGATTTTGATGTTATTTTTTTGGATCTGGTTGAACACATACTCCGGGCATCATGCATGACTTACTCTGTGTAAGTTTTTTGAGCTTCCAAAGCTTTCTTAAATTCTTTAGGCGATATCCAGCCATCATTATTAGCATCAAACTCCTACAGCACAACACAACAGTGAATACAATATCTAAGTAATCTATTATATATTTATATGCACATGTAGCTTCCAGTCATATTACAGAAGAAACCATTCACCAGTTGACCAAATTTTCTTGCATGTGATCAATGGTATATTCAGATTGTTACAAGAGCAGTTTAAAAACGGGAAGTTGTTGAAATAAGAAATTGCGTAAGTGGAACTTAATAATTCTAAGACAAATTTATGTGAATCAATATGTTTCACCTAAGCTGAAATGATTTATGCAGCTTCAATTTTTAAAAATCAATGAATATCTGAATTTAAGAAGTGACCATTTGAAAGAAAACTGGTTTAAAGGTGAATGATGTCTGAAGTCACTACTGATGAAACAAGATTGCAATTTAGTTAATAACCAGACAAGATCTGAAAGATTTAGGACAGACAAAAATTTAAAAAAACGTGTTTTTTTACAGAATATCTTTCAAATAAATTAATATTTTAATAAATTTGTTTTTAATGGTAATTAAAGCTACTGCTGCAGATGACAGTTAATTTTACAGTAATAAGGTACTGAGACAAGGTTGTTATTGCTATATTCAGGATCTTGTTTCATCAGTATGTCACAAAGCCAGAAGTCCAGTAAGGATTTCTGATAAAGCTTATACTACAGAATAATGAATATATATGACACACCGTGTGTACATTTTCTGACCCTCCATTGCTTTACGGAATTCCTTGGCAGAAATATAACCATCTTTATTGGTATCAAACTCCTGTAAGAATGAAATTAATCAATTGTTGTGTAAAAGTATTTCAAAACAATGTTCTCGGCGATTGGTTTATTCAAATAAATATTAAATGTTTAATTGTTTTTATTTTCTAATTGCAGAACTTAAAATTAAAGATCTCAAAATAGAATTCACTGTTTACACATGTTTTGTTGGTTCATGAACCAAAACAAATCTTTTACTATGGGGCTTGCAATTTTTTAAATAGGAAAATTTAGAAGTTAAAAAATAGTCCAAGGGTAAAAAATTCTAAGAAAAACGTAATGTTCACAAAGGGTGACTATTGGTTCTAAAAAGCAATGAATTATAAAATGTAATCTTAATATTCTGATGAAGTCATATGAATATCAATCAATATTTGGAATATTCTTTCTTTCTCTGCCCCATGAAGATACAAATCATTATTTTTACTATTTAAGCCTTAATTAGAACAGTTCTGCCAGTCATCATAGGCTACATAAATGGACCAACATAATTTTTTTATCAAATGTGTATCGTCACCTATGGGCATCTTTTTTTGGACCAAAGGTGTTGCCAATGTGTTCAAGCATGGAATTAACTTTCTAAATGAATTTTCGATTGAAAACGAAATGTAATAAATCTTGGTGAGAAATTAAGGCTTTTATAACCCTACTCCTATGATCAAAATAAAATTTAAGGAACTAAAAACACCTGAAAAATAAGGCTCAAGTAGAATTAATATAACAACAATAGTGTTGATTTTTTTATAACTTTAATCACAATTAAATTACATTTTTTTTTTCATGAATTACTTACTACTCCTAACCAAAATATAAACATATTTCTGGAAATAGATTTATACTAATAATAGACATCACAAAATTCAAACAGCATTTTATCATTTTTCAGTGTTTCTCATAAACCTTATATCATTTTTAATTCAGATTATGTTGACTTCAAATCAAGAACTCTGGAGTTGATTTAACAACAAATATTCATTTTCCTACAAAAAAATGTAATTGTTCGTCATTAAGAACTTACCAGGAAAGCTTCCGAGGTAGTCAAGTCCTTCATTTTCAAGAAAATGTCAAAGAACTTCAAAATCATCTGAAATTAAATATGAACTTAAAGTAAAAGAACTGAAAATCAGTTTCAGCAATCAACATTAACATAAAAGTTATCACCTGAATTTTTTAATTTCAACTGGCTTTTTATCTTATGAAAGAAGTTCTAACTGAATGAAACAGGATCTTTGTAGTTGTTTAAGCCAAACCCAACCAGATCAATTTTCTTGCAAATAAATGGTCATTTAAATTTCATTCAGGGTTATAAAAAAATGACAAGTTTTGAAATCAATATTAAACCATTTTGGTTTCAGCACCTAAATGTAACACTTTTTAAAATAGCTAGATAAATAATTCAAGATTGACCACTGGTTAACAAACGAATGGTTTATGTGATAATATACCAGATATTACAGTAAGAGCTTAAAAACAATATGTTGATATGTAAGTCAATTGTATACAAACCTCAACGTTAGCTGATGATTCTACCAGTGTGTCCACCATCTGTTTACCAATAGGTCCATTCATAACATTTCCTGTAATATACAGATATATCTTATTGTAATTTTCAAACATGCAAGAATTCTTCCATAAAATCCAACTTTCACAGTTTTATAATTCATAATTCATATATGATTATAATTTATAATTGGTATTGAAAATAAAAGGATAAGCTTTCTGGTATAAACATAATTTTTTTTAAGTTACTATTTTTTGGCATTACAAACTAACCTTCCAACATAGATAGTAACATGATCATCATTTCTTTTTGTAATTTCATGAATTCTCTTAACAACTCCAGCTGTTCACAGTCCTGAAATTAAAAAATTAAACAAGTGAAACTGCGAACTACTGCTCACTGATGATACCCCTGCTGCCCAATGTAAGTGTTCGGTAAACAGGAAGTTGTTGAGTAATGAATCTGAAAACGCATCACACCGTATAGCTGACTTATATAAACCCTGAAACCAAATTTCAGAAATCCTTATGATGTCGTTCCTGAGAAAGATGGGACGAAAAATATTCATGGGACGGACAGACGGACAGACAGAGGTAAAACAGTATACCCCTACTTTTTAAAGCAGGGGTGTAACCACTTTTTTAAAGCGGGGGTATAATAATAAAGAATATATCAAGTCTAAAAAATTGCCTTTTAAACCAAAAAATACAAGTAATTACACATGGTAATTATATTACAAGCCTTTGAATTGTAAAAAGACATTTTATATTTGTAAGAATGCCCTTATATTTTTCACTATGTCAAATTCTGAAATTTTATGATCACTAATCTTATTAAGCTTTAAAATAATATTACACAGTATTAAAAGACAATAACAATGTAAACTGAAGTCATCTTCTGTAGATTCAACAATTTCTTTCTACTTCAAAATTTCCCTTTTTAATATTTATCACATATATTTCCAACTTATTACCTGAGTTGCTTGAGATTATGTAAGACATCACACTTATTTATCTTTACCTTTATGTGTTTATCTGGCTTATGAGCAAATATGTACAGGACACACTAACTTTAAAAGATTTTTTGCATGTTTCCAAGTACAGAAAACATATAACTTGTACCTTTTAAATATACTTTCATCAGCTTACAAAAGAGCAGATATGTAAAGGAAACTTTGAAATCATTTTGGGTACTGTAAATTCAGAAATTATTGCGTGCATTTATTATTGCGAATTTTAAAGAAATGACAAAAATGCGATTTTAATAACAGCGATTTCAGGAAAGTTTACCTACAGATATATGTATCGGATATCAAAATACGAGTTCTTATTATTGCGATACTCACTCTTTCGCATTTTTCGCATTAATAAAAACCTCGCAATAATTTCTGAATTTACAGTACCTTATTTGTCTTGTGAGCAAGTATGTAGAAAAACCTCCAAATTACAACTTACCTTAGAAAGTTTATCTTGCATGTGAGCAAATATGTACAGGAAACCTCCTACTGCATCCCACAATCTACTGTGTGCTAAAGCTAACTGATTCAAGGCACAAGGTCCCTAAAGGTCAATGGAATAATGTACATATTAAATAGCAATGGGAAAACAGGAAAGTATTTGCTGAAAAAGGTGGAAGAAATTAAACCTTCCTCACTCAGTGACTGAAAGAAATATAACACAGTTGTAATTATTTTAATAAGATGGAAATGCTTTGTGCCATGCATGAAAAAGTAAGCCTCATATTGGATTTATTTTAATACAAAAATACTCTCATTCATTCAAATTAAATAATCTTTGGATGAAATTGCATTTTAAAACTTGCCTGTATATATTCTGTGAGACTTCTGAAGATTTGTTTGGCAACCATGATGGCCCTACAGAAACTTTCTTTACCAGACTGGTCTATGGTGTCTTTACCAGAGTAGTGCCAGTAAAAGTCCATGATGGACTCCTGTAGCCTCAGTAGATAATCAACAGTACAGATGACAACATTCACAGTGGTGTTGTTACCTGCTTGGGTTCTCAAGTAATTCTGGAATTCTACAATATATCAACACAAGACTTTAGTAAAATATTTGATACTATGAACTCATATCCTTTTATTCGCACATTCAATTCCTCTTACAAGCAGTCATACATTCTCAGATTCAAGATATACACAACTAGAATAAAAACATTTTTATAACACTTTTCACTAAGTCTTACAAATTTTCAAATGAAACTCTAATAAAGCTTCAATAAAAAATAAATCTTCATGCAGTGAAACAAAAATATATATAAATCTTACCTGCATTATGGCCTTCACACAGCAGCTGAAGGAATCTGAACAGTTTACATGTGGTTTCAGCATCATAAAGATTTGTCTCCCCTGCATTAGCATCAGAGCTCATACCTAATCCTTCTGCCTTGTTTGTTCTCTCAAATGCATCAAGATCCAACACACTGTTAAACATAGATTGAAGATTTTGTTACAATTTTTTTTTTTACAGCTGTTCTATAAATGTTTTCTTTCAGGAATGACTTGAACTGAATTATGGGTGCTCTTTGTCCTACATCTATTCCATTAGAACAATGGGTGAGGCACAGTAAAAATATGGCAGCCACACTACATATATGCATTGAATTAAAAAATGTAGAATCGCCCCAAAATCTTCTGCTCAAAAAACTCTTTCAAGTAAATATGGGTAAATAAATACTGTTTTACTCTAAGGAAATACCAAAATTAACCTCTGCAACAGACAAGGGTTGCAATGCCAGATGGAAACAGTGATGGTTGTCATACTTTTATATCCTAGCAACCCTTTGGAGTATTTTGAATGTGAATGTATATGTAGAGACTATTGTTCACTTCTGAACACACTTACCTGCATGACTGCATTAGCCCAGACAAAGAGGTAAAGAATCCTACATCCTTCTTATCTTTCAGATGGTTTAACATTTTCTGAAATAACAATTTGCAATCAACTATATTAGAAGAAAATAGCTCTCCTTTCTTCTCTTTTGAAATGAGGCTTATATATAATTTTAAATATCAGAAAATTTTGTCAATGATTTGATTTGTGCATCAGATTAAAAATGTACAGCAAGTAAAAAAAAAATTGTAGGCTAAAATTTTATTAATCTGCACTTTCATATAATCCACGAAGTGACAAAGATTTTTAAGTTTTACTGTGACTTGACTGGAAGTGTTGCTCTCCACCAGTTGCAGTTCATTTAAAATTTACATTGTGTAATGGTTGCACCATGCAAATATGCCAAATGTTAAAGCCTGAATATAAAACTACAAGTTACCTTTTGAACCTCTGTGTTACCTCCTCTTAATAAGGAGATGCCTAGTTCTATTGTGTCTGTTACCATGGCACTCTGGACACCTAAAAAAACAGGAAAAACAGTTTATTTTTGCTTGTTTTGACATCAGTTAACAGGGTATGAAAAAGTTAACATACAAAATATCTTAAAGTTTTCTTTTTAGAAAACACTTAGTTACAGAGCCCAATGTGATTTAAAAAATCTTGGCTATGATAATCTTTTAGGGTACCTCTTGATCATAAAGTATCCAATGTATTGGCATATCTTTCCTACCTTACATTTGGCTATGAGCATTTGAATAGCACAATAGTATTGTGAATTCATAGAAAGATACAGAAGCGCTTCATTTATCTTATTCATAGTAAATGGTTAAACTTAAAAAAAATGTGAGAGAAGAAAATATAAAAGAATACTCTAATATATTATTTTTGGCTTTACAAATTTATTAAAATTTCTCCCCTGGACAAATATTGAATTCTGATGTTTCTTTTACACCAATTATAGACCAAGCACAAAATAAATACATATATCCAAAATTGAGTGGCCAAATTTTTTAAATGAACTCTGTTAAAGACTAGAATGGCAATTGACTATAAGATAGAAGGTGCAACAATGAGATTTCAATATTACCTCTACAAGCACTAATATACAGTAAGACCATTTCTGCTGCTCCACGATCAGCCAACCGTGACTGCTCAAATAACAGCTGTTGTTTTTCCATTTCTTGTTCCTGAAAAAGAATTATTTTTGTGTCATTAAAATAAAAACATGGCCATAACATTCTGAAACTTGCACTGCAGTTCCCTGCTCAAATAATGCATATTTGAAGACAATTAATAAATCGGTAATTATTTTTCAAATGTCAATACTTGAAAATCTGGTGCACTTTCAGTTACTTGTAATTATATTTTAAGCTGGCATAGAAATGGATTCTGTTATGTTCTAATTTAAAAATATATAACAGTTCTGCACTGCTGACGTTGTGCCAAATCTGCAAGAAAGATTCTGATATAGTATTCATACTAGGTGGTTGACTACAAGGCTTTGACTAAGTGAGGATAATATATATCAAGTGTGCAAGCTTATATTTTTAAGTCATAAAAAAATAATTATCATCTTATTATCAGATCTGCATTAGTTCTTTGTGATTGGCTATATGAAGTTTCAGTTATCGATTCTATTTTTCAATAAGTTCCTTTCTTGGAACTACTTTCATTTCAACAGTACACAATATGACTGACTTCTTCATGTCTTCTTTCTTATTAATAGATAGAAAGATATGCTGAGCAGAATAGTTGTCTTCATTGATACTTTTTTTTTTATGCTACAAATCTGAGCGATTTTGTCTACCATGATAGAATTTTTCTATACATGATGAAATTACATTTATAAATGCTCTAAACGATAGGTTTGAAGTATTTTTCTCCATCATTTCTATTTTTGGTATACGATAATAATATTATTTTTTATGATTCATTGATTGAGGTTTGCTTTACGCTGCATCAGCGAAACAAAAGCTATATTGTGGTGAGCATTTTTTTTACATAATTTATTTATGCGTAAAAAAGGTTATAGTACAAAATTATCAATAATATCCTTCGGATGCTTAATCAATATGTGACTGCATTGTCCCATTTTACACATTGATAAATTCCACAAAAATAACGTTTAATCCGAAAATATAAATAATGTCTAACATTGGCATCAAAAATCTAAAGCAATACAACACAAACTAATGACACAATAGATTAACATAGTTGTACACAGTTCACACAATACATGGGACAAAAACTTTATTTTTGTCCCGGGGAAACAAAGGAGGAAAAGACATTTAATATAAAACATAACAATGTCTACTGTGGGGAATCACTAAACCACAAATGGTATAGCCTTTACATGCATATATTGAAAATATTATGGGTTATGGTACATGTCTAAAAAAAAAAAAACAACAAAAAGAAAACAATGGGAATGATATTGCACACAGGAACACATGCTTGACTTTTGTTTTTCTATCTACAGGGGTACATGTACTTTTCTGTGTACCTTCAGAATTTCCATATGTAACTGATAGTTTTGCATTTAAATGAAAAATATATCAATGAGAGGTAAAGAGACTATAAAATACTATATCTTATAGTGCCAAATCATATTTCATTTAACTTCCTGTATGTTCTTTATAAATTCTACTGCTAACAAAAAATTAACTACATGTCAAGAAAAAGTATACAGTGTATGCACATTAATGCGAATCTGAAATATTCATTCTTGTCCCACCAGAGTATTTCTACAGGTTGGCAAATATAAGTTGACTATTTCACATTTCAATATAATCAAAGGTGTGGGATTTTAAAAAGACCAATCTATTCTATTATATAGATATGACTGTTTCTTATGGTTGTTTGAAATAAAAAACAATTCAATAATTGAGGACAGATTTTGATATATACTTTTTCATAAATTTACAACAGATAACTGATCAATAAAAACCAGTAATTATTTCATGACTTATATTTGATAGTAATGTGCACAAATGTAAAATCCAAGTTTTATGGTGGTAAGTCTAAATTCAAAAATGTGAAATAACTGCCATAAATATTCTCACAGATGATGTCCCTGCTTGTATATAACATTATAAAGGAGCATAACTTGAGAACTGTAAAAGTGACACCAACCAAAATCAAACTTGATCTGTGTTTTGTGGTAATTAGCATTATGTATAAGTTTAATAACATTTGGTTGAGGCAAACTAAAGTTAGAGAACGGAAAGCAATTTTGATATGTACATACGGGCAAACAAGGGAAACTTTATTTTATTTATTCTAATCATTTAACAAAATATTCCACAAACTGTACAAAAAACTACAATAAACAAGAATAAGTCCATAGTACACGTATGTCTATGTTCAGTGGACCGTGAAATTGGGGTCAAAACTCTAATTTGGCATTAAAATTAGAAAGATCATATCATAGGGAACATGTGTAATAAGTTTCAAATTGATTGGACTTCAAGTTCATCAACTAAATAGTTTCTTGAAAAGCATGACATGAGAGGATATTTTCAAGCCATTCACACAAGCATTATTAAGAGTTGCTCCATTGTTGGAGAAATTATACCTGGAAAGATGATCCTGGTCCTTCATCATCCCCTCCTCCATCGTCATCATCATCATCTTCATCTTCTCCATGGCAACTCTACAATGAAAACAAACCATTCACATAAAATTGTCTAAAATTTTCTTCTCTCCAATAATTTATTGTCCATTAGATCCAGTAAAATCAAAGGACAGGATTCCAGGAGTTTCACCTTGGAGAATCAGGGTTCCAGCTTTCCTATTGCAAACCAAAAAAGATCCCCTGCCCTGACACCCATGCTTACTTACTTGATAATCTGTCAAATGTCTTGTTAGAAGTACCTGTAATATCTTTGATCATTTAAATTTAAGATAAGAAAATTTACAGTGTAAATAGATATTGAAGACTTTCTGAAAGTTTCATTGAAATCCAGTCACCAGTTAAGGTTATTTATACAAAATGTGGATGTGAATGAATAGCTTTACTTTATTGGAGAGTAAGCACTGTCCTAAGATGTCACCTACCTGTCCCATTATTTGGGCATATGACATATAGATAGAATCCTCAGGAAGACTTCCCTGTTGTTCTTTAGTGGCAGCTCTACTAAGGCAGGTAATCAGTTGAGTCAGAGGATCTGGTTTCACTTCCTCGTCAGCTTCTTTCTTCTCCGCCTCATCTTCTGCTTCATCAGATTTCTAAAATAAATATCCATCAAGAAAATTTATCTGACAATTTATTCTGTTCTCAAAAAGTATTATGAAAAAGATGTATTCAATGATCATTTGTTACTTAAATGAAATATTGTACACTTATCTTCATCACACAGATGTGGAGTGAACATCAATAACCTAACAACACAATAATATCAAAAGAGCTATGGTAACTTGATTTGCACAAGAGTTCTTCAATTGTCAACAGCCTTCTGGTCTCCTTATCTATATTTGGCTTTTGAAGCAAAGGGAGAGGAGGTTTTTGGCATCCAACAGATGGAAAACAAAATGACATTGAGGTCAATAGAAAGTCCTAAAGGATAGACAATTGTTCATACCATCTGTCAAGATCTAAATTGATACAAGTCTAAAGAAAGAGTTATGGACAATTCCAGATTACAAATAGCAGAAATCTGCTAAAAAGTGGAATAAAATCCTTTCTTCTTTACAATAGGTAAAACCTCTGTCAGGTTATAATGATTATAGTTATTCATATATTCTACTCTCCAGGATCTATATCATGTTTGATCTGATGATGAATTTCAATGGTGTATTTATATTGCCTGTAATGCATTTGTTAAACTTACAGTGACATCTTCTATCAGGATTTTCTTCTCATATTCTTCTGTGTTTAACCACTGACCTCTGTAGCACTTTAGGAACAAATTAATGGCTCTGTGTCTGAAAGGAGGAAAACAATAATTATAGCACTATAAAACAGCAGATAGTGAAACATCACTAGATGTCCATCTTTATGAATGTGAACTTCTGATTTTAAATTTAACAATTTCATGAAGAATTCATACCCACAGTTTTGTTGTTTATAAAGGTAGCAAGTTAAAGAATGGTCCTTTATGAATGCAAATATATGTTTTTCTATAAAATAATCTCTTAATGTATCCCAAAACTATACTGTTGTTGCTGGCCATAGCTAGGAGTACCCTAAATGATGTATATCTAATAATACAACAATAATACAATATATTTTAAATACAGTGAGTTCATTACATACTGTTTACAAAGTTGGCTGACAATTTATTTTGTGTGTCTTCATCTGTCTTTATGCTGATCAAATAGTCAATCATGACAAATATGTAGTGTCCCTCATTCTACCCCAATCTCCATGTTTTATATATTTCTTTTTTCTTCTTTGTTTTTTTTAACAATTCAATGAGGATTCAGCACTTATTGGAAAGTTACTTAATGCATAAATTTTTGAAGTTTTAAATCTAACAATTTTATTGATTTATTTGAAAGAAATAACATAAAGTAAAAGCATCCATGAAATAAAAAAATCTTCCCACATCAATAGCATTGAAATTTAATAAATCCATGTGGCAATGATTTTTGTAATATAACATTGATTTGTAAACATTAAACTTTGAATAACTTACCTTGGCAAACTGTGTAGCGGCACCATTCTGAAACAGGCCATGACAGCTCGTTTCCTCTGTGTAGATATAACCTTACGCCAGGCACTCTTGTGTGATGCTGATGGATGCTCAACCTACAATAGTCAAATTTATCACAGCTCATCTTTCATTTTTTTGGGATGAAGAATACTTTATTTTATACCAAAATTAAAAAAAAAAAAAATTCTTATGTAGGAATAGAATGATTCAGAAATTTTAATGTACTCAAATTGAATGGTATTTGTATATTATATTAGGTAAATATGTCGGTGCCAATTCACTGCAGCAAGGGAAGAATACACTGTAAGTTTTATATTATTGCAAAACAGTCTATTTTAACTGTAATGCATATATCTAAGTAATGAAATGATTTCTTTTTTAAGACTTAATAAAATGCTCCGCTGGGGCGCAGCTTGATACGACCGCAGAGGTCAAAACCCTAAACAGTTGGGGCAAGTATGGACACAACATTCAAGCTTGATACAGCTCTGAATTTGGATTGTGATTAAATATTTGACACAGCATAGGTTTCTGACACAGAATGAATGTGGTCTAAGAACTTTAAAAATTTTAATTTACCTATTCAAACCATATCATTATTATTTGCTTTTAATATATAAATCAGAAATAACCAATGGAAAATTTTAAAGAAAAAAAAAGGAAAAAAAGGAAACCCCCCCCCCCCCCCCTCCAAATTTTTTGAACCCCCTTATGATTCATCACCCCAAAACTCAATAACAGCCTTCCCTTTGTGGTATGGTACCTTGCAGTACAATTTCAGAGAGATCCATACACTTGAACACAAGTTATCATCTGGGAACTAGAAAAATGCTTGTTTTTTGGCCCCTTTTTGGCCCCAAATTACTAAACTTTTAGGGCAATTACCCCCAAACTCAAACCCAGCTTTCCCTTTGTGATATGGAACCTTGTAGTACAATTTCATAAAGATCCATACACTTACACACAAGTTATTGTCCTGAAACTAGAAAAATGCTTGTTTTTTGCCCCTTTTTGGCCCCCAATTCCTAAAATTTTGAGGCAATTACCCCCAAAATCAATTCCAGCCTTCCCTTAGTTGTATGGTACTTTGCAGTACAATTTCAGAGAGATCCATACACTTGAACACAAGTTATTGTCTGGAAACCTGAAAAATGCTTATTTTTGGCCCCTTTTTGGCCCCTTTTTCCTAAACGTTTTGGGCAATTACCCCCAAACTCAATTCCAGCTTTCCCTTTGTGATATGGAACCTTGTAGTACAATTTCAGAAAGATCCATACACTTACACACAAGTTATTGTCATGAAACTAGAAAAATGCTTGCTTTTTGCCCCTTTTTTGGCCCCTAATTCCTAAAATTTTGAGGCAATTACCCCCATAATCAATCCCAGCATTCCCTTTGTGATATGGAACCTTGTGGTTCAATGTCAGAGAGATCCATACACTAACACACAAGTTATGTCTGGAAGTTACAAACATACTTATTTTTGGCCCATTTTTGGCCCCTAATTCCTTAACTGTTGGTACCATAACCCCCAAAATCAATCCCAACCTTCCTTTTATGGTATTGAACCATATGGTAAAATTTCATAGAGATCCATTCACTTAAACTAAAGTTAGAGTGCGAAAACCAATGTGTCTTCGGACGACAACGACGACGACAACGACGCCAACGTCATACCAATATACGATAAAAAGACCTTCATTTAACATACATGTAATCGAAATAAAAGTTAAAATGATCACTGAAATTCTCTCTTCCAAATAAATATTAGAAATACTCAGGAGTTAATCACACTTCGACATAGACTATAAATATAAATCCAATATTAGGTATCAGTTTTGTGTGATCAAGTAATTATGTCTACATTCATCCAAACTCATATTGCTATGTGTTTCTTGATTCTACATTGGCTAGAGGTATAGCGGGAGGGTTGAGATCTCACAAAACATGTTTAACCCTGCCGCATTTTTGCGCCTGTCCCAAGTTAGGAGCCTCTGGCCTTTGTTAGTCTTGTATGTTTTTTAATTTTAGTTCATTTATATGTTTTGGAGTTTAGTGTGACGTCCATTTTCACTGAACTAGTACACAATTTAAATAGGGGCCAGCTGAGGACCACCTCCAGGTGCGGGATTTTCTCGCTGCGTTGAAGACCCTTTGGTGGCCTTCGGCTGTTGTCTGCTCTTTGGTTGGGTTGTGGTCTCTTTGACATATTCCCCATTTCCATTCTCAATTTTATCATAGAAGTGATAAATAATTTTCTTTCAAGCTTTCAGTTCAATTTGAATTAATTTGAAATAAATATTTCTCAAGCGAAACAGCTATCCTCTGGACTACACAAATAATTGTATAACTAGCCTCTTTTTTACTTCTTTGGCAAGAATTGTGTAATACATGTAGTTATAATTATAAACCAATTCTATACCCCACTTGTTATAGGCCATTACAAAAAAATCCATGCTTAGAGGAAATAATAAAAAGTCAAAAGTTTTGTCAAGCTGGAATTGACAGCCAATGGATCTCGAAATTGCTGGCACACAATATGCCTAATCTTCCAAGGACATATAAAAATGTTTCTGAACTAAGCTTTAACATGGTATGTTAAGCACTAGCATCAATATCTACTTCAGCATGAAAACCATACAAATCAACCTCAAGACTAGAGGTTTAGCTATAAAAGTTAAACCTAGCATCATCCATTCTAAATCTTAAACAACTTGGGAAAGCTTTGATTATATACACACTTTATACATTATAATGCATACAACTAGGAAATGAATTAAAGTACACGAAACCTAGTCTACAAAGTCAAAGTTTGTTGTTTATTCTGGCAGTTACATATTTTTCAAATCCTTTGCAAATTTATGAACTATAAGCAATATTTGTTCAAATCCTTGTAGCTACATTTGCATTTGCTGATTGAGTGAAATTAAATTTAAATCTGGTGCTCAAACATCTTTTGCCTGAATTTTTACTTCTCTGACATACATAACGAAAAAATATCTATAAGAAACATCACATACTGTAAATTCAGAAATTTTTGAGTCCATTTATTATTGCGAATGCTGAATAATTGACAAAAATGTGACATTAATTATTGAAATTTCAGGAAATGCCGAGTACAAATAATAGCTTATTCATACTCTAGGCAGTAATAAATATTTCACTTTCTTTACTGATTACTACATTTTGCAAAGTTATTTTTCAAAAAAGTACTTTTATTGAAAAAAGGATTTAATATTCATTTTATGTATATAATTGATTTTTAACAAACATAAAAAATTGTTAAAACAGAAATTAAGATATTTCAAGTAATATTTTGAATATCAAATATGAAAACTGATTTCACAAACATTTCAAAAAGGACATTACTTAAAATAAATCTTTTAGGCATGAAAACACCCTTCAATTTAATTTTTTTCATATATAATTGTTAGCTTATAGTACACACTAGTGATTTGTGGCACTAACTACAATATCAAAACACTGGGTTTGGGTGGTAGAACAGGAAGGGTAATGCCTACATACTGATTTGAAAATCCAATCTTCGTCCATTAGTCGATCAAACTAAACAGAGAAAATATAATCCATCTACTCTATATGTGCTAGTGGATTTTAAATTACAGCAGAAACCATTTATGTGTTACCCCAATATTCTTTCAACTAGCTAAACAAAATTAGGTACTGGTATTAAAAATGTTATTGTTTGAGTGAAACACTTTAATTCAGTTGAAATGACTGAATTTTATCTAGGCTATATTGGTACGAATTTGAATTTATTTTAATAGATCTTGACAAGATAAAAAAAGAATTATCAACTAGTAACAAAAACTGGTTAAGACATGTATGGTTTCTGCTATACAAAAAAAAAAATCTAATCTAAACACTTATATTATTAAAGTTTCTTGTGAAATAAAGGAATGAATGGGAATTAAAAAAATAAAATAAATATATTATACTTTTTTAATTAAAAACCTTTATAATCAATTTCTGCAGTAGAGAAAATCAGCAAAAAAAGCATTAGAAATCATTCAACATAAAACAATGGACCAGATTATGATGCATGACATCTGAGGCAGAAAAAATCTACTATTTGAGCATGCCGATTTTGCTCATATGTATAGAGACAGAAATATCTGCTCAAGCATAAAATGCAACTGAATTCAAGCTTAAGCACTTCTATACATTTGAACATAATCTGCAGAAATAATTAAACAAATCGCCCAAATGTTGGGTAAAAAAAGACAGCAAATATCTGCTCAAATGTTTGTGATTTGTTCATGGCGTTAATATTAGCAATTTTTAACTTGATAATATTCTCTCTTACTTGCATGTTTAGTGTTGGAAACCTTGGTACAAAATCGATCTACAATAATTTACTCTCAAATCTAATTCATTTTTCAAATAAAAGACCTTATTTTACAAAAGTAAAAACTGATTGTCACTAAGATAACCATGATTTTTATTTATTTTTTTTTTTTTCAAATCATAAAAAAGTCCTGTAACAAAGAAAAGGTTAGAAAATTCTATTAAAAAAGAAAACTAAAAACTAGAAAAAAAGCATAACGGTAGTTAATTTTTACAACATGAACTAATTCTACATTATATTCAGATTTTGTGTCTACAGACTACTGGATTATAAGTTTAAATCAAGTGTTAATTTGATATAAAAAAAAACCCCAAAAAAACTGGAAAACCTACTGTATGCAGTCCATGCATGACCTTGGCCATTGATAATATACGGTCGATAACTTTGCATTGATCTAGCTGCATATCGGTAGATCCTCCTATCTTTCGGTATAACACTTTCTGCCATTTTACTGCTTCATCTGTGGGCTGTACAATAGAAAATGTTTTCAATAACAACTGTTCTAAACATAAAATTTCTACAAAAAATGTATTTGGTCTGTTTATTAAAATATAAACAAAAGGCGACGAAATATTTATATGTTTGCCTTCATCTTTGTGCTGAACTAACCTGAAGAAGTCTTCACTTGTATATTTTACATTCAACATCTCTACTGGGGATTCATTTATTTTCATGGGTACCAATTTTCGTGGATTTAGAAAATATTGTTTATTAGGATATTTGATTTCATGGTTTTGCCGCCAAATTCTACATACAAGCCTAAACAAAAAAATTGATTTCATTGAATATTTAAAAAAATTTTGGTTCATATATACCCATGAAATACACAACAATTGATATCCTAGAAATAATAATGAATCCACAGTATTCACTTCAATTTGTTATTAATGAAACTAATTATGCCAAACAGTGTTGATTTTTCTTGAACATGTCAAGATGTGATATGGATCTATACTCATTAAAGAAATTTAGAGAATGGTAGATCCTTACATTAAACATGCTTTCTCTTTTCATCCAATGAAGTATTGTACTTACCCCTTCTTCAACTTCCAAACTTTTTAACAAGAAGTCTTCTATATCTGCCTCTGATTCCTGGACACAAAGTAACAGAAAAAGTTTTAGAACAATATAAGTAACACTATATTACAAACTACATTTTTAAAGAAAAAAAAAAGAAGCATATATACATACTTGCTTAAATTATATGATACAATACAATATTAAATTATGATACAATACAATATTAAATTATATGATACAATACAATATATTGTGATTTGCACATGACATAAATAATTGTGTTAATGAAAAAATGAATATAAAGCAACAAATACATTTTAACAGAAATAAAACCATTTGATTAAAAAGTTATGAAAACTAAAATAATATAAAATATGAATTCAAGAAATGACACATAATACATATATTATCAAAAACTTTGATACGACATAAATACATGACTATGTTAATTTATTGTGTATTTTTATATTTTCTTTGCCATTAATGAAATAACTTACTTCTTTGGTTTACTGCCCAATCATGATGATTAAAATCGGGGGGATTGGGAATTGTCAACAGGAACAGTTTTTGTTTAAAAGATTTAAAATAAACCCAAAAAACCCACTTGTCCGTCCATAAAATTCTATGTTAAAAATATTTGAAACTTATACCAATTTGTTCATGATGATAAAGGGATTTTTCTTGTTTAGCACTGTAAAATATCAGCTGAAATAAGTCTAACTAAAAATACAAAACTTCAACAGGACAATGTGTAACGTGACAAACAATGTGCTTTTTCTATAATTCATGCAAAACTTCACTGTCGTGTACTGTGCTATATAAATAAAGCGAAACCTGTCTTTCCTAAAAACTTGACAAGAAATGAATAATGTTTGTAAACTTATATATGTAAATCAAACATTTGTCTAATAAAAGAAAGTTTTCTGTTCCAAAGGATTTTGGTTCCAATATGTTTCACTGTAATTGTTAACACCAGATAGTAAATATCTTCTCTTAAACGATTAACATTGCATATATTTAAGGAAAAATTTAAAGGCTATTTTTTTGCTTTCAGATATACATATTTTTAGAATGCTTTACTTTGGCAGAAAAAGAAGAAAGGTAAGCGTTGAAACACAGTACATACAGTTATATTCATAAATTCATTGTCATAAATATCTGTCATTCTAGTAATTGTGAACACCAACAAACTTTCTCAACAATCAGAAATAAACAATGGACCATTATAAATTCATTCACTGATGTTCATTCCATAAGATCATTGTTATTTGCTGTGATTTTGGTGATAAATAACTGATCCGTAAAATACTAGATTTTATTTTGTACAGATGTTATAATATTTTCCCAAGTGTGAAAATTGCACCCTTGAAAAAAAAAATCTGCTCATAATTTCCTTATAATAAAGTTTTGAATAGTAAAAATTCATGACTGAAAACTTCTTGTGACCAGCAGTAAAAATCTAGATATCCTGAAAATGTATACAACTGATAATAGGAATCTTTTTCTCTTCATCAGTAAATTGTCAATTTTGAAATCACTATTTTCTCTTCATCAAGTTCTAAAGATGCTGTGTTATTTTTCAAACAGGGTAAAAAACCCAGCTTTTTTCAACTTTAAGGAAACCATATGATATCAGTAAATAAATCTATTATGGAGAATGCAAACAAAACATTGTACCATTAGCATTTCTTCAGCAAAGCTCTGAAAATAATTAACATATTTTTCATACTACAATGTATATCTCTTGCTTATATTGATCTCTACCAAAGCACTAATGTGATATCAAAATAAGCATTTCAAATGGCACTACTCTCTACTGTGTTGCTTCTTTTACTAATATAGTATTGGCGTGTCAGTCTTGATACAGCTAACTTTCATATAATGCTAGCATCATAAGTGAACTTTTCAATTTCTTTCATTAATGACCTTCTCTATTGTACAGATCACACCATTGACTAGCTTTCCAAACATTTAGCATTTGCAAACCTATTAAAGGTTCATACAGAAAAAACACTTTCCACACATTAACTAACATGTAAGTACAGTAAAAAAAAATTGCTAGAAATTTATTTTTTCGACTTTAGTAAGTTGAAAAAAAAACAAGAATATAAATCATTGTGAATATGTAGGACTTGGATCTTTTCTAATATGAATACAATAACAGAAGAAAATCTTAAAATTATATCACTGTGAAATCAGATTGAATGGTCTAAACATAATAAACAATAAAATGCTCCACAGGGCGCAGCTTGATACGACCGCAGAGGTCGAACCCTGAACAGTTGGGGCAAGTATGGACACAACATTCAAGCTTGATACAGCTTTGCATTTGGATTGTGATTAAATATTTGACACAGCATAGGTTTCTACACAGAATGAATGTGGTCTAAGAACTTAAAAATTTTAAATTGGACATTCACCTATTATGGTCCAATATCCAAAATCTAAATACATGGTTAGATTCAGCATATCAAAGAACCCCAAGAATTCAATTTTTGTTGAAATCAAACAAAGTTTAATTTTGGACCTTTTTGACCTCAATGTGGACAAAGTTGATAACGGGGCCCAAAAATCAAAAATCTAAATACATGGTTAGATTCAGCATATCAAAGAACCCCATATATTCAATGTTTGTTGAAATCAAACAAAGTTTAATTTTGGACCCCAATTTGGACCAACTTGAAAACTGGGCCCATAATCAAAAATCTAAATACATGTTTAGATTCAGCATATCAAAGAACCCCAAGAATTCAATTTTTGTTAAAATCAAACTAAGTTTAATTTTGGACCCTTTGGACCTTAATGTAGACCAATTTGAAAACGGAACCAAAAATTAAGAATCTAAATACACGGTTTGATTCGGCATATCAAAGAACCCCAATGATTCAATTTTTGATGAAATCAAACAAAGTTTAATTTTGGACCTTTGGACCTCAATGTGGACCAATTTAAAAACGGGGCCCAAAATCCAAAAACTTAATGCACGGTATGATTCAGCATATTAAAAAACCCCAAGAATTCAAGAATAAAACCCCATTGAAATTGGTCAAGAAATAAGCAATTTATATGAAGTATCTTCTTTTGCACAATACTGTGCAATTAAATATTTCTTGCTATTGCCCAATACTGTACAATTGACAATTTCTTGCTATTGCGCAATATTGTGCTATTGGATATTTCTTACTATTGCGCAATACTGTGCAATTGAAGATTTCTTGCTATTGCGCAATACTGTGCAATTGAAGATTTCTTGCTATTGTGCAATACTGTGCAATTGAAAATTTCTTGCTATTGCACAATACTTATTATATAATAATTTACACATCCTGTTTGGTGTGTATCTCCTACCATATCATTATATATCATAACCCGGGCTTGACTCGGGTTAATAGTGAACCTTTTATTATGTGCCAGCCACACGCCTATTTTACAGTTGAGTGATTTTTTGTATGTCCAGGTAGTATATAAGGCCAGGTGACCTGAGTAGTATCCTCTTTTATTTCAAGGCCGCACGCATTTAAGTACGTATCAAGCAGACCCTGTTTGATCGATACACGTGTCTATACTATAGATTTTCAAATGGCAAGGTCTCGTAGACCATCTTCTTCAGAATCTGAAGATGAAAGAAACTATGAGGAGATTATGAAGCTTTTTGCTTCCGAGGATGAGTTTGACGCAAGTTTCTCCGGGTTTTCTGAAAATATAAGTGTGAATCACGCTTCAAATACACCGGAGTGCATTCAGGTTTTAGATAAACCGGATATAGATTCTATTTCACAAACTGTGAGTACAAACGTAAAAACTAATAAGAAAACAGTGGTTGTGCCTACAGAAAAAGGACCTGGAAAAGGTCCAGGCAAAAATAAGAAAGGCAAAGCACCTTTGAAAAGAAGTATTCAAATTACGCAGGACGAACCGTCCGCTAGCTGTAGTAAGCCAAAGGCTCCCAGAAAAACTTCTAAAAGTAAACAAGCTCAAGCCGAGCAAAATGAGTTACTGAAACAATTATTTGCTGACTTATCTAGTAATATTGTGTCTGCAATAAATGTCAATAGTAGTGGTACTGCAGGTCCAAGTAGTGACTCCCATAGTTTTATACAGGAACTTGAAGATAATGACATTAATGAGGTCGAAAATGACCAAAATGTTTTCAATTTGTTTGAAACTGATGATTTGTCTGAACATGAGAGTAATGTTGATCCCACACAACTTGTCGTTGAAAGTGAAGACGAGGAGTTTGATTATGAAATGCCAAAAATTTTTGAGGACGATGAACGGTTTGATTCTGAGGTCAGCCCTTCGATAGCATCAGTCATAGAAAAAATTTGTAAGAAAAAGTCGGATGTTACATCTTTGACTAAGGATAGCAAGATACCTAGCAATTGTAAAGCCTTAGTACCACCACCTGTTAACCCAGAAATTTGGCAATTTTTAGCCCGTAGAGCTAAGACTGAGGATTTGATTTCTCAGAATATTCAAAAGCTAACAGGGGCAGGCATGGTCCCTTTGATTAAGGTGGCGGAATTATTACGAGGGAAAAATCCTTGTATTAAGACAATGAGAGAGTTAATTTCAAGAGCTATTTCTATACAGTGTAATTTGCATTTTGAGCTATCTATTAAAAGGAGAATGAATTTGAAGCCTCATATTGAACGTAAATTCCATCAATTGTGTAACAGAAATGAGGTCGTGGGTGAAAAACTCTTTGGAGATGATATTAGTAAAAGACTTCGGGAGATTAATGATGCACAAAAGATAAACAAAACTTTCAGTTCAAAAAACTACAGAGGCCGATCCTATCGGCGAGGGTACCGGTTTGGTATGTCAAACCCAAGAGGCAATTTCAGAGGGCAGAGCCGCTACCCAAGAGGGTCATACAGGCAACCCATGATGAATTCTCAATACAGAAGAAAAAATTGAAGGTTGGTATTACATGTAAACATGTTGAAAAAGTTGGCTTAAACATTGGTAAATTAAAATATCATATTAGAAATTGGAAAAAATTAACATCAGATAGTTGGGTATTAGAAACAATTACTGGTTACAAAATAGAATTTGATGAGATACCAGTTCAGAAAATAATTCCAAGACCTATAAAATTTAATAAAAATGAGGAAAGACTAGTTGATACAGAGGTATCTGATATGTTAAAAAAGGGAGCAATTAAAATTTCACACCATGAGAAAGGTGAATTTATTTCAAATCTCTTTCTTGTAAAAAAGAAAAATGGAACATTTAGACCAGTTATTAACCTGAAAAAATTAAACAGTTATATTCAGTATTATCATTTTAAACAAGAAACTCTTGAAGTTATTTTGAAAAGCATCTCTAGAAATGCATTTTTTACAAGCCTGGATTTGTCCGAGGCATATTGGTCTGTAGCGATACACGAAGACAGTAAAAAGTATTTGAAATTTATGTGGAATAACAAATTATATAATTTTGAATGTCTCCCATTCGGAATAGCTTCGGCTCCAAGAATATTTACAAAAATCATGAAAGTGGTATTTTCACATGTGAGACAGTTAGGCATTAGTTCTTTCTTTTATATTGATGATTCCCTATTACAAGCATTTTGTTTCGAACAAGCAAAAAGAAACACACATTTTGTAAATGATTTAATAGAATCACTAGGTTTTTCAATAAATATAGAGAAATCAAATTTTATACCTTCACAAAGAACAATGTTTCTGGGATTCATTATTGATTCAGTTTTGTTCAAGGTATTTTTACCAGAAGATAAAATACAAAAAATTATAGAAATTTCATACAAAGTGTTTGAAAGGAAGATTACACAAATTCGTACGGTTGCCCAATTAATTGGGTTATATTCTTCATCTTATCATGCAATTACACTTGCACATTTACAGCATAGATATTTGGACATTGACAAAACAAAAGCTTTACAAAAATCTTTTAAAAATTTTAATGCTCATATGTCTTTGTCGGTGGAGAGTAAAAATGAGATTTTATGGTGGATTCAAAATATTAAAAAAGAAAATGGTTGTCCAATTCGACAAGAGCCTCCAAAAGTTTATTTACAAACTGATGCGTCGTTGATAGGTTGGGGTGCAGTATTTGAGAAAGATTGTACCCAAGGTAGATGGAATATAGATGAATGTCAGAATCATATTAATGTGTTAGAATTAAAAGCAATAATTTTGGCATTGCAGGCTCTTTGTAGATCTGTTAAAGATTGTCATATTTGTGTTAGAACAGACAGCGCAGTAGCGGTTGCATACATCAATAATCAAGGGGGATCAATATTATCACTTTTAAAACTTGCAAAAGAAATTTGGTTTTGGAGTACTGAAAGAAAAGTATTTATATCTGCGGTACATATCCCAGGAAAACAAAATATACAACCAGATAATTTATCTAGACAATTTAATGATTCTTCAGAGTGGAAACTAAATAGTTCAGTTTTTGAAAAAGTGACTTTAAGTTTATTTAACCCAGAGATTGATTTGTTTGCGTCTCGTTTAAACAAACAACTGCCAAAGTATGTTAGTTGGTTTCCTGATCCAGAAGCTTATGCTTCAGATGCATTTTCTCTCTCTTGGAGTAATTTATTACCATATATTTTTGCTCCTTTCAGTCAGTTGCCAAGAGTCCTACAGAAAATAGAAGAGGACAAGGTAAGGAAGGCATTAATTATAGCTCCTGTTTGGACCACACAAACATGGTTTCCAAAATTATTAGAATTATTAATTTCTACTCCACTAAAATTACCAAATTGGTCAGATCTATTAACTTTGGCTCACAATGGTCAAAGACATTCAATGAACAAACGAAGATTATTCCTTATCGCTTGTATTGTATCCAGCGATATCTCATTGATAAAGGCTTTTCAAAAAGAGCTGTTAGAATTCTCTCCGAATCATGGAGAGATTCAACCAATAAACAGTATGAATATGCTTGGAGGAAGTGGATTTTGTGGTGTAGTAAAGAACAAATTAATTCCACTTCTCCATCTGTGATACAAATTTTGAATTATCTATCTTTTTTGTATGAAAACAAAAAATCTTACAGCTGTATTAATTCTCATAAATCAGCTATTTGTCAGACTCTGACATTAATGGGTATGGCTGAATTAGCAAAAGATAAACACATAACTAGATTTATGAAAGGCATTTTTAATTTAAGGCCGTCTTTACCTAGATATACATTTACATGGAATGTTGGTACAGTTTTGAAGTACTTATCACAATTATATCCAAATGAGAATTTATCTCTAAAAATGTTAACTCTGAAATGCATTGCTTTATTTGCATTGTCATCAGCTCAAAGATCACAAACACTTGTTAATTTAGATCTGAGATTTGTATCTGTAACAGACAATTCTTTGATTTTTAAGATACCAGTTTTACTAAAAACAACTAAACCAAACAAATCTAATTTGGATGTTATCATACATAAATATCAAAAACAGGATATTTGTCCTGTTAGATGTATTAAACATTATATTTTACGGACAAAGGATGTTCGAAAAAGTAAAAATTTATTCATTTCTTTTAGAACATTCAAACGTGTTACAACTTCAACTATTGCTCGTTGGTTGAAAATAGTGTTAGGTAATGCAGGAATTGATATAAACAAATTTAAGGCACACTCATATCGTAGTGCTTCAACTTCAGCTGCTAAACAAGCTGGAATTTCACTGAATGATATATTAAAAACTGCTAACTGGAGGTCAGCTTACACTTTTCAAAAGTTTTATTTTAAAGATATTGAAACTCCATTGCCATCATATACTGAAACAGTATTTAATTCTTATTTATAGCTAGTGGTTTACAGGAACTGTATGGTGGACCAGGAGGATCAGCTATGGTTTTTCTACGTACATGTTATGATGTATCTAGCATTTCTGCGAGATGAATGGTTTTTGGACATTCCATTTGGTTTTTTGCAACAGGAGATTGCTGACATTTGGAGTTGAATCGAACAGTTTTAGTCAATAGCATTAAATTTCGAGAACGTTTGAGAAGAAGCATAGAGAAAATGTGATAATTTAAGAATAATGAGAAAACAACAGTGTTATTTTGTTATATTTGTTACATGTGAGAGGCATTTTAAAGTGAACTTTATAGAGTATTAATTGTTTTCTGAAGATTGTAACAGATTTTTGTTTTTGAACATAATAAAAGTTATTATGAAGCTTATGTCTTTATTCCACAAAACAAAGAAATATTCTATTATTTCATGATAGTCATTGCAATTCTGTGTAGTTTTGGAGTAATGTTATTGAGACAAAATGTGATAATTTATGATCTACTACATGTACATATTATGTAGAGTGGTAGTTAGATTTTCTACTAGAGGATGTTTTATATTTGGTATTAATAGATAATAGAGACTGTTTATGATTTTGGTATGAAAACAGAAACATCTAATACATGGAATAAAAAGATAGAAGTTAGACATATTGGTGATTGTGTATTCTCTTTCGTACAAGTGATATACATGTATGGAGACAGATGAATTTTCTTTTTATCTGCAGTTAAATACTTTGATATGATTTAGGCTCATACATAGATACTTGTTAAAGTATGAGAGACCAATTGTTTGGTTATGGTGATTGATGTTCTTGTTGTTCTTGTTGGTATTTGCATTTTTGGCTGTAAAGAGTTCACTATTAACCCGAGTCAAGCCCGGGTTATGATATATAATGGACCATCATCCAAACATCTGTGATGTGATGGATGAAGGTCATTATATGAGGAAGCCAAGGGCTTCCGAGGGTTAATAGTACCCTCCCTAGTGAAAACCCATTCCCGATGAGGTTTGATATAAATGCAAATACTGGTCGTGTTACTACCCATTTACACTGGAGATTTTACTGTTTGCCTCAAAATAAAAGAGGATACTACTCAGGTCACCTGGCCTTATATACTACCTGGACATACAAAAAATCACTCAACTGTAAAATAGGCGTGTGGCTGGCACATAATAAAAGGTTCACTATTAACCCTCGGAAGCCCTTGGCTTCCTCATATAATGACCTTCATCCATCACATCACAGATGTTTGGATGATGGTCCATTATTATTTGCTTTTAAATATAGATCAGAAATAACCAACTTAAAATGGAAAATTTTAAAAGAAAAAAAAAAGGAAAAAAAGAAAAAAAAGGAAAAAAAAAAAAATCCCCCCCCAAATTTTTTGAACCCCCTTATGATTCATCACCCCCAAACTCAAACCCAGCTTTCCCTTTGTGATATGGAACCTTGTAGTACAATTTCAGAAAGATCCATACACTTACACACAAGTTATTGTCCTGAAACTAGAAAAATGCTTGTTTTTTGCCCCTTTTTGGCCCCTAATTCCTAAAATATTAAGGCAATTACCCCCATCATCAATCCCAGCCTTCCCTTTGTGGTATGGTACCTTGCAGTACAATTTCAGAGAGATCCATACACTTGAACACAAGTTATTGTCTGGAAACTAGAAAAATGCTTATTTTTGGCCCCTTTTTGGCCCCCAATTCCTAAACGTTTCGACAATTACTCCCAAACTCAATTCCAGCTTTCCCTTTGTGATATGGAACCTTGTAGTACAATTTCAGAAAGATCCATACACTTACACACAAGTTATTGTCATGAAACTAGAAAAATGCTTGTTTTTTGCCCCTTTTTTGGCCCCTAATTCCTAAAATTTTAAGGCAATTACCCCCAAAATCAATCCCAGCATTCCCTTTGTGATTTGGAACCTTGTGGTACAATGTCAGAGAGATCCATAAACTAACACACAAGTTATGTTTGGAAGTTACAAAAATGCTTATTTTTGGCCCCTAATTCCTTTACTGTTGGTACCATAACCCCCAAAATCAATCCCAACCTTCCTTTTGTGGTATTGAACCTTGTGGTAAAATTTCATAGAGATCCATTCACTTAAACTAAAGTTAGAGTGCGAAAACCAATGTGTCTTCGGACGACGCTGGACGACGACGACGACGTCATACCAATATACGACCACAAAAATTTTTTTGCGGTCGTATAAAAATTAACTGCAATTATAAATTGGTTTAAAGTATTTTCTTCATCATCAAGTAAACTTTATTCTGATAATTAAGCTTTAACAGGTCTCCCATCAACTGCATTTTTTTAACTGTCAATTAAAAAGTAACTTGACTTTTCTCCATTATATTAAAAGACAAAATATCCAATAAATCCAAAGGAATAATAAAACAAAATACATACATCTATCAATTTCTGTTTAGCTTGTTGTAGTAGCTCCTGTTCCCTGCCACTGAAGAATCCAAGACCAATGGGTAACAGTCTCTTAAGACAAGCCACATTCAAACTGTTGTGAGGTTCCAGTCTTTTCTTCTCCCTCTTTTTAGTGGTTTTCTTCACTGTGCCTTCTGGTTGTAACTCAGACTGAGGCAGTTTGACAGTTTTTGACTGACTAGGCATGATCAGGGCCATATTGTCTATCTCATTAGCCATTACAAAGTTTTGTTCTTCCCTCTTAAACATCTGTAACGATAAAGAATTTTTTGTTATCTGTTATCAATTAATTTTAAAAAATAAGAATTAGGGTATACTTGCCAAGTTACACCTCCAATCATTGATGGGTCATTCAAAGTCTAAATCGTTGAATTTTTCCCCTTTATACCAAAAAATTTAAAAGCATGCAAATATTTATATATGTACATTGAAATGTTTTCAAAACCCATAAGTAAGTCAGTAAGTTTACATGCTATTTATAAGTTTCATAACAAGTGAGAATTGGATATCGCTTGATATCAACTCGAGTTATCTAATTTCAGTACATGTATAAGACAATAATAAAGGAGCTTTCAGCGAGTTTATTATTACTATTTAAATTAAATAAAGAGATTTGATATCAAGCAATATCCAATTTTCATGAGTTGTTAAACGTATTTCTCTGATGGTCAGCACTATATAAATTCTGCGAATCGTTGATCTAGTCATTTGAACATATCAGTATGACGTCATTTGTCCTGTTCCAGCATCAAACTTTAACATCAGACATTTATAACTTTTAGTAAGCTTCAGAATGTAATAAAATTTGACAAAAAGGAAGATTTTCAGGTGAAATGTGTGAGTGTTTTGTGCATTATTGAAGAAATCACATATGCCTGTTGTTATCGACTAAATGTTCATCGTTTTAACCTTTGAAAGTCATCAATGACCTAACAAATAGCCAACGGAAATGTCAAAATATCGTCTCTTGATTCTGGATAAGCCAATCAAATAAATGCAGTTTTCTTATCACTTTTTCTTATTACACTCAGAGCAGTGTGATACGAGAAATATCTCTTCATGCAGGAAATAGATAACAGGCCACAACCATAAGAGAATTGTATTTAAAGTCAGCCTCAAGATTTATGTACTAACTGAGAGTATGGTGCATTCCTATATTCCTATATCCCGGCTTACAACAAATCTGAGTTTGGTTTTTATTTACATCCTGACACTCAAGATCTGTTAGACACATTTTGGACCCTTTAAGATTTGCAAAGTTCTACTGATGGTGTTTCATACAAAACTGATGTGCATACTAAATTGCAAAATAAATTATTCTTAAAATTTTAAATGAGTGAAAAAAAAAAGAAAAAAAAGATAACCTAATCTTAAAATAAACAAATTTTTTTTATTTAAAGTATAAATATAAAATTCATAACATATTTGTTTCAATGGTAGATGAAGTCTCCTCTACCATTTACATCGAGCAATGGATTGACTATTAGCAAAACAGCAAGATTTTTGTTAGCTACTGAGTTCATTCTATCATAACCATAGCTAAGCATTTCAGTTTAACATTTCAGGACGATACAAATATATTTCAGTATATGTCATAAAGCTTAAAACAGACATTAGAATCCAGCGTTTTTTATTATGAAATCTTTCCTGATAAAAGGTTGCTGTTTTGCATGCATTAAAATGTAAATTGCAATAACTAAACACCTGTAAATTGTAATAACTAAACACCTGTAAGTGCAATGAACTCACCTGTTTCCCAGTGGACCACTAAAGAAATATATAAACACACAGTTACAAGCAACATTCAGGAATACACATAGAAATATGCAAGCAGGTTCTATGGGAGGGGATTTTTAATTGTATAATTAGTTGGAATAAGGAAGTCTAATATTCAATCATTCTAAATGAAAGGTTTTTGTTAAAAGTTATCATATTATGTGTAGAAGGATGTAGGTCAAAGGGAAATAACTGTGTTGATGTGGAAAAACAGTCATTCAATCTACAGTACAAAGAATTTTGTTACTCCATTATCTAAACAGATCCTGTCAAAAATTTGACTAAATTGAAATCTAGCTATCAATATTCTAAGCTAAAGTGACAAAAAAATTGGTTAATGCTTCTATGTGACAGAATTCTCAGTCAAGAAATAGAAATTAGTAAGTTTTCAGCTGGGATTCTAGTTTCTCAACTAAATTTTTTTCAAATCTTTTCAATAGAAATATACTGGATCAGTCCCAAAATTTCAGATTAAATAATAAATTTCAGCTGGTAGAACCTCTTAAATATAAAGATTAAGTACCGCAAGGATGGAGGTTCTCAAGTGTGTAAACAATAAATGAAAAGAAGCTCAACTTCCAATATAGTGAGCTACTTTCCAGATGAAAGACGTGTGCTCTGAGAATAATCATTAGTCAGATTGTATATGATAGATAGGAAGGAATGTTACATGAATGATCAATTCATGGAAAGTTTACAAATACATGTAGTAAAAAAAGGAGATTCTTAATGTCCAGACAAACTGCACAATACATACCAATGATTTTGACCACAAGCCAAAAATGTCTGCTACACATGTAAACAATTCCTCAGCTTCTGGCATAGGATTCTTCAACCATTGGGATCTATGTAAGTCTACATACTTTATTAGGAGTGGATAAAATGCATAGATATCTCTAACCAATGTACAGTAACCCTGAAATAAAAGAACAATGTATGTGAATTCTCTGCATTGGGTTTCTAGCGAAGTGTTTATCATTTCTTTTCATGATGAATATTGTATTAATGATCTCAAATTTTAAAGCTAATGTGATAACAATTCTTGATTTAAACACTTTGTTATCATGTCAACATAGATGCATTTGGGGTTATACAGCTTTCCGTATACTTCACCCTCTTTTGGCTGTAAAAATTTTTTTTTTGCATTTCTGACGTAGGTAAATCCGGAAAAGTGCATTGACACACACACACTAATTTAACCTTTGCAGAAATGACTTGTTGATAATCCTATTGCTGCTTGCAATATTTTATAATATGTAATTACCAGATTCCCCCTTACATGCAGGACCTTTACTGTTCTCCCATTCAATAAACACCATGAAACTTATTTGAGCCTCCTAGCCAAATCTAATATAAATAACACGTTCTACTTTCTGAGACAGTCTTAAAAAGTTTTCCCAAAGCAACAAGTTCATGAAATTCCACTTTCTTGCTTTCTTTTTGATTTATTACACAAAGGCAGTCAAATAATCCATTTCATAACAAAGAAGATAATTACAGTCTGAACCTCCGCTTCTAAATCAGCTACTTCATTGGATCCATGTTTGGAGGCTAACAACTTCTTGTCTTTTAGGTCCACAGTTTTACCATTCTCTCTCAATTTGATAGCAATAGGCAAGAAATGGTCTTTAATCATATCAGGTGTAGAACTGGCTATAATAGGCTGAGTACGAGCTGTGAAACAGAAGTTTATAAATACTTAATTTGATACATTTCATTATATATGAATACCAAAAGAAATAAGTTCACTTTCAAGAACCAATATTTTAAAAGTGAATGATTTCCCATATGTTTATTTTAAGTATTTCAAAACTGGAAATTTAATTTCCATCATATTCCTTTTCAAATGTACTGAAGACTAAATGTAACTGGAATATGCAGGAATATGTAGGATTTTACTAAGGATCTACATAAATTTTAAGGAGATCTAAAATTTATATCACTGCTTTTCACGAAATGATATAGATACTGGAAAACTCAATTCATTCCAATAAAAAAAAATAATATAAGAGGTGCTTAATGCCATCCAGTAGTATTGAATTTCTGGAATTTTCATGGAAATCCATTCCCTGGATTATGGAGGACTGCATCCCCAAATGTGAATGTGAGAACATCCCTATATAAAAACAAGAAGATATGGTATGATTGCCAATAAGATAACTCTCCACCAGAGACCAAATGACATAGAAGTTAACAACTATATAGGTCATTGTATGACCTTCAAAAATGAGCAAACTATGTCTATATCCCCACCATCAAAGAAAGATATTAATTAATATTGGAAAAAAAGATCAATCATATGCCCTTGACACATACTTGCTATTCTGTTCATCCAAGGTGCGTCCAATGTACCAATATTACTCAATATAAGTTTTAGTACATTCTTCAAAACTGTATTCATCAGTTCTTCTGTTACTGTGGAAGCTCTATTTGAACTGAAAAATCAAATTAAAATAAAAATTTTACATTTTAAATTAATTTTATTAGAAGTTTTCAAGACATTTAACATACATATCTAAAATTCTGCAATTAGAGATTAATATAATGGAAAAGAATTATCAAAATATTCTGTCCACTTGCCTACTATACTTTTAGCTGTTTTGTCAAATCTAAAATGTACTGATTTGTTAACAGAAAAATATACTTTAAATGTAATGCAATAATACAAGTAACTTATTTCAACTTACCCATCAGCCATAAGTTTTCCCTGGATAAGCCAATATGGGAGATAACTACACAACATGGGTAGTGTCACCTCTATCACATGTGGAGCCTCTTGATATTTGCCTCCAGATTCTGCTAGCTCTTCAATTTCTGTAATGATTTTCTCAAGTTCTGGGACACATTCTTTTAGCTGGTCCATAACCTCTGTAATAGATAATACAAAATAATTTGATTATCTAACATAATTAGAAAGGTAAATGGATTGGATAACATCAAAATTGTGAATACTAAAATAAAAATGAAAATGTGAAGACACTGAATATTACTTCCTGGTACAATATACATGTACATCCTATTATCCAAAAAAAGATTTTGATCAATGGTTAATTCGTTGAAAGACACTCAGGAAAGAAGTTAAATAAGATGTACTACTACTGTTTTTTAATTTACATGCCCTGCTTTATCTCCATATTTCCATAATAATGCTAAATTTTAAAGTTAACGATAAAAAAAATAATTTTCCATCAATCAAAGACTTTCTTTGGAAATACAAACAAATGCTTAGCTAGCTTTTGTGCAAAGATAAGTTTAAATTAATCCTACCTTGAGCCTCTAGAGAGTGCTCTGAAATTTTGCCTTCTATTCCAAACAGTATCGAGTTCCTGTTGTACTTGTTGTAGTTTGGCTCCAAGAAGGCAACAGGGAAACAGCTGGCAAAGGAACCCAGACATTCTCCTAACGCTGGTCTATGCCTAATTAAAAAATATAAGAAGATTGATTTATTGTTATTTACTTTAAGTCAAATATTTCATGTATACATAATAAGCATTACATTTTAAATGAATCTATCAATATTCAATGGATTTAACTATAGTTTCTTCTAAAACAAATTCTCTGCTAGTTGCCATACTATTGACATGAAATCTTAGTTTGTGTTTAAGTTTGTATAAATCAAACAAATATTTAGCATGATGTTTTAAGAGAGAATTTAAAAAAAAAAGAGCTGCTCATATACAAGAGGAAAATATCAAATTGTCATAGTTTTCTAAGAAATAAATTGAATAATGTCAATTTCAGAAATTTACATTTCTAAACATGACAATACAATCAGAATAAAACCAGTTTGCAAATGTGTTTATGTGCAAAAACTAGAGGATTTATCAAGTGGAACTAAATCAACATCTCTACACTAAAATCATATAAAACTAAAGGAAATACAACACACTTCTAGGTTTCTATGGAATAACAATGGCAAGTTAAGGATAATCTATAAATTTACAGACATACTATATCCGTTAAAAAAACTTTCTAATATCACTTTTTTCTCTCAAAAAACAGCTTCAAATATATTTTTAAAAATAACTGCTGTTATTATAATAAAAAGTGACCTCTAGATGCACAAACTCCTGATTTCAAAATTTCCAAATTCTTATCTCTATTGATTTTATGCCTATAAAATCAATTTGTTTAGACAAGGCAAGATTTTAAATTTCAAATGTTTCGATAGTTAAAAATTTCATAATCTTCTTCACCTTCCAAATTCAAATTTTTCTACATGTATTTTTTCTAGTCTCTTGAAAAGATCTTTGAGCAACTTCCAGCTCTTCCGATTTTGAAGCATGTACATACTGGTACTATAACATTTTATTGATGAGTTACTTTTTGCTACAATAGTCACCATTTTAAACAATTTTACCACAAAAAACTTTCATCTGTTCACCATTTTTTACAAGTGGTCAATAAAATGGATATTGTAACATTAACAATCAACATAAATTGATCACTTATAAAAAATGTATATTGGTTAACACATATATGTTTTCTGCTGTAACATTTTGTATTTGAGGTTTGTTCAATATTTACAGACTGTATCATGGTATGTTTTACAACAATAAAATCAAGTAAAAACATATTCTAAACAACATATTGATATTCTAATATAAATTTTTTTTTTTATGAATTCATCATTTTCAAGATAAAATTGCAAACTGATTTATCCAGATCAATTATCATTTTAAGCTTATTCAATAGTATTTTCTCCTTTTTTTTATATCAAAATTATTTAACCACATATAATGGTTTGCATATCATCTTTCATCTTTTTTGTTACAGAATTGGTTTAAAATATTATTTTTTAGAATTAAAACGATAAAAAAACAATCAAAAATGCAAAATTTTCAGCTCTGAAAACTTGCCATTACTATTTCATTGTAATATTACATAAATTTCATAAATTAGATAAACATTGAGAGAAAGCAGAATAAATTGTGTTGGTCCAGTGAAGTTAAATCATAATAAGAGATTAACTTAAATATATATCCTGCTGACAAAAATATACCGGTACTACGATAAAAAGTTCTAAATGTGAATTCATTGGGGCCTTTTCCTAAAATCAATAGAATCTTTTCATACTTCTCTGTAAATTCTCACTTGATAAATTATTATGAAACTTATATTTAAACTTCTTCAGGGAAAGTTCACCTGAGATTAATTCAGCAATAAATTTTAAGTCCCTTTTGGTTATCTAGCTCAAGTTTTTAGGTATATATACATCCTTGGCTTTCTAATGATTAGGTTTCAGCTTTCCTGATGTAAGGTATATCCACAAAAGTGCTTCTTACCCACAAAATTTAATCAAAGTGCATGTAAGCACTGAAGGGTAAAGATTGCTTTAATTTATCAGTGGGAAGTAAAATTAAACATTGCATTGTAAAAACATTGGTTGTAGTTGATTCAACTACAAATATATATGGACAAAGGAAGATAACTCAATTTTAAAGATTACTGTAACAATGACATCATTGATATTTTTAGAACAGATATTAGATTACTGCACCTTGCCAAAGTTATGTAATTTTCTTGACAAGTATAACATTATTTTTTAACTTGAATATCTGAGCATATATTTCAATGATAAATTTCTGGAAATGTTCATGGATAGGATGTTTAGAATGTTATGATCAATGCACTTTATTATGTGTATCTCAAAAGTAGTGATAAACCTTGGAAAAATTTTGATATCAAGTCAGTTCCATAGGGTTTTGATTGCATTTCATGCAATCTTTACCCAAAAAGTGTTAATTTGGTTTTCAAAATGAGTATACATCATCCAGTTTCTTTTTAAGCAAAAGAACTGCAAAATGGTATTTTTTGTAGGGATTATTAAGAAGGAAACACAGTTAAGCAAAAAAAAATCATAAGAACTACCGTAGAAAGGCTTGTATAGTTCGCAGTGGTACATAGTCCGCACCCCCTTCTCCCCACGAAATTTTAGGTAAAAAAACTTTTTGTAACTGTTAGAAAAGGTCTAATGAAACTCCGGTAATTTCAAATCCTGTGCGGTCGTTTGCGGTATTTTCTTGGAAAACCCTGTTTTCCATCATCAAACAGAAGCTGAAACTGCTTGTAAATGATTCTAGAACGCTTCATGATTGTTAAAATAAGTTTAATTCACTTAAAAAACAATTTAGAAACTTGTGTATGTTTAAACAGGAAGTTTAAAAAGCACGTGTAAAGGAAGAAATTAACCGGTGAGAGTCGAAATCCGTACATAACAGATATCACTATAATACGACTTTGAAAGTAAAACAGTTCCATCCTTTTGTAAAACAGTCTTTAATATATCTATCACATTAATGTTTGAAGGGTCTTAAGCTAATACAAACCATATTAGTCAGTATGAAACACCAAAACGGAACGAACAATGACCGATTACGTTTTGTAGTTTACAAATTCTAAGCTGGTTTACGGTTGTCTTTTTCACTATGTTTGTATCGTTTCAATCAAGCAGATACCAGTTTATTTCAACCAATGCATTGAAAAGAAACGAGAAATTTGTAATGAAAGGTTTAGTTTTTATATTTATCAGTATTAATTTGATATTGAATAGAAATAACTTATTAATATGGATGAGTTAAAATTATTAGTTTGAAAAATGATAAGAGCGCCCTCTACAATATAAATAACAAAGATGGCGGAACGTAAACAAACCACCTCGCCCGCGAAATTGAAATTTTTCTCTTATTTCTTGCTTATTGTACTCTATAGTCCGCACCCCGTCTGGAAGGTCCAATTTTGGAGAATAAAACCGCGGACTATACAAGCCTTTCTACGGTAATGATAGAATTTTGAAATAATATGCAAACAGACAGTTGTCATTGATTTTTTGCAGATAATAAAAAAAACATGAGTAACAGATCTTGATAGCGTCAATACAGCTAAGTAAGCAAATTTTCAATGAAATCTATTATAAAGGTATTTTTATTTATGCATTTTGTTGAATAAATAGAGTAAATAATAGTTTAAGATAAGTCTTATTATGATGATAGAAGTAAAATAAAGACTCCATAATTTTGAAATTTTTTTTGATATTCCTTTTCTCTGAAAGGGCGGTAAACATGTACAAATCTATCATTACATGCACAAAAGTAAGGAAGATTGCACAGTTTTAGTGATGGTGTTTTAAAAAACAAGAGTTAAAACAAGAAATAACAAAATAACTGTAGGTGCAACAAAGCTTCACACCATGCTATACCTTGACAATTCTGACAAAATGGTTTCCCTACATCAAATAAAATATAATTATTACTATCAAACTAATGATAACATCTTCTTTCCCGTAATTAGGTATTTTTATAAAAAAATTACATTGTCTTATTGTTGTTAGGGTTATACGAGTATAACCTCACATAAGGATAACCTCACATGAGGTTAATATAACATTCAAACAACTGGCACAGTGCCAGTCATTAAGTTATATTCTATATATTATATATATTAAAACGTACTGTTAAAAATCATATAATTCAGTGAGTACAATGTTTATTAACCCAGGAGTATTATATATCAACCTCGGCTCTTGGCCTCAATGAATATAACATTCTGGGTTATAAAAGTATTTTATCCACTGCCTACTTGCCATATAAGAAAGTTATAGAATATCAAATACCATACAGTAAGTCTTTTGTAGCAGTCTTTATGAGTTTTTATTAACCATATATTGGCCAAGACCTATGTTTGAGGTCCATGTTGATTGCTCAAGTACACACATACTCAAACAGACGTGTAAAGGAGAATGAAGTCGTTGTTTTCAAACTTTTTTCCATTTTTTATAAATGTAATTAATGTTTTCATTTAACTATGGTTTTCCAAAAATATTACCCACAAGCACACCTGATGACAGGCAGATAACACACAGTAAATTAAACAAGTGAAACTGTGAGCTACCGCGCACTGATGATACCCCTGCCCAAATATGGATAATTTTAATATTGTAAAAATATGTAAGTGTTCGGTAAACAGGAAGTTGTTGAGTGATGAATCTGAAAAGGCATCACACGGTATAGCTCACTCATATAAACCTTGAAACCAAATTTCAAAAATCCTTGTAATGTAGTACCTGAGAAAAATGCGACGAAAAATATTCATGGGACGTCGTATGGACGGACAGACAGAGGTAAAACAGTATACCCCCACTTTTTTAAAGCGGGGGTATAATAAAAATATCTGTGACATTTAAATTTTACATAACTTTCATGGAATCATCTGTTTGATGAAGATATTTTTACCTTAATATCGGCTTCTATCTTTCATACTATACATAAGAAAATCCTTAGTATTTTAATCATGATTTTTGAGGATTTGCTGTAACTGTTGTTTTCATTTTTATGGTAAAGATATTTTGAAATGAAAAAATGCATGAAATCTTATGGCAAAAGTAGACATTTATTCATTAAATGGAAACTGTAATGATATAAGATATTGAAGAACAATATTTGAAAATTTGTACACTACCTTTCCACAATAGATGAGTTGGTTGTTCCAAGAGAATACAGGGAAATCAATATTCTGTATGCAGACAGTTGTATATCTCCAGCTAAAAACAGAATAAAGCTAGAATTATGTATGATAAAATATATTTCAAATATGTGAAATACTATTGCTGTGGCACATACTTGTTTTATAATACACTTTTAGATGAGCTCCTATTAAGTTGATAAAGTTAAACTCAGGTAAAATTAACATAAGATTGTTTTGATAATTCTTTTTAGCCTTATTTTGCCATTCTACACTTGATGTTCTGAACTTCCTGATGAAGGTGACTTCAAAGACAGCAAATTTATCATGTTTGACTCTATTTTACTACCAATTAAACTATACTTTCTGTCCAAAATAATTCCTTAACCCTGAATACATACGGTAGTGACATATATATTTCCCTACACTTTATCTAGCCAATGTAATTGAAAAATAACCAAAATATTTTATCAATCTGATGTTTTTCTTTTCTACAACCCAAACATCCATTCAATACAGGGGCCTCGGTGGCCGAGTGGTCTAAGTAGTTACTTCTGTAATCACTAGCCAGTCAACACTGAGGTTGTGAGTTCGAACCCCGCTCGAGCGGTGCACTCGACTCTAATCTTAATTGACTAGGATTGTCAGTTTTCCTATCGAAGGTCGGTGGTTTTCTCCGGGCACTCCAGCTTCCTCCACCAATAAAAACTGGCCGCTACTAAATAGCCCAAAAGCGGTGCTAAAAAGTGGCGTTAAAACACCAAAAATCAAAAATCAAATCAAAATCCATTCAATACCAAAGCCAGGAGTAATACAAAGACACCAGACAGAGGACCATTTTGAAAATGTTTCTGATTTAGAAAATATGATGGTCTTTTTTGTTGAGCTATATGACATTGTTCATCATTTCTTTCCATCTGTCATCATATTTACAACAATAATCAGTGATTTCAAGAAATCTAAATGTAATGCAAAGCCACTAGTGCATCAAAACTGTACCAAAAAGGCTACAACTGTAAATTTAAACAATAAAGACTTTATAATGTAACAAGCAGAAATCTTACTTAATAAGTCTGGTCCAAAGTGATGTCGTCCTAAGTGATCAAACATGGAAGACAACACAGGAAGTAACACCATATGTACATAGTCCAGACTAGTGGCTCCTCTAGTGATTGTTCCCTTCACATGGCTGAAGCGTCCTTTCATTAGGTTCTCCACAACCTGAGCTAAGTCATCAGCAGCATTGTTAAAGAACGGCATCAGAGAGGATCTAACCATTTCGGGACTGTTCTTTACAACCGATCTGTAAAAGCACTTTTTTTTTTCAGTCAGCAGACTTATATCCAATAAGAAGCATGTTAGTATATCAATTCAGGTATCTGGACCTTAGTCAAAATCATAATATTTATAATTATCTAGGTGAACAGTCTTTTCAATGTTTGCTATACAAAGAACATCCCAGTCTTTTAAAATAATAACTGTTTTAATCATGGTCCAGATGATGAATAGAAGACTCCTTTGCATTTACAGCATCTACAAGTTTTCTTAAAAGCATGTCTTCTACTTTAATAACTATAAAGTAAATTGAACTAAGCGCTTCCCCATTTTTAACTTTAAAACAACGATTTCAAGTTTGATTAGAAGTATCAATTAAAAGTAAAGACAGGATATGTTTTTATATAAGTCAGATTTTAAATAAAAACAAACAAATGAAAGTATCCTGCTCTTCAACACTGATTTCAGTGCATTACATTATAGCAAGAGCTAATAATTACTTTCCTTAATTGCTTATCCAACAAATAATTTGCAATTCTAACCAGTGCCTTCTGCAATCTTTTACAAATTTATTTGATAGAGATGTTATAATTTCATGCCTATCCTGAAGTTTTAACTACAAATTAAATACATCGATTGTTTCTTATACTACCTCGCATCAACAGCTTGTATGAGTACTTGTAAACATCTGACAGATATACACACATCATGTCCAAAGGCATTGATTCTTCCTCTAAGTGTCCCAGCCAATTTACAAAACAAACTGAAAATAAATAACAATTACACAAAGATATATCTATATCTGTGAAAACAAGAAGATGTGATGTATAAGTCAATAAGACGGAAACTCAATCACACTAAAAACCATATGGAAAAAATGAAAAGAAATTGAAAAAACGAGCACACCTATGCTTAACATCGTTTATCTAAATAAAAGGTCAATTATTTAAAACTTTGGAAAAGGACACCAACTACAACTCTAAAAAAACTGAGACTACAATAACACATAGCAGTCTCTGCAAGAAATCAGCATATAACAATACACTGTTATACACATATATATAAAAATTGTACATACTTAGCAGTCATTTCTTTCTCTTTTACAGATGCCAATGCACTACCTCCTGCTGATGTACTGGATCCAATAAAATAATCACGATGAGCAGCAAAGTATTTCTCCACAAATGGTAGAACAACCTAAATTTGCAAAAATATCATTATTTGCAAGGAGTCCTTAGAAGTAAGACATTAGCATTTCTTAGTTAGTAATTGTAATGTTATTTGTTACATTTCTTACACAAGTAAATGTAATTGTAATCTAAATGAAGCTTCTTGCAATGTAATCAAAATGCAATAAATTATTTTTAAAATTAATTGGTAACATGTACGTATGAAATAAGTTTTTGCCTACCCTGACAAATAGTAATGGTTTGCTCCACTTTCAGTAAAATGGTGGGAAGCAGACAAAGAATAACTTTAATACAATGATTTCAAGCCTTATAATCAAGTTTGATTAGAAGTATCAATTAAAAGTAAAGCCAGGATATGTTTTTATATAAGTCAGTTTTTAAATAAAAATAAACAAATGAAAGTATCCTGCTCTTCATCAATGATACCTCTAAGCATATCTCGTTAAAAGTTTTATCGTCAATTTCAGGCTCCATAAAAGACTTTTTGGAAATGCCAATAGACTATGAAGAACTCTTTTTTCAGTAGTATCAAACACATTATAAATCTCTAATACTAAAAGAAATGGTTTTCAATATATATACATCACATGTTGTAGAAACTTTTCAATCTTAAACAAAAGCATGCTTACTTTTCCAAAGAATTTGACATCTTCAGTTGCAGTTGAGTAACTCTCTCTTCTACTGAACCTTGAACTGGGTCTTGTCTGTGTTATGTTCGTTGATGCATTGTCAAAATACTGTAGTAGCTTTTCTAACAAGCTGTACGCAAATCTCTTTTCTGTGGCTGATACATTGACTTCACTCTCATTCTTAGCTCCTTTGTCTCTCCTAGAATCAGAAGCTCTACTGGTGTGTCTCTCTATTGATGTGTCGTGGCTAGGTACACCGTAAGGTTGGCACAAATAAGGAAGGTGTGAAGGAAGATGGACAGAAGTGCAAAAAGAGGGGAAAAAGAAAATAAAACGACATAAGTATACAACAATAAATTACATAATCATAAATAAATGAATTTTGTTGTCATGTATGATTTTTCTTTTGATGGAAAATGATTTTCCTTGGTTTTTTTTTAATGATATAAATTTCAGCCACTATTCATTTCTCCCAACAAAATTCATGTATGAGTAAAATGTACAGGTTTTTTTATATTCTTCAATTAAAACACTTCACAGATATTTTTTTTTCGTAACTATAGTTAATAATTTCTTTTTAAATGCTTTATTAACATTTCTGTACTTCTTAAAAAACAAACCAAACATATCTGAATGAATATTCTGATCAATTTTCAAGATGTTTTCATAGGAACTTTTTTACCCACCATTTATAGAATTTTAATCAAAATAACATAAACTTCATAATAAAGAACAAGTATTGCCCCTATGACATATGAAATATGTAATTAACATGTTGTCCCTCACCCAAATTCTCAATCATTTTTTTTTCAGAATTTTTCTAAAAAAGCATATATGAGTAAATTTACAAATGCCGCTGTACATTGAACAAGAAATTATACATCAGACATATGTGTAACCTATTCTTGACAACAGAACTATCTTCATACGAGACACAAAAATAAAAATACACTATAGAATGACACCCAAGACATGAATGATGCATGTACATGTACTATTACAATCAAAACACTAAACACCAACATAAATATTGAAATTGTACAAAAGAAACTGTAATTTAAATTTTCTCAAATTATAAGAACAACGAGTCTACTTTTTCACAGAAATCAAAACAAACACCAAGTATTACACAGAAAACAACTATATAATGTAAGACATGAAAAGAAGACACATGTAATAAAGTTGGAGTTTGACATGAATGCACGTAAGTGTAGATATTAGATATTACAGCATAAACCACAGATGTGTTAAATAATTCTTCTGCAAGTGATGGATTCTACTTTGGATTCATTATTAATCGTGGGATACAATTTTTTGTGGATTACGTGGGTAAAGGCGATCCACAAATTTAAATGTTCAACTAAAAACACATTTTCTATAGGCTTATATGCAGATGTTGGCAGAACCATGAAATCAAATATCCAAAAAAATTCAATTTTTCTTCCATCCACAAAAATGGTAGCCAGGATAATAAATGAATCCACAATATTTCAATTTCATCAAGGATCATTTAAAAATGTTCAAAAATTTAACTCCAACATAAGGTCACTTTAATCTTCTGTTTGACCTTAGCAGTTTTTATTTAGAAATAAAAAAAATGAACTGCTAAGTAGCAATGAAATATGGTTAACACATGTGTTATTTGTACTGTAATATAAATGTGCTCCTACTAGGTCCAGGGCTATAGAAATATATTTTTACTTGCCCATAAATTCCAATATGTATTGTACAACTCAAACATATCGTTAATTTAATTGGGTTATAAAGTAAAGTTTTCAAGAATTATGAACATCAACAGATTATTTCTTTAGCAAAGACATTTTCTAACCATTATCTGAATATAAAATTAAGGAGATGATGTATAATTGCCAATGAGACAACTATCAACCAAAGTTCAAATAAAGTGGATGTAAGCAATTATAGGCAACCGTACGTCCTTCAACAATGAGAAAAACCCATACTAAATAGTCGGCTATAAAAGGAAGTTTATCTCAATAAATACAGGAATGTCACTATTGAAAATAAAATGTTCCTATTACATTACCTACGGATTATATACCGGTATGCAAAAATATATACCACAATATTAACCAAGCAAATAATATCGATGAAACTTTCATAAAATATGATAATTAAGAAACAATTTCTATTGTTTCTCATATTCATAAGATGTAATAATTAATTATTGTGTAATAATTAATTATGGCAATATAAAAGATATTACTAAAAACAAATCAAAAGAAAATTTAAAATAAAGTTATGAAAACTAGCTGAGGCATCATTTAGTGATTAACTCATTTCAATGAGGGGACCTCGATGGCTGAGTGGTCTAAGTAGTCGAACCACTGTATCACTAGCATGTCAACACTGAGGTTGTGAGTTCAAATCCCGCACATAGCAGGTGCGCTCAACTACAATCTTAATTGTCTAGCATTGTCAGTTTTCCTACCGAAATTGGTGGTTCTCTCCAGGCACTCTGGCTTCCTCCACCAATAAAAACTGAATGCCACAAAATAGCACTATTGTGCTTTAAGTGGCATTAAACACCAATCAATAAATAAAATATATAAATAAATTTCAATGACAACTAAAGGTATCAAGCATTGCTGAATTTTCTGTTCGACTTAGTCACAAATAATGAATATTTGAGAAGTTTTCTACACTAACCTTGATATTCTAAAACCCTGGAACTGTAGGAATTTGAGAAGTTCTGTAGCATGATCTCTGTACTTCTTCTTTTCTTTGTCAGTCAGTGTGTCATAAGGAACAGTAAGAGGATGAACACCACCACCTATAAAATAAATTCAAATCTTTCCTTTCATTTACAGATTGACCCTTACCAAATATGCCTCATTGCTGTCTTTGACAACTCAGGAATAGAACAGGTGTAACATGCAATTTGCCACTATCTCTATTAAATAATGATCCACCAATAAACAAGAATATGCTTAGAGCTAGAGGTATAGGGGGAGGGTTGAGATCTCACAAAACATGTTAAACCCCACCGCATTTTTGCGCCTGTCCCAAGTCAGGAGCCTCTGTCCTTTGTTAGTCTTGTATGATCTTTAATTTTAGTTCATTTATATGTTTTGGAGTTTAGTATGACGTCCATTGTCACTGAACTAGTACACATTTTTGTTTAGGGGCCAGCTGAAGCACGCCTATGAGTGCGGGATTTTCTCGCTGTGTTGAAGACCCATTGGTGGCCTTCGGCTGTTTTCTGCTCTTTGGTCGGGTTGTTGTCTCTTTGACACATTCCCCATTTCCATTCTCAATTTTATTACTCTTCTTGAGTACCTAATGTCAATTTTAGTTTTGTTGTAATTTCTTGTTTTTGAATTCAAAAAAAAAATGTGGTATATACATCAATGAAACAGCAACCCAACAACACAAACATAATTTCCAAAAGCCACCTCAATGTCTACATTTGATGTCTTTGCTTTTAATTTGCCGCACGAGTGGATTTCCTCTGGAATTAGACTGTTGATTGTCTTTTCAACAAAGATGGTTCCATATGTTTTACAAGTTATTTCCATTATAAAAATATGTTTTTGGCAAAAATTTTGCAGTCCTATATTCTGTCGATTCAAAAGCTTTTGTGCGCATTTAATATTGCTATTGTTGAATAATTGACAAACATGTAAGACTAATTATTACGATTTCAGGAAATGTTTCATACAAATAATGCTATCAAAATTCATAATGCAAGTTTTTAATTTTGCAGAACCAATCCTGTCCCAATTTTTTGCAATAATAAATAAATGGAAAATGTGTCCATGGGACACACATGATGCCCCAGCTTGCAATTAACGTTATAAAGGGGCATAACTCCAGAGCGGTTAAAGTGACGCCACCCAAAAATGAACTTGATCTGTGTTTTGTGGTAATAAGCATTGTGTATAAGTTTCATAACATTTGGTTTGAGGCAAACTAAAGTTAGAGAACGAAAACCAATTTCGTGAGGTACATACGTACGGGGGCATAAAAATTGCAAAAATGTCTGAATTTATAGCACACAATATCTGTATAATATCTCAGAATATCATTATATCTATAGTTGCTGCTTACCAAGTTCTTCAAGCTCCACCCTTTTCTTAAAGGCCCACATATCATGTGAATCATTTGATAATTTCTCTATCATATTCTACAATAAATAATTTATAATGCATGTGAACAGCAAAACAATACAGTTCTACATTCTAATGACTATAACAATGGAAATATATGGAGTACATGTATTAGTATTTGTGTGCAGACTGCAAAAAAAATCGATAAACCTAACTCTTTTGCAGTTGACCAATTTCAACATAATTTTATTAAAAGCAATTTAATCCATTTGCTGGTGTTGGAAACTAAAATTGCTCAGGTGAGTCCTCAGTAAACTATTAAAAACTCCAATCTACCTGTTTTGGCATAAGAAAGAAGAACCAGATAATTAATATGTTGTCTATATGTTGTGTACAAGTTGTAATGTTGTACAAATTATAATTTGTACAGATTTTTTGTACAAGTTATCAGTGTTTTATGAACTGCTTAACACAAATGGATGATGCAAGCACACCATCTTTTGTTTCGCATATTTCTGTCATATTTTCACAACTACATGATACAGTCTAATACTAAGCATTGATACAACAAACATTATAAGACCACAAAAAGACTTTTTATGGCTATGAATATGTTACAAGGAGAAAAATAAAATTAGAATTTCAACCATTCAGGTATCCTTATTTCCAGTTTGAGGACAAAGAGAATAGCATTAAATGTTAGGTTGAAGTATATAAATTTGAATTTAAAACATTTAACTGGCACATTTAAGAAGATAAACCTGTATCACCTGGTGCAAGAAGGTATGTGTCAAAAAACTTATAACTTATACAAAAACCCTGTACAAATTATAATTTGCACAAACTTACATCTTGTACACAACATATATATCACAACTTTCTGAATTGTGTTGATTAACTAATGCTGCTGTACAATGAACCATAACAAAATGGTGCTATGACCAACTGAAAGAACAATTTATTAATATACCAGTGCTTTTGGCTGAACATTAAATGAGGAGGTATGTATATATATATACAAGTTGCCTATTTCCAAATATTTCAAATAGTTTTCAGCATTAATCTGTTATTTTACAGTAATACAAACATTTATAAATATAAATTATACCTGAATATCTCTTGTCAAGGTCATGTTACGGAGGTCAAATGGCTTAGGACTGTATCCATGGCTTGCCTGGAAAAAAAAAATCGTTTTTTTTTTATCCTCGTAAGATTTTTTGGTTAGAGAAAATGATGTAATACACAAGAAATTTCTGTTCTTTTTTATTCACAAATTTAAGTTTTTAAGTTAAAATCTGTTTGTACTTCATGATTGCCCTTTCTTGATCTATGTATGTCCAACCAAAAATCAAATTGTTTACATTCTGCATTTATCTTTGTTTTTTTTCAAAGTAACTATACATGTGTAAGTATAATATTAAAATTCAAAGAGTTGACTTTTCTTTAAAAGTTTGAAGATTTAAAATTTATAAAAAGTCACCAAAATAAAAAAAAAAAAATTAAATTTGGGACAAACAGTGCCTTCATGTATATTTACTAATGAAGATAAACATAAAATAAAATATATTGATTCATGTCAAAATTTTGTTTCAACAATAAATTTCTAAACAGAAATTGTAAAGTTAAATTAACAGATGCTTCATATATTGACACATTACCCCATCTTTGGACATCCGTCTTCTCATACTGTCTCTGTTGGCAGCTTGTCTTTGTTGGTCCTGCTCTAAAGCCCATCCCCAGAATAACATTGACCTTACACTCTCCTTGGCAGGATGTATATACTTGTTTTTTGACTGGAAAAATAAATCAATGAACATAAACAACAAATAAGATCAATCAATATTATGAAGACTACACAACAATTCAATAGACTTTTTAAGGCATTTTCAACTACAATATTTCTTTACCGAATTTTTTCCAAAGCTTATCTATTTGTTTTTCTTTTTTACATATTAGATTTTAACACACATTTTCAAATCCAAATATAGTGAAAAGTAAACATACCTTTTCATCCAGTAAATGGTATGGTTTTAATAGGGGATGTGTCATTCTATCTTCGTCATACATAGTACCAAAGAGCCAGCCACTATCCATCTGTAAAAGGAAAACACAATTCAGACTACTGTAAATTCATAAATTATTGCGTGCATTTATTATTGCGAATTTGTCATTTTAGACTAAAATGCGATTTCAATTTTTGCGATATTGAGAAAAATCCTGTTTAATTCATATAAAAAATTTCAAAATGCAAGTTTAAATTATTGCGATTATAACCCTGTTGCATTTTTCACAATAATAAAAACATCGCAATAATTTCTCAATTTACAGTTTCTAATACAAAGACAATACTCTATTAGTTAAATCCTTTTAAAGACATACGTTTTTCTCATTATTGAAGGCCGTACAGTTGCCTATAATTGCTTCCATCCACTTCATTTGAACTTTGATGGATAGTTGTCTCATTGGCAATCATACCACATGTCCTTATTTTTAAAAGAGTTTTTTGTAAAATCACCAAGAAACATTTATTCTTAAGATTTTTAACAAAGCAAAACAAAATACAATGTTCCCTCTTTCAAATACACATCAATCAATCAAAAGAGTGAATACATGCTAGATTAAATTTGTGGATATAATAACTGATCATGTCGAACTGGTTCTCCAACACATATGTTTTTCCTTGAAACTAAGACTTTCTAAAGTCATACTTATGGGAAAAATTAGGGTTAATTACAAAATAAACCACAGATATCTGTACCCAATTTTCCAGCAAGAGGTCTGATGTTACTTATTTTAATCAAGAATTATTTGAATAAATATAGCAGGGGTTGAAACCAAAACAGTTCAACAGGAAATCATCTGAGCAATATTGACTTTAAAACCTTTCATTTTTTCTCACAGCTCTTGATAGAAACTAAATCGAAATGATCAGTTATTTGATTCATACACTTACCTTTTTGATAGCCCAAACATCATGGTAATGCTCAGCAAATTTGCTTATAGCTTGATCTAAGGACTGGTTAATGGAGATTCCCCTTGTGTCCAGTGGCTGAGGATTATATGTTCCATCCAAATTAGATCCGACATCTATTATCCTCATGTCATCTTGTTTGGTAAGAGAATAGTCAGGTGACAAGGCACAGCCAATGGCTGACAGACATGGTAAGGCCTTGGAAAATAATTCTGGGTCATATTCCTGAAAACATAAAATAATGGTAAAATTCTACAAGACAGTCAAGGCAACTTCCTATTTGGACAGCAATTTTTTAACTGTTTACTAGTTTTTTTAAACAAGAAACAATTCTTATTTCATAAACAAACGGGGATTCAAATTTCACCATGGAAAAGAGAATGGCAGATGCAACAATACTTATTATCTTTCCTTTTATATCATGAATTGATGTTGCACAATGTATGAGCTAATCAGACCAAATGTTGAGAACACTGTCTGCAAATCCAAAGAAGGTAATCATAAAACGTCTTTACCCTGTGTGACAATGAATCAAATATTCCAGTAAACAATATCATTGTGAGTCTTTTCTCCTCATCTGTGGCTGATCCATAGGATCCCCATGATCCACCAGAACTATAGTATGATCCACATCTCTTGTAGTAAGCTGTCAACACTCGTAATGGTACAACAGAATTCTCATTTAGATGAGGAACATCCACTGTAAGTTTCCTTAACAAACCAGTCATCATGGAGGGTCTCAACTGACTGCAAGATAATTTTATCAAGATAAAATACAAGATACACGAGCTAATAATAATGTGTTATAAAATTCATTCAGCCAACATATCAGTTTCTAATACTAATTAAGATTTACAAACTTAAATCAATAAACATGGTTGATAAACGTCTTAATTTCATATCATTAACCATTGTGGGACAAGAATTATAATACTATATAATGTAAAAACAATAAAAATTTTCATCACATTTTTACTAATTCCAGCAAAATAAATAAATTGAGTCTATTGCATTGAATTTAACAGAAGCATATACCACATATTTAAACATCTGAACCTAAAACTTTTCATATAAATAAGAAGATATGGTGTGTGCCAATGAGACAACTCTCCATCCAAGTCACAATTTATAAAAAGTTAACAGTTATAGGTCAAAGTACAGCTTTCAACACCTTTTCACTCTATTTTGTAAGTTTATATACTAATGACATCATAAGAACTTACTTTGTAAATGAGACGAGGAAGTCCGAGACTGCCTCTCTCTGACCTTTTGTCAATGATCGGCACTTTGACAGTCTGTACACAGTGTTCAGTGTAGAGTCCAATAGAGTTGAAGCATGGTCAGCATTCTCAAAGAAGTGACTATGTCTGGTCAACAGTGGTAAAACAGAACCTCCAATGTAACGATTCAGTGCTAAAGCAAAATCACTTTCCGATGCAGAGGCCTGAAAGTTTTACATAAAATATATCATGTACACTGATATTACATTGAAGAGGAGATCCCAAGAATTCTAATTCTCAACAATTTCCCATAGTTAACAAAAAGCATTTTTTGTTAAAAACCCATACTCAGTCAAAAGGGATATGAAAATCACTTAAGAGATCATTTGAATTTGAGTCTTTTTTAATTATAAAAATTTTAGACATACACTTTGTACACTTTAGAAGATGACCCTTGAAAAAATATATTCAACAAATCAATGAACAAAGCACAGAAATGACAATATATTTATGTTTATCAAAATTTGATAGAAAAATATGTAATAAAATGTGACAAGTAAGTTTGTATCAAACTGTGAAAGCTAAATATGCATCAAAATGTGATAATTAAATATGTAAAAATGTTGACACAAAAATAAGCATCAAAATATGATTTTAAGGGCATTTACAGCCTAAGTGAAATAAAATTAGAGCAAAAAAAAATTCATGCTGGTTTGTAGTAAAATTATTTCAATATGAATAAAATGCAAAACAACTGGTCAATTAATTGATTGAGTTAAAAGTCAAATCAGACTTCCATGCAATTCTGGATCTTCTATTGTCAATGAAATTAAAATAAACCTCACATGTAATTACAATTATAGTACATATGTGTTATCATTTCAGGATAAGAAGGACTGTATGAAGGAAAATGATGTGAATCAGAATACCGGTAAAAGGTCATTTTAATATACAATTGCATGTCAGTTCAGTTCAAATGGGTTAAATCGTAAAAGTACTTTTATTTGTGGAGTACCATTTTTTATTAACAACCTTTTCCATTGTTTTACTGTGTGTAATGTTGGAAACCCTGAATTCAAAATTCATTGAACAAGGAATTAATAAAAATCTGTAAAATACAAGCATTGTCCATTTAATAAAACATTTTTGCATAATGTCTTTTCGTTGGGTTAGAAACGTCCTTGAACTTGAAATTGGTGCATTGTAATCCACAAATAAAAGTACTTTTACATTAATCAAATCACTTGTAATATCAGCAACCACTAAATTCTTTTTTAATAATATAATGAAGACGTGATGTTTATTCAAAAATAATCATGTGGTTACCAACATTCTAAAACATGTTTAATTTCATCATCATTTTACCATTAGCTTGTCAATTTGTAGTCAATTCAGTAGTTGAAACCCAGATTGTTGGACAGAACTCTACAGTTGAATTTAAACTGAAATGACTAGTTTCAAGAAAATTGGTTAACACACCAATTATTTCTGCATTAATCGAAAATTTTAAATATTCTGAGAATGAATATGAATAGAGGAAGATGTGAGGTTAAAGACACGACGACTCCATTTTTCCAAAAAGTCATGTAAGAACTTACCATATGATATGGCTTCAATGATAGACAATCTTTTAAACCATATGGAAGTTTCTTCAAGACTCTTATTCTACACAAGGTGTGAAAAGTATCATTAATTGACAGAAATATGGTTGCTGTACAAGTCTACATGGTACTTTCAAACGTTAAACTTACTTGGTCTGGAAATGAACATAAAAGGATCACTCGGCTCAGGCTTAGAAAAAAAAGACTACCTACTTTACTTACTGTGTCCAGAGTTGTAGCTGCCCTCAGGTCAGGGAGAATACCCTCTTCTAGAATCCTGAAGAAAGTTTCTTGGTCAGGAAGACCATAAACTCTCTCAAGGAATAACATGATAGAGGATTTGTGGACTGGGTTTAGACCTGGGGGCATGTCTGACTCTGGAGCGCCACCTTCATCTCCTTCTTGGCTTTCAGCTGAAAATAAAACAATATTCAGGGTATAAACAAGATATATCCTAACTTTAAGGAAAAAAAAACTTATTAGCTAACATCATTGAATCCCTAAGAGACTGTAATAAAATAAAGATTGCTTTCTCTTTTTTTGTATATATTAAGAATCCTCATTTAGCAGTCATACTGTTATTCCTCTAAAAAAAAAAAATTTACAAATACTGACGAAAAATGTCTTTCTTTTACTAAAACTACTTAATATGTGGTATAGCACTGTAATATCCTTTACTTTTACAAGAATTCATTAAAATCAATTTTGAAAGAAATATCTAAACTAGCTATTTTCAAGAAAAAACAAATATCTGCACTTACAATCAATATCCAGATAAATGATAACTTAACTAGCAAAGGTCATATACTTCTCACTTTTTTTCCTGATATCAAAATTATAATAAACTCTTTTCTCAAGATAATCAAAATTAACTTCTACTAAAATTATCATAAAACAAGAATGTGTCCATAGTACAATGCTCCACTCACTATCAATTTCTATGTTCAGTGGGCTGTGAAATTGGGGTCAAAACTCTAATTTGGCATTAAAATTAGAAAGATCATATCATAGGAAAAACGTGTACTAAGTTTCAAGTTGATTGGACTTCAACTTCATCAAAAACTACCTTGACCAAAAACTTTAGCCTGAAGCGGGACAGACGGACGAACGGAATGACGAACCAACGGAAGCACAGACCGAAAAACATAATGCCCCTTTACTATCGTAGGTGGGGCATAAAAAAACACATAACACATACTATCAGCAGACATAGCAGGTCCTGCAGGAAGGATAAAGCTCAATCCTAGAACTTTTTCTAAGTCTTCCATGGACACCAAACTTCTCAGTATAGCTCTTGCTCTGATTGAGTCACTTCTGCCAGATTTAATGGTCTCAGCATCTGGGGCACATCTTCCTAGAAGGTCCACTAGCCCAGCATAAAAGTTCATAATGGCTCCTCCCATATCTATATAGTCCTCGTCATCTTCTGGTGGTAAGGTGTTGAAATCATATTTACTGAAAAAAGATAAATGTATTGCTTGTTGTGTCATGGAATAGAAGTTCCTTCATAATATAAGTTCCAAATGGAAACAATATTCTGGAATATTATTTCCACTGGAATAAATATTACAGTAAATGTTCCTGACGGAATAATTGGTATAGAATATTTGTTCCAACAGGAACAGATATTATGACATTGTTTATATCAAAGTTTCCAGTGGAACTTCTGTTAGGCGGAACATAAGAGTAATGGTAATATAAGAGATTTTGCTTTGCAACAGGATTCCAAATGACACCTTAAAATAGGATTCTTTCACATGCTGATGGTATAGAACTTTTCCCAACATGTATTACAAAGACCTACATTGAATACTGTTTACAGAAGATATTGAGATGGAAATTTAAATATGCCCTTTTTTTATATGTGTTTGTTTATTCTACATTGGCTAGAGGTATAGGGGGAGGGTTGAGATCTCACAAAACATGTTTAACCCCGCCCCATTTTTGCGCCTGTCCCAAGTCAGGAGCCTCTGGCCTTTGTTAGTCTTGTATGTTTTTTAATTTTAGTATGACGTCCATTTTCATTGAACTGATACACATTTTTGTTAAGGGGCCAGCTGAAGTCCGCCTCCGGGTGCGGGATTTTCTCACTGTGTTGAAAACCCATTGGTGGCCTTCATCTGTGTTCTGCTCTTTGGTCGGGTTGCTGTCTCTATGACACATTAACCATTTCCATACTCAATCTTATCTTTTCTGTCTGTTATTGAAAACTTACAGTATTTTTGGAATTGCTATTTGAAAAAGCCAATTTGCAATATCATTTCTGCTATTATTCTTTTTTTCAGCTAAAATTTAATTTAAAACTTCCCAATTTTAATCAATGAGATGTCTTTCTTCTGCAAATACTTAAGAAATGTCTATTTTCTAGGAATTTCTAAAAAATAATTCTGGCAAAATAATATTAGATACCTCTGATACAAGATTCTACCATCTGAGTCATCATCCATCATGGCCGACAGGAAGTGAGCAGAGTTGCCATCCCTTGCTGTAATTATCTGCTGTGACATTTTAATTCCATCTTTAACTGCTTTGAAAAGACCACCTCCCTCACCTCTCAATGCAGGGCCTAGACATTCTGGTCTACGAATCAAAAGTCTGACAACTAGGTTTGCATTTTCTTCCACACTTTCACCTGATATTTAAAATAAATTTGACACAAGTTATAGATATAATTTTTCGAAAGACCAAGAATGGCAATGAACTTATATCTTTTTGGTCTTTGATGTAGTCTTCTGTTTATTTCTAGTTGGGCAAACCCATTTGATCTAATTAATGGGTAGTATAAGGTGTTTGTACTTATTTCTCTACTGACAATAGACACATGTTTCATTGGCCTTTCTTTTAACAGATTCAAAGAATGAACTTAACTGCTTCAGGTGCTAAATTAAGGTAGCTTTATAAAATACATAATGCCAAAACTAAAAGTATGCCAAACCCATACAAGGAATCAGAGCTATGCTTGAGGGAGACCCATTCTCATTTTAAAACGATTTTGAAATTTTATAACAGCAAATTGAACTAAAACAATTTCTGTATTTTCATGCCTGTACGGAAGAACAGTCAACTAGCAGAGATATTGACCAGTGATAGTGTCACCGCATGAAATATTTCTTTATCTTTATTGTTATTCGTGTTTTTCTATGTTATACATATATTCATATCATATTTCATGTGTCATACTTATTATCATATTACATTGACGCTTGACAAATGACAAATCCAAATCAAGCACACCATTTTATCTGCATGCTTTCTAGTTACCACCAAAAAAATCCTTTCTTACCTGCAATAACTTTTCATACCTGTATTCTGTATTCAGGAGTTGGAGCCTGCAGATGGCTTGCACTATTAGCTATATATCTACAAGTTGGTTTTTCTATTTCTTAGTTTTAAGGTTCGGTTCTAATATTTTCATTTATAACTGTTTTATTTCTAAGAATACTATTGTTCAATGGTATAGTTATACTATTTGTAACTATCATTGTATATATATTTACAGAATAAAAATTTGTGGGCACTTACGAACTTACATAGCCATATGGGAAAAAATACCCACTTACCATTGACCCACACACAGAATCTAAGGAAATCCAAGAATCTCTCTCCTTCAACTGGATCCCAACCAATGTCAGGGTAGCCTTTTTCTAACAGCTCAGCATTGCTTTGGACCCCACATCTAGATAAATACATTGCTATCCTCTCTAAGTTAGTCTCCCTAAGGGCCAAAGCAAGTTCATTATTGTCCATTAATGAAGAGTAAGCTACATCCAGTGGACATGATCCTCTAAGTGAAGGACGAGCTGAAAAGTAAATTCACATTTCTACTTAATTTGTACTAAAAAAGAACATCTCGAGTTAATCAATTCAAATTTAACAAACCAAACTTTCTAGGAAGAATAAACTGTTATCACAGAGATATGTCTTGCCTTTTTGTAGTTTTGATAATGCAAATGTTGAAATTAAATAGCAATACTTTAACATGTAAGTTATGCAAATATTCAAAGTCGATGAACCATGACTGAAGGTACATGGCTAAACAATCTCCATGGAATGAAATGTGCCAATGCTAATACAACTGCATACCAAATACCACTGACTTATTATAAGTTGTTCCCTTTAAACAAACCTAAACACAAACATTAACTTGTAAACTATGTAAAAGTTTCAAAGTCAATTAATCATGATCAGGGGTGGGGCTATATAATCTCCATGGAAACGATATTTGCAAATGCCAATACATTTGCATACCAAATATCATTGACTTAACATTAGCAGTTCATCTTAAACTGATCTAATCACAAACTAATACATGTAAACTAAGCAAAAGTTTCAAAGTCAATAGACCATGACTGAGGGGGCGGAGCCAAATATTCTCCATGGAAATGAGATGTGCTAATGCTTATACAACTGAACACAAATTAACATTGGCCTACCACTAATGGTTCCCCTTGAACTGGCCTAATCACAAACTAATACATGTTAACTTAGCAAAATTTTCAAAGTCTATAGACCATGACTAAGGAGGCGGAGCCAAATAATCTCCATGGAAATGAGATATGCCAATGCTTATACAACTGCATACCAAATATCATTGACCTACCACTAGTGGTTCCCCATAAATTGACCTAATCACAAACTAATACATGTTAACTATGAAAAGTTTCAAAGTCAATAGACCTTGATTGAGGGGGTGGGGCCAAATAATCTCCATGGTAATGAGATGTGCCAATGCTAATACAACTGCATACCAAATATCATTGACCTACCACTAGTGGGTCACCATGAACTAGACCTAATCACAAACTAATACATTGTTGACGCCGTCGCCGACGCCGGAAACAGCATACCTATGTTTCGCTTTTTGACTCCGTCAAGGCGAGACAAAAACAAAATTGCTTCTATAACGTGTTACCTATGGAAATTTCAAGGGGATAAAAGAGTTATTTTCAGGCAAGGTAACAATTAACCTTTATCTCCTGCATGATGCTCCTTATTATATGTCTTGTACAACAAACTTCTTTTGCTTCATGCAATGGTTCATTTTTTTTTATAAAGTGTGTAAGGAAATCCTAATTTATGTTATACTCTGCGTGTATCCTCATTTACCACTCTTATTTTATTTTATACAACAGAACACAAATGAAGTTATACCCTGCTTCCATACACCTTTATCGATATTTGGAAATCTGCGCCGTTGACCTGAGAATCTGCACCGCTTGAACTTTTGACGTCATACAACAATCACTTTTCCATTGTGGCATCAGATATTTTTTATTGTGATGTCAAAATTTTTCGGGAACCTTTGTGATGTCCAGTAATGGCGGACAAATAGCGATAAGGTGTATTGTATAATCACCTAGAAATACTGCGACTCCCTTACAACAAAGTATGATTGAATGGAATAAACCATAATGAAAACAACTAACAATATTTGGTAAAAATGCAGATTATGGCAAAGTAAGTCAACTTCAAACTGTATAAATTATTTGAGACAATTATTATGCTTCTACCATTTGTTTAGAAAGGTAAATTTCCTATTTGTGGATGACCTTGTATTGCTTGAAAATAATTTCTCATTTCATGTCCCTAAAAGTTCATACCCCTCCTTTTTTAATACGTGTATAGAAATGAAAGTTACCCAGTAACATGCTGCTGTTCTCCAGTAAGTAGCTGAGATGTTCAAACATGGCTCTCTGATTCTGCCGACTTGTTCTACAGAAATAACACAAGAATCTGCAGCACATCACTACCATTTCTGCTGCTGCATCCTATAATAAAATTCATTTCTAAATGGTGCATAATATTTCAGTTTTACTTATAATTCACTAAATTTGTAGTCCCCACAGTTTTTCATTCAATTTAAAAAAAAAAAAAAACTGTGAAAATTATTAGAAAAAAATCCTCCTCATTATATAGATTACACATCTTGTGAATTACATCTGAAACATATGAACTGTATTTGTGAATTTCACCTGGAGTTATCTTAATTTTATACATTGTCAACTGAAATATAGGATTTGTATCCAAAATTTAAGAAAGAGATTGCCAATTTATTATCAGATGACCTTGGAAAATTCTGTAGTTTTGACTTTTCAACTGTTATTCAACATGAAAAATATTATATATAAGTAAAAATTCATATCATATCCTTATTCTCTAATACTATTGTGAAATTTAGCGACTATTAAAAATATCCTCTGTTTTAGTTACACGGATCTCAGAAAACTTTATCATCCTGCCAACAAAACAATTGAATACAAATGGATACAAAATTAAAGAGAAAGGTAATCTTTCAAGATTCAAGAGTAAAAGAAATGCATTAAGTATTTCTGGTGAGCTATCTATATATCTAACAAAAACCATAAACATTTTAACCAATCTTAAGTTGTCAAAAGCAGTTTGAAAAATTATAAATTGAAACCAATATGATTCAGTGGAAATAAGCTGTTCCACTGTAGAAGTTAGTTTTTTTTTTTTTAAATACCTTACATTTTTATACAGCCTTTATATAAATCAAATGTAACTGATAAGTTTCAAGCAAATAAGTTTTAAGGTCAATAAACCTGACATGACTGCTGGTATCAAATCCTGTCAGAACAACTTGATTGGTGATCGTCAAATTTATACACAGTTCTTCTTCAGTTTTAATTTTCAACAACAACCATTATTTTTTTAATTGCTTTTACATCAGATTTTAAGTATTGATGTTTGAAACAAAAAATATATTTGGAAGGATGCCAGTCTTACGGATAAGAGTACCATCCATACCCTAATACTCATATTATACAATTAATGACATTCTTTGGAAAAAACTAATTTCAAAACATTGATTTTGTACATGAATTTTTTTTTAACTGGTGAGTCATCACATTAACACTACTAGGGAGAGCTAGTACTAAACATGCTGATAACAAAATTGGAATCAAGTCAGCCATTAACACTTAAAACTGTCTCGTTCAGGACTTTTGAAAAGAACTTTTCTTCTCCAGCCATAGCAGTAATTTTCAAATAAGAAAATAAAATAAAATTTAACGTAATAAAATATAGAACAGATTTTACAGTAAAAACTAAAACTGGGCCACGAAAAAAAAAAGTTAAAACATCAACAGGAATGTGTTTACAAATAACTTTTAAGTAGTAGTCCATATGAGAATCAGGCAGATTAAAAATAGGATTCATTTGGAAAAAGGCTATAGTTTTTTTTTTTTTTTTAACATCAAAATCTTGCAAGCATTTCATTTCAAAATATTGAGTTGTCTCCCTTAGAATGATTTTTTACAGAACATTCTACTTATATCCATGAACACAGCACAAATAAAAAATACTGTACATCTCTTTCTCCTTTATATTCAAAACAAAATACAGATAAAAATATAATTTAAGGTGGTACATAACACTACAGTGAGATAACTCTGTAAAGATAGCTGAACGTTTTAATCACGTTCTATTGTTTAATAAGGAAATATTAGTTTCTCAATGGTCAAAGTTCGTGTTTGCCAAACTGCTATATATCCAATGAAATTTTTCCAATAAATTGTGTGGTTCAAGTTTTTCGAAATTTTTATATTTTTGTCATAGAGTCAAAGTAAATATTTTGTCAAAATCTAATGAAAATTAAACAAGCCAAATTAATTTTAAACAAGGTGTTTGGTACCACCTTAACAGATTTTTAACTATTATTTACCTGTTGTTTTTAAACACCTCCTGCTTGATTCTTAGATGGAAAGGTACTTAAACTTACCCAGGTTTTCTTCAGTTCCTGAATTGTAAGCTTCAGTGCAAAGAAAACAAAAGTAATTTCCTGTGCTTATTTGCTTTAAGCTAAGGCTGGATGTAAAAGCTTGTGTTTACTGATTGTTATTACATGTACTAAGAAAATCTTAAAACATTTGAAATATTCTCTGTAACTGAAGGAGCATTTGTTATTAGAAAATGTTTTATTAGTACTGAATGTATGAAGACTTCAAATTGTTTTATAGCAGTAACGTTGTCGTGGAAAATTAGAGATAAAAACAATGCAACACTTATTTTATCATATTCTTTTCATAACAAATTTCAATTTCACAGTATTTTTATAAAGACTATGTGAACTAACACAAAGGTCTCCCTTTTTATCTATAGAATTAACTCTGGTAACTAGATGTTCAATTATTGCAAACATTGCATGAAACAGAAAGTCAAATTCTAGAATTTGGTGCTAAGAATATTTTCGTTACAATGCACTTGCTATACTCTAACAACCTATTACTAGCAAAAAGATCTTTTACCAGTTGATGAGTTAGAAGAAAAATTCAAACTGCAAATTGCAAATTAATTTTTGGGCCCATTGGTTACAAATGGACAAAGCCTATTGTATAACCGTAGTAATATTCTCAGATTGTAATTGTAAATGATTCAATGAAGTTTGGATGCCACAAAAATTAAATATTCAAACAGTACTGTGGCATATCCTTTTCTAAACCCATCCATAATCATATATAATTACCGTAGTTTCCATTTTAATTTCCTCAAATGTTTTAAGATTTTTGACACTATCACTGCAGAGCTATATATTATATTATCAATGCCTTTTCTAGTTGTGTTAGTGAAGTAATGAAATTTTAATATTGGATAAATGTTTTCATGCATTTGGTGCAGTTTAATAAATTCTGAACTCACTGCATATATGATGCTAGCTTACAGAATTACTCAGCTTTTTCTCATATATATTTCTAAGAAGTGCAGGCATGTAGAAAACTATACAAGTTTCAAGTTGATTGTTTAATGATTCAATTCCGTCTATATTTCAAATTTAAACAGAGAATTCAAGCATTTTAAACAAGTAACAAAACTTTTATTTGTTCTTAATTAGTTTTGATAAAACGATCCATTGTCTTTTTTCAAATAATTTGTGATCATCTGAAATTTTTTTTCAAGAAGAAGTTCTCATATGATTTTTTGTTTGATTTTTAGCAGGGGTTTGTGATTTCAACAAATATTGTTGGAATTTGTCTGAATATATCAAGAGCACATTCTGTAGGATCACTGAAATATAAATTCAAGCTGAAATTGATTTGTTGTATTTGAGTTCAGAAACAGATGGTGTTAAATGAAATCATTGGTTTAATTGTGCTACATATTCTTACTTTTAGAGCTGCATTTATATGAAAATGACATTTCAATATTGTGCTGTTTTGACATTAAAAAATATCACTTATAATTTTTTTTTCAAATTGAGTAGAAAAGGGTCATTTTTTCTGTTGCTTAAATCTGCATTGATAATTCTAGTTTTTGCTAAAATGAGTTAAAAATGTGGTTTATACTTTGGGGTTAAAATGTTGTCTGCCGTATAGAACTATTGAATATACTTAAGGGAATCTGGGATGCACCAATTAAATACCATTAAGAGAGGTGATATCTACTGATTTCTACAAAAAAGCAAAATTAAGGCAAACTACAATCTTAAAAAATATTTGATATGATTTCCATCTTCCTGACAATTTTTTTTGAAATAAACTTCATTAGACACCTGTACTTTGGAGACAAACGTTTGGAAATCCAAAATGTAAAACATTTGTGAGCACAAAAACCAAAAAGACTCAAATAGAACAATAAAAAGGCTTTAAGGTCAACTTTGTCTGATAGTTATAGAATAGCAACTTCAGCTTCTAACTTTATGAAGTGGAAATTTACAATCAAATTGTGACATCTGAATAATGCCAAAATTACAATATTGGATACCGGTTGGTTGGTACCATCAGGAAATAATAATCCATTGGCGGGAATTCCAACTACCACTTTTTTCAAGGATATATCGTCCAAAACAGGTATTGTTGTCAAAAGAACAAAATTAGTATCCTCAATCACAAATGCTTTTCCCTCCTGCCCATTATCCTGTCTGACATTCATCAAACTATATTCAAAATTTGCATTTAATGCAACCTGACAAAATACTAATTTGTAGAAAAAACCCTTAATTTAAGAATTATTCATAAGTACTGCTACACATTTTGATGTTTCTATTTTAACTAGCCACTTGAAAATGGATGAATTTTCTCAGTTACAATGAAGAAACTATGGTAGAAATCATATCAGAACTTTTCCTAAAAGCTTGCTACAAACCTGCTGTGAACTGATGAAGCAAAATATGATTATAATGATGATAGAATGGAACCATACCTTTGTCTGTTCCACTTGTTGGAGCGTAAAGGACGCTCGTCTACCCTGTTGTTGAAAGGATCCCCTCCTAGCAACAGAACTTCTCCTTCCTTGACTAGCCTCTGGCATGCCAGAAGTTGTGGACTGTTGTTGCTGTTGTGCTTTATTTAAAGTGTTCACCATTAATTGCATGACTGTTTCATGAACACACAATGCTCTCATCAAATCTGGATGCTGGAAGAACACTTTATTGTCCATCAACTCTCTGAAATTAGAATTTTCATGTCATATAAAAAATCTTGATGACAATTGGAAGAATTAACCCTAAATGCATTTGAACAAGTTATTTTTTCCACCATTAATCTTTTTGAAAGAATTCTTTGAAAAGGAGGTATAAAAACGAACCTGGTTTCAAGCACTTCTCATCATTGTTAACTTTCAGATCAGAAGAATTGCAAAAATACAAAAGACAAATAGTCCTAAGATATCATCCACTTTAACTTTTGTAATTTTTTCAATAAAATGTGCTCCAGGTTTAAATAATTTCAAGATTTTTTAAATTTCTCCTATATAACTTAAGAATAACTATTTTGGACATTACATGAGAATCCAAATACGATTCCATGGTGCGTACATACTTTAAACTATTTTTCATCAGTTCCTCTTCATCTTTATCAGCCTGCACTAGTAACAGAGATCTAATATTTCCTAAGGCTCTCAGTAATATATTGATGTCATCTTTACTGGCATTACTTATAACATAGGCTTTCTCAAGAGCAGATAGAAGCTGAAAGGTAAAGGGAAATGTTTTAAAGTATTAAAAGCTTCAACAAGAGTTTCAAATGGGGTCTTTGGTCACATAAAAAAGCATTTAAGCATTCAAAACTCAGTCAATTAACAGTATTTCAGGTCTTTAATGCTAAATCTCATTTTAAGACATCTTAAGTCATTTGAGCCATTTCATTATTTGAATATGTAGCTGCTTTTCCTACTTTTAGAGGACAGACCAGCATAACAAGGGTACATCCATTTAATTAAGTAAAGGTTTCATTCAGCAAACTAGCTGTAACTTTCTAGTAGAGTTTGAGAAAGGCTTAAGGGACAGAAAGATCAATGTATTACATCAAAAACTATTTGCTTAGACACCCTGCAGCTCAGGTATCACTAATCGTTATCTCATTTATAAAGAAATAATCTTTTCATGGTTAATGAGTATGCTACTGCCATAGATAAGCTGAGGCACTGTCAGTATCAGAATATGATAATTTCACAATTTGTTAAAAACAGACCTAACTTATCATAATCAATTTCTTCCAACATTCAATACTTTGCAACAAATCTGTTATTTTTTCTATAGTAACTGGCTGCATTCAAAATATCAATAAACATGGTGAGTGCAAAAACCTACCTCACCAATACCATTATACTGCCTGTACAATAAGCTGAACATTTCTCTGACTAGGTCCTGGTTCACAATAAAGTCCTCTTGGGCCCAGGTAATCATAGTTTTCTGTATCAGTTTTTGTATGTTGTCTATTCAAATATAAAAACGAATATGCATCATTTGATTGGTACCTTACTTTTATACTGTTTACTATTTTTTGTCCCATACCACAATACTCAATTTTAAAATAGAAATGCAAGTTTGTTTTCGCTTTTTTTTTCGTTCGAACTGTGTACTTCTGTTGACCATTCTTTTAGTCCTTGTTTTTGAAGTGACTTTTCTATGTTCTTTATTGGGCATCACTGTTTTTGTCTTAGTAAACTTTTTTGCCTTTAATATTTGGTTTTTAATTATATTGATGTTTACTTAAAACTTCAAAGAACTTACATAACTTTTCATGTGATTCTATGCATTACATCTTTTGGTTTATATAGTTGGTAATATTTGAAGGCTAGAGGAGAGACAACACTAAGATTCTTTATTTTAAAAATGAATGTTTCTTTTTGTAATTTTATTGGGGTGTAAAAGTGTTGACCGAAGCACATTTTGTATGAAGCGTGGAAGCGCTTCATTCTAAATATGTATGCATGATCAACACTTTTACACCCCAATAAAATTACTAAAAGAAGCATTCATTTCTTATAATTACATTTTTATGCTAATAAGACCATGAAAAAAAATTTTATCAGGTTTTTCTTTTATCTACTTGTGCACTTTTTAGTGGAAGCACGTGTCATCACGAATGTAACATTCATTTTGATATGAAGGTTAATTTTTGGATGACACACGATTGTTGTTAGCCAATCAAACTAACGGATTCTCGTGAAACATATATGTAATGTAATTATTACTGAATATGCCTATCAATCACTCAAGCTTTGTTTTTTCCATTGTTTATTTATTTGCATTGTCTGTCTTTCATTGCTTTATTCAAATAACTGTCTGTCTTTCCTTGCTTTATTCAAATAACTGTCTGTCTTTCCTTGCTTTATTCAAATAACAACAAATTTCCTATAGTGTGGTCGACATATAAATTTGTCCATAAGCACAACCCTTACCTATTTTGTTCTCCTCTGGCTCTTTAGAGTTGGAAGTTTCCTCTTCCTTTTTCTTTAACACTAACTGCAGAAGTTTCTCACCAACTGTTGGAGCGGTGACTGGTTCCTCTTTGGCTTCAGTCTCTACTGGTTTGTCCTCTTGTTCTGGTTGTGTTGGCATGGAACAATGTGTCAGCAACTGACTATGGAAATTCCAAAGCATGTCTCTGATGGCCGTCCCACATGGACATGGCAGACCATTCTCATCTTCTTCTGCAGATTTGAAGATAAGAAGATTTCTCATCTGCAGCAGAAAATAAAATGAAACTTTATGGATTTTTTTGTACAATACTTAAATAAAAAGGCAAAAAACTTCTGTTTTGTGCTCTAATAGTGCAATTACGCTAATTTCATAAAGTTTGGTCAACTGAATTAAAATACATTGCAAAATAGTGTCTACAGAGGGATAAAGATAACAACTTTTGCTTTTATGTGACAATTTATTTTTTCAGGAATAGAAAATGCTTCTTGCAATATCTAAACTAATTTTAAGGTATTATATTATGTGCCACAAAATGTGACAGATTATTTTAGATTAACATCAATCATTTGTGGCTGTATACATGTATATCATTAAAACAATTTATTGTCATATCTACACAGGGGAGAATGAGTACCAAGTGTGTGATGATATAAATTAGTAAGCTCATAGTTTTTCTATCTTATATAACAGACCTGTTCATGTGGAGGACATCTGAATTCTCTCGTCATTCTAGCCGTTACAGATGATGGAAGGTCTGCTTGTTTGATATCGTTGTATCTTTTCTTTTGGTCCTGAAAAAGAAACCATGGCATAGCTCGAACTTCAAATATTGTTCTTTGCTTTTGAACTTAACAAAATTAATAGAAGACAAAAATAACTAACTCCTTTTTTAGCATATCTCAAGAAATTTTTCTGTTTTGCTTTTTACGTATATTAAAACTTAGAATCAGAGACATTTTGGAATGTTCTATGTCATAGCTGAAAAAAGACAAAATACATACATGTTGTATGACTGCCAATGAGACTACAATCCACCAGAGACCAAATGATGTAGCTGTATGCAACTAAAGGTTACCATAAGGTCTTCAACAATGAGCAAACCCTATTCTCTATAGAAAGCTATACTTACATGTTGACAAGAATAAACAAATTTGTCAGAGAAGGCAGTAATGGACTCCACTCTATGTCTCAGCTGTATATCACATAGATGCTGGAGGATGTGACAAACCTTTAATAAATTCAATGCAAAATTTATGATTAAATATAATTATTACATCAGTTGCATTGCAACATCATGATTTCCCAGTCAAATTAAAACCAATATTTCATAAATCACATGTGAAATAAATCCTAAATCACCCCTCTGAAGTCATACAACAAACAATATGTTGTAAAATCTTGTGTCAAAATGAAAAGAAAATGTACAGAGAAAGATATAGTCAATGTAATAAAAAAAATACCTATAACCCAAGAATTTAAAAATTAAAAAAAATGTTCAACTCATGACCAAACAATAATGTATCCATAGTACACGGATGCCCCACCCGCACTATCATTTTCTATGTTCAGTGGACCGTGAAATCGGGGTCAAAACTCTAGTTTGGCATTAAAATTAGAAAGATCATATTGTAGGGAACATGTGTACTAAGTTTAAAGTTGATTGGACTTCAACTTCACCAAAAACTACCTTGACCAAAAACTTTAATCTGAAGTGGGACAGACAGACGAACGGACCGAAAAACATAATGCCCCTAGGTGGGGCAAAAAAACATCGGCTTACCTGTACACTTCATGGAAACTTTTGCAATGGTTTTATCATTGCACAAATTGATAGTGAATAAGCATCTCAAAAAATAAAATTTCTGAAATCGCAATAATTTATCTTACATTTTTGTACTTTGTTCAACAATGACAATAGTAAATGCACACAACAATCAATTCTGAACTTACAGTGTTGATTTTTTTTGCTTTAATATATGCAGATCATTAATATAATATGAGTTAAGGTAACAAATTTTTCAACTGAGAAATATCATCTAACTTAAAATGATGTAAAGATATGCTACAAATAGTTAGCATTTTAAAAATTGATACAAAACTATTTAAACCTAATTACCTCTAGTTTAACTGCATCTTCAAGTTTCATATGCAAAAGTCCTACTCTGGAACCTGTGAAATACAAAAAATTCAATTTATAAATACATTCAGCTATCAATCATGTAAAATTTTCAATTACTTAACTTATAACTTTTATCTAATTTTATAAGCAGACACATGTTCAATGTTTATCTTTTTAATTTAAAAAAAACTCTTCTTGAGGTTATTGTGTAACACAGTAGATGAATAAAATCATAAAACATTAATTTTTAAATAAAACATCAGTGAATCCTAGATTTCTATATTCAAATATTTTTCTTTATTTAGATATTGTAATTACTGACCTGACTCTTTATTATCATCAAACACCTGTGGATTGATAAGAATCAGTAACTTCAGTAAATCACCATCGCTGAATCTTCCCATCACCAAAAGCTTGTCACATACCTTTAGCAGAGGTCTAAAATATAAATTAAAGTTAATCAGTTATTATTATTTTGGTTAACCCTGTTGCAATAAATTTCTTCTATGTTTGAAAATTTTTGGGGATAAAAAATATACATACAGGTTATGTCTTAACAAATAAGACCTCAGTTTAATTAAAATGTTAAATAGGATATTCTTGCTACTTTCAATAGTTCTTTGACTGCATTGCAATCTATTTCATTTTTTTGTATGCAAAATTTATAAACATCAAATCATGTGATTCAGACTGTAACTTGACTGCCAGGGTAGAAAAAGAGAATAAAAATGATGGAACAATAATATAAGGAATATGACATAATTGAAAATAGTCTTAGTACTGGAAAGTTAACCATTCCCCACCCCAAATAAGGACAGTGTACATACATGAATATATCATTTTTTAGGTTTAGTTTGATAATAAAATGCTCCGCTGGGGCGCAGCTTGATACGACTGCAGAGGTCGAACCCTGAACAGTTGGGGCAAGTATGGACACAACATTCAAGCTTGATACAGCACTGAATTTGGATTGTAATTAAATATTTGACACAGCATAGGTTTCTGACACAGAATGAATGTGGTCTAAGAACTTAAAAATTTTTAATTTACCTATTCAAACCATATCATTATTATTTGCTTTTATATATAAATCAGAAATAACCAATTTAAAATGGAAAATTTTAAAGAAAAAAAGGGAAAAAAAATTCCCCACGCAAATTTTTTGAACCCCTTATGATTCATCATCCCAAAACTCAATCCCAGCCTTCCATTTGTGGTATGGTACCTTGCAGTACAATTTCAGAGAAATCCATACACTTGAACACAAGTTATTGTCTGGAAACTAGAAAAATGCTTGTTTTTTTGGCCCCTTTTTGGCCCCAAATTCCTAAACGTTTAGGGCAATTACCCCCAAACTCAAACCCAGCTTTCCCTTTGTGATATGGAACCTTGTAGTACAATTTCATAAAGATCCATACACTTACACACAAGTTATTGTCCTGAAACTAGAAAAATGCTTGTTTTTTTGCCCCTTTATGGCCCCTAATTCCTAAAATTTTGAGGCAATTACCCCCAAAATCAACCCCAGCCTTCCCTTTGTGGTATAGTACCTTGCAGTACACTTTCAGAGAGATCCATACACTTGAACACATGTTATTGTCTGGAAACTAGAAAAATGCTTATTTTTGGCCCCTTTTTGGCCCCTTATTCCTAAACATTTTGGACAATTACCCCTAAACTCAATTCCAATTTTCCCTTTGTGATAAGGAACCTTTTAGTACAATTTCAAAAAGATCCATACACTTTCACACAAGTTATTGTCATGAAACTAGAAAACTGCTTGTTTTTTGCCCCTTTTTGCCCCCTAATTCCTTAAATTTGGAGGCAATTACCCCCAAAATCAATCCCAGCATTCCCTTTGTGATATGGAACCTTGTGGTACAATGTCAGAGAGATCAATACACTTACACACAAGTTATTGTCATGAAACTAGAAAAATGCTTGTTTTTTGCCCCTTTTTGGCCCCTAATTCCTAAAATTTGGAGGCAATTACCCCCAAAATCAATCCCAGCATTCCCTTTGTGATATGGAACCTTGTAGTACAATTTCAAAAAAAACATACACTTACACACAAGTAATTGTCATGAAACTAGAAAACTGCTTGTTTTTTGCCCCTTTTTGGCCCCTAATTCCTAAAATTTGGAGGCAATTACCTCCCAAAATCAATCCCAGAATTCCCTTTGAGATATGGAACCTTGTGGTACAATGTCAGAGAGATCCATACACTTACACACAAGCTATTGTCATGAAACTAGAAAAATGCTTGTTTTTTGCCCCTTTTTGGCCTCTAATTCCTAAAATTTGGAGGCAATTACCCCCAAAATCAATCCCAGCATTCCCTTTGTGATATGGAACCTTGTGGTACAATGCCAGAGAGATCCATACACTAACACACAAGTTATGTCTGGAAGTTACAAAAATGCTTATTTTTGGCCCCTTTTTGGCCCCTAATTCCTTAACTGTTGGTACCATAACCCCCAAAATCAATCCCCACCTTCCTTTTGTGGTATTGAACCTTATGGTAAAATTTCATAAAGATCCATTCATTTAAACTAAAGTTAGAGTGCGAAAACCAATGTGTCTTCGGACGACGACGCCAACGTCATACCAATATACGACTGCAAAATTTTTTGGCGGTCATATAAAAATGTGGAATGATTCCTAAACGACATAAGACAAAGTAAACATCCATGTTTTGACATTTTTGTTGTATCAAATAACTTACACAAAAAGATTAGCATTGCTGCCTCCTATTGGGTCTCTGATGTGGGCGGCTCCCTTGATCACAGCTTCTCTCAAATTTTGCATTACATAAGTCTTCAGTGTTTCCACAGGGAAAAATGGAGCTGTTGAATCTTTCCCAGCAGTTTTAACCCTAAAAAGTAACATATATATAAAAATAAGATGATGTGGTATGATTGCCCATGACACAACTCTTCACCAGAGACCAAATGACGTAGAAGTTTTAGCAATAGGTCACTGTATGGCCTTCAACAATGAGGACATGTAGTTCATTTTTCAAACTATTCAAAAATCATTTTGTTTATAGATATAAGAAGATGTGGTATGAGTGCCAATGAGACAACTCTCCATCCAAGTCAAAATTTATAAAAGTAAACCAATATAGGTTAAAGTAGGGTCTTCAACACGGAGCCTCAACTTTTTGTTTTCTGGTTTCATATTCCTCACAATACAGATGACATTTTACCAGATGTTATTATTTAAAGATATAAACTAAGACTATGTTAGTCCTACTCATATAAGCAATTGATTTCTTTGGTACTCTATAAAGCCAATGTTATCACTGAAAGCATCTATAACATTTAAAGATTTGTTTTCATCATGAAAAATCTCAAATAAATAGTATTGGCCTTTCATCATTTTTCCATCATATAAATATAATAAAATATCAGGTGCTCCATGCAATATAAACCTTTTGAGTTCAATCAATGGGACAAGTGGCCAAAAAGCATCATTTTAAGAATTCCTACATAAAGTGTTTAGAGAGCTTAATTATTTATAAATACCTGGTGTCAATTTCCTTTTCCGAGATAGCTAGTTGAGGTCTGATAGATACACTGTCATCCATGTTGGGAATGGTATCTTTGATTTTAGTTTCATGTCCAATACTTGTTTTACGATACAATCTCAGATCCTTAGTTGTGTTCGTTAATGGTACAATAAACTCATTTTGTGTCAAAAGTCTGTAACAAAATTCAAATAATTTAGAAAACATCTAATTTTTCACATTTATTTTCAAAAGCATTATTGTTTTAACTGTATTTCAATTTAATGCAATATTAATACATTGCTTAAAATTTTGTCTTCTTGTACTGATGGAAAATGATCAAAACAAAAAAAAAAGAATGTGTCCATCATACATGGATGCAAAATCTTGTGTCAAAATGAAAAGAAAATGTACAGAGAAAGATATAGTCAATGTAATAAAAAAAATACCTATAACCCAAGAATTTAAAAATTAAAAAAAATGTTCAACTCATGACCAAACAATAATGTATCCATAGTACACGGATGCCCCACCCGCACTATCATTTTCTATGTTCAGTGGACCGTGAAATTGGGGTCAAAACCCTAATTTGGCATTTAAATTAGAAAGATCATTTCATAGGGAACATGTGTACTAAGTTTCATGTTGATTGGACTTCAACTTCATCAAAAACCACCTTGACCAAAAACTTTAACCTGAAGAGGGACAGACAGACGGTCGAACGGACAGACGAACGAACGGACGCACAGACCAGAAAGCATAATGCCCCTCCTACTATCGTAGATGGGGCATAAAAACAATCTAAAGTGCTATAAATTGGCTAATTATATATTGGCTCTGGTATGGATTTGAGGTAAGCTGAATTGGACCAAGCCCCTGAAGGATCGCAATCCAATGCAGCCGATATTGAATCTATACCTGGGTCAATACAGAAACAGCCAGTTCATAACACCTTTATTACATGATTCTAAGTCTTCAAGTAGAATGTAATGCAGGTTCAAGAAATCATACTTGAACTTATCAAGTTCTTAATATATCCTAACCCTATTCATTACATCTACCAACTGTAAAGTATCTACGAAAAATATATCAGGTATTTAACCTTTCTTATTCTTAACATTTTTAATATCTAGCAGTTTTTGATAGGCAGAAATGGAAATGAAACAGAGATGTTTATTGAAAATGTCAAATGAAAAGACTGTGGAATGTTCCTGTTTCAAATCGTAGCAAACCACGGAACATATTTAAACTTTTTCATGTCATTTTAATCATATATGATATGCATCAAAACTCGTCCAAATTTTGATTAAGCGTAAAACATTTTCAACTGAAAAGGAAGTATCCTGTGCTATGCCAAAAAGCTATAATAAAATCAGCAGTGCAACATCATCAGTATTGCACATGCCGATTTAACTTAATATTAGAAAGAATATCATTTCATTATGAAACTAACATACCTTGCTCTAGCATGTGATTCTAAATGCATAGTAATTAGTAAATTATGGTAACCAGTTCTGATAGGTCCTGACATATCTGCAAAGAATATATCAAATATTTCATTTTTATGTATAAATTGTTCCTTTACAGGTCTGACTTGTATCATAAATTTATATATCACATCTTCTTGTATTCATAGATAAGCTGATCATGTCTTATTAAATAAATGAATTAATAATTTTCATACAAAAATGTTCTACTGGTACAAAAATGGTAATAATTAAATTATGGTTTTGAGACTCATTGCTTGTTAAAAATACACTTTTTTGTAAAATTGTAAATTATGAAATTGGCTTGCAGTTTCTATGATCAAATTTTCATTTGAAAAAGACGAGCTCATGAGATCATCCAATACTTTCATTACAAACAATATTTTGCTTTAAAGGGAGACTGAGACTTACTTTCACTTAGCACACAATACATGAGTAATCTCTCGTCCACATGATGTGTAAGGGCATTGGCCACCCTGTGGTTTCCATGGGAACATACAGCTTGATACAATTCAAGTGTCTTGGCGTGGAACCTGAAAAAAATATGGTGTAAAATAATTTTTCCAATCACTAAGCTATATTCGAGGAATGTCACCTGGTAATTACTGCTTCTGTTATTTAAACAACCAGTACCCAAAGACAATCAACAGCAAGATCAGAATTGTTTTTTACCAACTCTGGCTAATAGTTATATAACTAGAGCTTATACATTGAGTTGGTTTCAATTCTTGTATTTTCAAGTGTAATTTTTTCCTTACAGTTTAAAATCAAATAAAAATGGACAATGACAAAGTTTACTGAAAATAGTTCAAGATGTAAACAATTCTGATATCTAATCAATTTCATGTTATCCAAACTTTTGCAGCCACAGATAATCATGGTTCTTTAATTCTAATATGTTAATGTACTCACTCTAAGAGATCTTTTTGTTCTATCAATTCCAAGATATCCATGCTCCTGTCCTCCTCTGGTATATAAACAGCCATCATATTTACTGTAAAAAAATCAGACGTTATCAATATTTATGCTGTCAAAAAGAAATCTTTTCACTGCATTACTACATATTAATTATATATAAGTCTTACCTATCAAAGTTCAGGTCATGTTATGATATAAAATAATTCACTGCCATCTAGATCAGGGCTTCCAAAATTATTTTTAGCCAGGCGGACATTTTATATATTATCCTGATTTTAATCCCTTAAGACTAAATAAACAAAAGGCAATTATGGTAATCAGTTGCCGAGTTGGCCATCCCAATGATTGGCATAAAAAAACGATATTAAACTTTCTTTGATTCAAATTCGAAGTTCTGACATAAACTGTTAAATTGGCAGTGCATCATTCGAAGTGTGCAACAATAAATTACATCAGCGTACTTATATTTGCCTTAGACTCTTTATTTGTGCAAAATAACGTTGTCAAAAACTTTACTTTCGTTTTAAAAAAATCTTATACCGGAAGTTATCTTGACAATGGTAAAACATGGACCAGAGACGGATACGTAAATTCCGTGTACGTTTGCAAAGCATGAATGAGTGGAAGTAGCTCCTTCTACGTTATTTCTTCAAGAAAATAATTGAAATAAACGTGAGATAAAGGTATCAATGACAATTTAAGCATTTTTTGAAGAATTAGGATGCATAATTAAATTTCACACCTGCGCACATGCGCACACGTGTACTAGTTCAAACAGAGACATGTCTCTAGTACAACATGTTTATGACGATGTTTCATTTTCACCTTTTTAATTTTTTCATCAAATCATATTTGTAAACGTGTTTCTGATAATTTAAATCTTTTTGACTAAATTAATTAGATGCAAACCGCTGAAATGTAAGAAAATAACTTTGAATAGAACGATCAATGTCTGGTTCAAAAGAGTTTGCCTGTCACCTGAACAGGTAAATTTCAGCTGTTCGACAACTAATTAGCCTTGATTAAAATGAGAAGGTATTAAAGTAGGGGTTGTTTTGATAGTACTTAATGATCATGTCACTTTTATGACCGGAAATGTGTGGCTGTTAAAGGCAAAACGTTCGGTCAAAAAGATCGCGAATTATGTTAAAATGACCGTCTCTTAAAGCATTGAAAACTAAAAAGTAGATGACCGTTTCATGCTTTGCCCAGCCGGACTTTTACCGGACATTATACCAATGTCCGGCATATATGGCCGTTTTGGAAGCCTTGATCTAGATAACATTTGTTGATATTTGAAATCTCCATCCATTGGACAACATAAAAAAATTATGACATTGCTATAACTTGCACATAGACATGGAGCTTAGCCTTTGTTAAAAAATTGTCTGTTTTTGAACAAGAATAACTTAGATCATTTGGGAAAAGCACATTATCAATATCTATATATATTTCTGCATTTTTTTAGAGGGTTTTGGGGGAAAAATATTGGTACATCTTATTACTTTTATCAACACTTACTAATTTTATCAACATTTATCACAGTCCAAAATTTTAAGGGATTTAAAAAAAAAATCTTTAAACAAAACTATGTTGACATATTTTTAGATTTTCTATATCTGATTTGATTCATCAAAATGAAAAAAAAAACCTACCTGGATGGTCACAAAGCATGCTCCAGCCTCGTATACCAGACAGTTTAAGTGAATGTATGCTTAACATCTGTTCTGGGACTCTGGACCAACAGCCATCAGTCAGGGTCTGAACATCAAGTCTTGGTGGACATGATGGTACTGCCTGTTTTGGTCCTCTAAATACTGCAGCTGACAATGGCAGTGCAAACTGAAAGTAGATTCAATATATAATACTTTCATTTAAAAAACAATCTTATAAAAAAGTGTACTACATTTTCCTGTAGGAACTATTTCAACAATACAGTAAAACCTGTAAAGGAGAAGGCAAAAGCGATCTCCTAACACAGGTGGTTTTGAATACAGGTTTACACATTTGAATAGACCAAAACCATTCAAGTGCATAGTTTTTGCATGAGTACTATGTAAGGGAATTATATTCTGATTGTCTCATTTGCATCTCCACTATTTTATGTTATATGAATGAATAAAATAGCACTATGTCAGAAAATATTTTTTTCTTGGATGTTTTTAAATTTTTTTTAGCTTTTATAGTGACAAAATTTCAAATTTATTCATATTTTATTGATTCATGTTGAACATGTTGAAGTAAAATAAATGTATTAATATGTCTTTCATGTAGAAACATACTTGTATTAAAACACATTTTATTGATGCCAATGTACACTTTCCTGTTTTGTTTTTTATTTTACAGTCAATATTTTAACCTTGCTTCAAAAGATGAAAATTTATTCCAAACATTTTTTTTTTATTGTATCCGAGACTGTATCTCACATCACAGGAAAAGTTTCTCGTTATAAAAAGTCTCTTTTTGACCATTTAAAAATATCACAAAGTGCATTATACTTGATTTCAGGGTTTTATCAAATTCTGCAAAGAACACCATAGGAAATTTGTATTTTTTGAATACTAATATTTGTGGTGAACTTATTTCCACAAAATCCTTGAATATTAATCAATCCACAGTAACTAAGTTTAACGTGGTGAATGAAGTCAACAGTTTAAGGATTGTCAGATTTGCTCCTACTTACCCTTGTAAATCCCAGTTCAAACTGGAGCATTTCTTTTATTGTAGGTTCACATATCACAGCAGGGAACAACTTTGAATTAGGTTCTACAGCAAATTTGTTGGCAACTTCCTTGCCATTGACGCTGAAGCTCAGCATGCCAGTAGAAATATCTATACAGCAGCCAATCATGATACCAGGTGTAGCTCTCTTTGATGTCACTTCCTGTAAAGAGCTGCCATACCTCTGAAGCAGGTCACCTGCAGACACCATGTAACAGTTCTTTCTACTTAAGCTAAAATAGCATAGAGAAATTTTACTATCCATCAGTTTTGATGTGAAATTACATTCAAATTTCGTTTTTAAGTTATTGATGCTTTCATAATTAGTAAAAGATATAGGCTTGATATGTGGTATGGGTTTTGCTCATTGTTGAAGGCCCTATGGTGACCAATAGTTGCTAAGGTTAACTTTTACAACATTTAGTCTCTCAGGTGTAAAGTTGTCTCATTGGCAATCATACCACATCTTTTATCTTTATATATCTATGAATCATAAGAAATGTAGAATATACTTCAATGAGACAACCACAGAATGACACAAATAACCATAAGATATCTAGAGGGCAACATTCAGTCTTCAACAATAGACAAGTGTCTTAAGACTATACTGTAAACCAACTTATTTTCGTGAGCAATTTATTTTCGTGACTTTCACGAGTAGAAAAATAACGCGAATATAAATCGTCGTGAATATGTAAAACTTGGATCTTTCCTTATTTAACTACATAAGTAAATTTGAAAATTGCGAAATTAAATCACCACGAAGTGGGCAAGAAAGGGTAAAACGTGAAATAAAGTATTCGCGAAAATAAGTTGGTTCACAGTATTTCTCTCAGATGAATAGCACATGTACACAGCTTCATGGTAAACTACCTAAAACCAAAATTTTAACCAGATACAGGATCGACATATGGAAAACATAATGCATCCTTACTATTGCATGTGGGGCATAAAAAATTGCTCTACAAACATAAATTATTTATGTAAAGATGATCTTCGGACAACAATTAAGAATAATTTAGAGATTTAAGAAAAGACAATATACAAATATTATAACATGAGAGTTCTTATAAATACAACACTTACCCTATGGCAATATTTGCAAAATTAATGAATTTTTAGTTTAAAGCAATAAAATATGACATTCAGTCATCCGTAATGTCACAGTGTTTCCATATATTTTTTTCTATAAAATATTTTTTCGTAAACTATGGTAATTATTTCTTAAAATCATTTTAATAATCTTAATTCAACCAAAACCTCATTAAAACAACAGTCATACAAACCTCTGTTTTAAATTGTAGTCATCATCAAGAACTGACACAACAACATGTCTAATCTTCTTTGTTTCAAATGTTTTCTCATTAAAATGGAATCCAGGTGTTACCCATCCTACATACACCTGTGTTGGATCCTGACCTGGGAATATCCTAATGGAGTATTGGTACTCGTCAATCATGTCAGCCATTGCGGAAAGTTCAGCAAAATCACTGTCAGAGTGTTCTGATCCTTCACTTCCCCCAAAGTCCCTATTTAAGTTTTGTCTTCTACCCATGGCATCCTGAAACTCATAGGGAATCATTCCTCGTGGAGCTTCAATGTTTATTACAGGTCCTTGTGATGGCTGTTCATTATCACTTTCCACTGAATCCATGGTTTGTGATGTGGGTAACGTGTGGACTTTAGTATTATGGTCATGATATTCACGGTGTTTATTCCGACTTCGTCTAAAAGAAGAGGCTTGCTTCCGATCAAGACTGCCATATTCTACACTTCTTGTTCTTTTAGACTCTGCAGGGGACAGATCCCTACCCTTTTTCTTGAAGATGTTCGTAAATGTATTTTTGCTCTTCTTATTTCCTTTCTCGCCAATGGCCTTAGCAGTGTCAATTAACTTGTCTCCTAGTAAAGACAAGCGTGATGTTTGTCTATCCGAAGGGGAAGATAACTGGGATTCACTTGCAGCAGACTTCATTCGGCCAACAGATTTGTCATCCTGGGAACTATCATCAAGAGAGTGACCCTGACCTTGTGGACGGAGAAACTTTTTACGCCTGTCGTCAGCAGTTATCGATTCCTCTGGGTATCCTCTTTCCATAGCTATAAGAAGATAACCCATATTCTTTAACTTTGTATAAAATAACTCCCTTGATAAAATGAAAGAATTTCTATTAACCTTTTACAGCAGAGCCCATTCATTTATAATTAAAGGTCTGGGGTCAAGTGTTCTTATAACTGTAAATTCAGAATTTTTTGCCATGTTATGTTATTGCAAAAATTGTGACAGGATAGTTTTTGCCAAAAGTAAAATCTTCCATTTTAAATTTTGATAGCATCATTTGTATGGAACTATTTTTGAAATAACAATTATTGATCTCACATTTGTATACATTGTTCAAAAATCGCAATATTTAGTGCATAGAAAAAATTTTATGAATTTACAGTACTAGTAGCATATCTACAGTGATCACTAGCTTGTCAACACTGTGGTTGTAAGTTTCAAACCTTGCTTCCAGCAAGGTGATTTCGACCCAGATCTTAATTGACTATGACCACCAACTTTCATGTCCAAGGTTGGTGGTTCTCTCCAGGTTCCTACACCAGTTAAGACTGGCCACCATTATATAGCCAAGAGTACAGAAAACAGCATTAAACACGAACAATTAATCATGTAGTGACTTATTTTCTTACATCTGGTCAGGTCAATTAAAATTCTATCAAATTTTAAGAAATTAATACTCCTAAACTGAAATAGCTTGCCACAGGCAACTATACAATGGATTTACCAGTTTTCACTTGAGCAATTTTGGTTGCTACACCTGAAATAATTTAAAATGGGTCTTGATAAAACACAATTGACCTCTTTCTAGAAAATTTATTTAAGTTGCTTCTGGTGTAACTGTAAATGCTCTTTTGTTCCGACGTTGGAAGGTTCTGGGCGGAAAGAACTAACTAGCCGAAAAGTTCCGGAGTAACTTATTAACTAGTTACTTTGTTCTTCCTCTGGTTTAAAAGTTCCACCGGAACAAAGTGACTAGTTGAAAAGTTCCACTGGAACATATCAACTAGTTACAAAGTTCCTTTTTGCCAAATTAGTCAAAACCGGAACTAACAAACTAGCCCAAAAGTTCAAACGGAACTTATCAACCAGGCAGAAAGTTCCATTTGGAGAATTGATGCAAAGTAAAAGCGCAACATATTATATTTGAACCTTTCAAAGGGAAACCAAGATACTGATTACAAAAGTCATAAGGAACTTATCAATTAGCCACAAAGTTCTTCTTTGGCAAATAAGTCAAAACCGAAACTAACAAACTAGCCCAAAAGTTCCAACAGAACTTATCAACCAGTCACAAAGTTCCATTTGGAGAATTGATGCAAAGAACCACATGAGGAGGGGGTATTCTTCCCTCTCTTGAGGGTACTTTGAATACTAAATTTGCATGATAATGCAACTTATTCCGTTTTATGTGAGCTATGAAATACAACTTAAATTTTGCATATTTGTCCCCAAAGAAACCCCTTTCAGTGCGTTGGGTATTCTTGTCAATTAATGATTTGCTCTTATATATACTGATACTCATTCTTCCCTCTCTTTCTACAAAAAGGACGAAATATGGTATATTCGTAACGATGTAACTAGCTGTTCTGTTCCGCCAGAACTATTCAACTAGCTACATTGTTACGGGACTTTTCAACTAGCTACTTTTTTCCGGAACTTTTCGACTGCACTCGGAATAAAACAACTAGTTGGAAAGTTCCATCGGAAAGAAATAACTAGTTGAAAAGTTCCGCTGGAACAAAGTAACTGGCGGAACATAGTGGCTGTTACATAACAACATTAATTGCATAACACCTCAAAATGAAGAATATCACAACATTTTTCTAATAAAACCAAATAAACAATTTTGAAATATGTAAAAATTAAATATGTTACTCACATTTCTCTTGGCCACCATTCATCATACTATCTCGGCTGTAACTATCATCTTCATCATCATCTGTTAAAAAATCATTTATATACACAATATTTTAACTATTTTGTCATTTTGAGCATTACACAAATATTTGAAAACATTACCTCTTTTAACAATTTTAGTTCTATTAAATACCAATACTGATTTAAGGCTATATCTAAAAATTTGAACAGGGAATTTTTACACTTACTGAGTACGATAACTTAGTTTACTCTCAAATTTTCTTGAAAATATTAACAGCCAAAACTTTATTTCTCAATGTTCTAGCTTATCAGAAAAATTTCATAGTTCCTTAATCTTCTATTTTTAGCTCTTTGAAATTCCATTTATCTAAGACATTCAGGACTGATCTACATTTTATTTCATATACTGTCAATTCATAAATTTATAAGATATTTCTATTTACAGCTCTTTTCATAATGCTAGCAAGATTTGTTTGTTTGACTTGCTTGCTTTGTTTGTATAAATGTTTGCTCAAGTATTGTAATTAAGATTGGCGTCTGCAAACAACATAAGTAGGCGGAGTTAAACCTGTGTATAGGTAAATTTGATTATTTGATAATGTCTAATAAAATTCAAATATAATGTATACAAGTTTAAATCCGCCTTTTTATGTTGATTTCAGATGTCAATCTTAATTACAATGCTTGAGCAAACATTGATACAAACAAAGCAAGCAAGCCAAACAAACCTTTGTCTTTCTAGCATTATGAAAAGAGCTGTAAGTGAAAGAATGCAGTCTTTTATAAACTTACAGTAAATAAAAGTAGGAATGGTTTGCCATAAATGAATAGAAGAACTTTCTCAACTTAAATTTGGTATAAATACTTTTTAATCAGGCATGTTTGTCGACACTTTTTTTTGGGGGAGGGGGTTCTCACTGAAAACAATATGCACACACAGAATTAAAAATGCATGGCATTTAATGAAAGTATCGCACCAACCTATATTTATACAGTGTACTACTCATATAAAATTCTACACACAAAAGAGAACTTATTTTGTAAAATTATATAGATATTGATTCAATATTTTACTTTTGAAAGTTTTGTCATTTCTAATTCTCTATCATTAATATATATTGCTGTAAAAATGGCAAAAGACATTCAACAAATATTACCAAACGTCATTTTCAGCATTTTTTTTACATTCTTTATACAACAATTTGTGATAAAACAATATTTGTTTTAGTACCTTACACATGACGATCATGAAACAGATAAGGCCACACCAATTTTATATGAAGATTTCCATTATGTTTCTAAGATTAAAAGGAAAGGGGGAAGCCATTTCTTTCGGATTTTTCTTTTCCATCCATCCACCTTTTATGGGATAGGTGCAAAGAAAAAGCTGTTAAAATCATTTTGCATTATAAGGTTTGCTTTATTTTTGTCATCAGGTCAAAATATGTTATAGGTATTTCGGTATGTTAAATCAGCATATATACAGTATAACACCATTTTCTGCAAAAGACTGTTGTTGAAGAATCAAATAGGTAAATAAAATTGGTGTGGCCTTCTAAAGTGTAGCATCTATTACAATTGTTAATACAGATAAGTAAAGAGCTTAACAATTATGCTGCTAAAGCTAAAGATTGTGTGTAAAGGTATAATCATTAGTTAATTATATTGTCATAAACATATGTAAATAACCCTGATCTTCACATAAAAACATGAACAAATAAAAAAAAATTAGAATGATTTTCAAAATTTTGATTACTGAAGTCACATAAAATAAAAACTGAATTTCTTTTCTTTCAATTCCTATTATTACTGCAAATCTCCATTCTGCCCTTTAATGTGAATAAATATTGTCATAAAAAATTTGGTAACCAACTTTGATACTCAATACTAAAAATCAGGGGATTTATTTGTCCTTTTTTCATATTAAAAACTTGTTTTATGTGAAACAAACAGCATGATCTCCAAGTACTATTATCAATATAATTAACCAATGTAACTTAGCTAACAGACACAAATTTCACCAAACACAATCAATGTTAGCTCTAAAACAATTTGTTAATCAGTTAGTATTAAGGTAAACTGTTAGGAAAAAGACTTCATAAGATAACTCAATTCAATTTCAATTCTGGACATGGGTTTTTTAAGTAAAATAAAAACTGGAGAAAAGGACTTGGATAAGCCACATCTTTTGACAAAAATTAAGTCAAAATTTAACGGGATATTTCTTCATTGTGTTGAGGATTAACTTACGACTAGTGGTTGGTGATTGTAAGTCACCATTTGGTTGTCTACTTGGTGTATCAGTTTGACTAGATGTCTTTCTTGCGTCCCCACCACTGCTTGTTGGACTGCTACTCTCTGTCATTTTCCTTACAGATTCTGTTTTATAGAAACACATGCTAATCACATGCTTTAAAATAAGTCTTCAAAATGGAACTTTCATCTTACTGATAATTATTATAACAAACAGACTCAAATTTTAAGCTTTTCAAAAAACTTGAAGTCATATATTCTTTTATAGAGAATCTTTTAAGTTATTATTTCTGGAGGCAAATTTTGTGACACAAGTATAACTAAAAACTTAAAGGTAAAATAAGAATGAGATGTGAATCTTCCCCATGAAGGATGCTATTTCATAGATTAACGTTTATTTGACAATCACTTAAACAACTTCTTTGAGGTTCACCCTTTTCAGATGTTCCATTTTGAATACTTAGCTTGTTAGATTTATTCAACAGTGTAACATCAATTGTTTTATATACAACATGAATAATAATTCAATGCATACCTCATTCAAAATCTGTTAAGTACTTTTTTGTACTTTTTTGTTAGTTTACAACAAAGTGTGTATGTGTGTGTGTGATGTGAATAATGAGTACAAAGCAGTGAAGAAGAATAGAAAAATAATGTCCCATTTTTAAATACAACAATCTCCTTTTTAAAAAAACAGTCCTCTTTATTAAAACAACAATCAGCAAGTTTTAAAACTGGAGGAAAAATTCAAGCCATTATTAATCTAGATCTCAAAACCTGGAGCCCAATGAGGTATATTGTAAAAACAGCTTTCATTTCCACTGAAAACTTGGATCAAAACATTCATCACTAGGCTTATCATTAAATTTTTTTTTACATTTTTCCAGAAAAAACATATTGTTATGCCTTAAAAAATGACAGAAAAACATCACATTCCCATTGTTTTGTGCACTGTTTTTTGTTAGTTCTTGGTTTCTCTTTTGGTCACAATATCTATCTATCTTTCTCTGAATTATTGATTTTGATATCCCTCATGGTACATGTATCTTCTTTCCTTTTCTTAATAGGCATGCTTAGAAATGTTGAACAAATTGTCCATTTCCAAATAATGTAAATAACTCATGAGAGAACATATTATTCATCCAATTTCACACAGAAAATCAGATAGCAGAACAAACAGTATAGAATTCCACTTCACACACCTCTGAAACTCATTTGACCTTTCCAAGAATTTGCAATTGGCTTTGTGAGTTTTTCTTCTCAATGGGAACATTATAAGTTCATTATGAGAAAGAACTCACAATGCTAGTGAATGGCAAATTTATAGTGCATCAAAATTAATCTCTAAGATTCTCATCCATCTAGATTTGTTTTGTCTTTTCTATTTTTTTTTAGTTGACTGCCATTTTTTCCAATTCTTTAACCTTTCTTGTAAAAATAATATAAAATGTTTTGAATATTTAAAAAACAAAAATAATAATAAAAAAAAAATTGGATGTGATTAGAATCTATTTATTAATATTATCAGGCATTTTGATGTGATCAAAGATGACATTGTTTCAGACATGGAAATTTTAAATGCAGCGAAATTTGAAGTGCAGAAATAACATTCAAATGTTATCATGTGTTAAACCGCATTCACATGTTTTGATGTGACAAGAAACATATACTCTTACCATAATGTGTGGTCACTACAAAATAACTTGGACCATGGCCTGTAGGTCCTTCTGCATCAAATCAATATTGTATTTTGAAAATGAATGTTAACAAGGAATAATTCAAACAAAAATTTACCTTACATTTTCAGTAATTGAGATTTATTTCTGCTTGAATTTTCAGATTTAAATGAAAAGGCAATAATTTATTTATTATCATTATTTTAAAGAAGTATTAATATTAGAAAATGAAAGTTTAATGTCAGTATGACAACAAACCAGTACCACATGTTCACCAAAAATAGACATTTCAAGACCATTGTATACCATCTAACTGTGCACCAGTGCCAAAGCCATGTGCCAAGCTCTTAACTGCCCAAAGTCCAGAGAAGTTTTAATTGACTTTATTCTTATATTTAATAAGCACATTCTATTCTTACATTCAATATAAAGCATATTCTTTTCTTATTTTCAATAAGCATATTCTTTTCTTATATTTAATATAAAAGTTTATTCTATTCTTATATTTAATAAGAATATTCAATATCTATATATAATTAGTATATTCGAACAGATCAAATATACTGATCACATTTTTCCATTAATAAAAAGTTTTTGAAGAATTTCAAAATTTCTTATATATATCTTTGCTTTGTAAACAAGACCTAAGTTCATAAATTTTTCACAGCAACACATTTTTTTTTTATCTTGTGATTAGTTCCTAAATCTATGTTCTATAAACTATGTAAATGAAATAGCATGCAAAAAATCCAGATCTAATAAAAAAGGAAAAGTAGTTAAAGAGTTATAAAATGCCTTGATGTGCATAATTACTGTCTTTCTTCCAAAATTTCAGCAATAGTATTTTGTTGTAGCCACTTTTGAAAGCCTCTTTACCTTTGCCTTTCAAATAATCTAAGACAATTAGTTAAAAGTGTTTTCATTCCTATAGTTTCTTTACTTCAAAATAAATTAATAAATTTTAAATTTATTGACATAAAATTTGTAAATACTTAGAACAAATTTAAGAAAAAAAAAAAACAACAATGCCCCCTACTTTTGCAAGTGGTGCATAAAAATATGAAAAAAGAATCTCTGCTTTCAATAACTAGGAATGATGAAATTTCCGTTTTTAAATTAATAACTTAATTCTTAATATCTCTGGGTATAAAACAAATCAAATGATGAAAAAGGGTTAAACATTTCATATTTTTGATGTACTTGTATCAACCGAAATTAACTTAAATCATCTGAGTTACTTGCCCCTACTTTACTGATAGTGACACTTGTATTTTATTTTAATTCTTCTTTCACCTAAAAATTATTTTTCTGATAAAACTTCATTTCACCTCAAAATTATTTTTCGGATAAAACTTCATTTCACCTAAAAATTATTTTTCTGATAAAACTTCAATCTTTGCTTTGGATGAAAGTTATAGCTTTTAGTTTTTAGCTCACATAGAATATCCCCCTTACCATTTTAAGGTCACGAATAATTCCTTCAAGTGCAATAACTGCAAAAGCGCACATGCTTTTGTCAAACCCTTCAAGAGTTGACTGTAACTTAGCTAGCCTTCTTCAGAATTTGATGGACTAGTTCATCAAAATTTCTCAAAATTTTATAAGGCCTTTTACCTGTGGTGATTTTGCTGTCCCCTTTAAATAATAAAGTAAATACCTGTGGTAATTTTGCTGCCCCCTATAGATCCCTCACTCATGGCCTCGCTGTAATTCTCTGGCAAGGAATCTGGGGTTTGTTGTTCCTCTTCAATGTCCATTTCATGACGACGGATATTTTCAAGATTCATTCTCCTCTCAAATGATGTTGGAAAACCAGCATGTCTATCTCTGTGAAAACATGGTAATTGATTCATTAATACTTTAATTAGGAAAATTTATTGTTATTTCAATGATCAGATTTATCTAATATAAACAGAAAATGCAGTAGAAAATGTGCCAGTGTTTGGCATTTGTGCTCCCTATCATCAGCCATTTGTGGAGTGGTTGTTCACGAGGAAATATCTCATTGGCATTCTATTTCATGCAGTCTATTCATTTTCATTATGCATTTCAAAGTTACTTTTGCCTACAAAGGCTTTGTGATTGTTATTTTATGTTGGTTTGTTTTTTTTGTTTTGTTTTTTTTTTTGGGGGGGGGATTATTATGAAGGCAATGTCTGTATCTGAATAGCTCTGAGGGACTCTACAATGTGTACTCAATAAAAATTTCAATACCAAAGAAATGTCAATCTAATTATTGGATTTTTTAGGAACTTGCTTAATGACTACCGGTATTTTTCGTCAGGTGTCTGAAGTTTCATGTATTCGGGTCTCAATAATGACTGACTATTCTTGAATGATAAAAGTACTACATCTTATTTTTGTCAAAATTTCCTGATTATTTCTTTACAAACTCTTGATAAATAATTGGTTAAAATAACCTGAATTGGTTCACAAACCTATGAACAAATTCATCTTTGCATTGAACTGGAAGACTTAATCTTAGATATTCCAGATGAACCTTTTCCAGTGTTCCAAAAGTCTTTGACAAAACCTTCAGACAGGGTGTGACATGGCTTCTGTAAAGAGAAAGCATTCATTTTATTATTGAGGTTCAATTTCTGGCATGAGAGCATCATATAATATCATTCAAAGTAACAAAATCAAGATGTTTAATGTTGATGGTGGAGGACATTGTCAATGTATATTTGTATACACAGAAGTTCCCCTCGAACTTTGTTTTCAACAAAGCCATAATACTGGTGTATCTGTTCCTGTTGGAACAAATACTGTAAATTCAGAAATTATTGCATGCATTTATTTTTGTGATTTTTCAAAAATGGACAAGAATGCGATATCAATTATTGTGATTTCAGAAACATCTACATACAAATCTATGTTTCAGTTATTAAAATGCGAGTTTTTATTATTACTCACCTTGTCGCATTATTCGCATTAATAAAAACCTCGCAATAATTTCTGAATTTACAGTATTCGATACCCTTTATTCTGTAAGGAACAAATTCTGTAATATTTGTTCCAGTGGAAAAAATATTACAGAATATTTCTTCCACTTGGAACTAATGTTATAAAGAAACTTCTAATTCATGACAACAGTGCCATAATTATACAACTGTTGTTGTTCTTGAATTATATGAACATTAATCAAGAGACAACCAATTCTGTTTTATATATATATTACAGCAATTTAACAAAATTTTATATTCTGATGTTTGTTCAAAGTTTTGAATCAACTTACCCTCCTGGTATTCTTTGTATCTGAAGTCTTGGATGATTGTCATCAATAGGTTCAAACAATGGTAAATCTTTACCATACCACAATGGAACACGTCTTGTCATGTTCCTAAAAAATACATTGGCATTACACAACTGAACAATATCAATATATGCCTAGAAAAATATGTGTGTTTCAGTAAAACACTGTAAGAAGTTAAGAATTTCAACACATAAATTTCAATCAGTCCAGGCTGTTGGGCTTATGTATAACTATAACTATAGTGAACTATTTTTTGTTATTATACTTCACGTCAAAATGGCAGATTTTGATTGGTTAATACGAGGGAGACAATTTACTCTAACCCATGACAAATACTCTATTACCCTTCACGGAGATGCTTGCTCAAGTGTGCGCTTTAATAAATACAGATGATTGTTATCTTCAAGACGACATAGTTTATTACTTTGAATTTGAAATTTAATAGACAGTAATAACAGAACATTCAGTATAATAAATTAAATAATACATATCTGAGAGGGTGATAGAGCAGATTGTTACCCCTCGAAAAGACATTGTCAACCTTGGCTTCGCCTCAGTTGACAATGTTTTCTCGGAATAACAATCTGCTCTATCATCCTCTCAGCTATGTGTTATTTATATATTGTTGTATTTCTCCTAGCATCTTAAATCAACAGTATAGAATCCTTTTTCTAACAGGATCTTCCAACCTCACTCAAATCAATAACTGCAGGTTTATAACTAAGAATGAATGAAAATAGAAAGTTTACTCACACACAGAATGGTTCATATCCTTCTTGTAATCCACAACATGTGAAATATTTCAGAGTATTTACATCCTACAAATCATAAGTAAATAATGAAGAATTTACTGTCCATTCAAAAATTACTGTGCATTTATTCATGAGATTGTTTATAAATGGACAGAAATATGAGATTATAGAAAAAATGCCATTAGAATCAAAATTGCAAGTTTTAAATAAAGAGATATCCAGTTATGAATTATAAAATTTCATGAGGTTCATATACACAAAAAGTTCAAGTATATTGGTTCACAGCATTATAATGATTTAAGCACTTATCAAATTAATTTAAGCAAAGATGCAGTCACTAATGCCTATTTCATGTTATTCCTTTACTGACAATATTTGACTTTCGCATAGGTCATCTCAACTTGAGAGATTTGAATTGACTAAGGTAAGCTATCTTCATACTTGTATACACATTGTCAACTACTACCTACAAAATAAGTTCTCGGATTTACAGTAAATTTTTAGTTGATCAAAACTAAGTACATTACACCTACAGAGAAACAAAACAATCTTAAGTTCTTGGTACTTATAGCAATATTGAATGTACCTGTCCAAAGTTCAGCTTTGCCTGCTGATAAACTCCCATGGTCATTGCTGGTACATAGTCTGCAACATCAATACCTCGGAAAGCTATTTCCTGTCCTAAATTATCCATCATCAGCTCTCCGTTCAAAGAAAAGGCTGTAAATATCAAAACAATAAATGAAGAAGGCTACCAACTATATTATCTACAACTTTAATCATTCAGGGCTGTTCCAGAAATAAATGTAAAGGAGGTCGGAATGCATTCTTAATTTTACCCACCAAGAATAAAATTTTAATTGATTATTTCTTATCAATTGCTTTTGAAGTTTGACACCTCTGTATGCTATAATTAACGAGATAATTAGCAGATAACTGACTTTTACCTCAATGGAGCGACAAACTATTGTTTGGCTGTTGTTTAACTTGAACAGTAAATTGTGTTCAATTTGAACATTGAATTTTAAGATATTTCGGGAGAGAAATTTTCAAATAAGAACTGAAAGGTCTCATGGAACTAGAATACGAGTGAAAACAGATCAGATACTGAAATTCTGGGGTTTATTGATGACCCAGGTGGGACATGAACAAATCTTTGGTGAGCTGGTATATATTCACAGGTCACACCCGCAATTCAATTTATGGGTCAGTTTACAGGTATGAATGTGCATATCATCTTTAGGTTTGCAATACCTCAAGAATATGTTCTCATTGAAATTTGACCATTCAACCAATAACCTCTAGCCTTCCATATCATTCCTCAGTTAACATATATATATATAATATACTAATTATAAGTTTTTTATCACTGAAATCTACTAAAAATAGCTCCTTCTTCCATATCACCCCACAGTGCATGTCCTCAGTAGTCAGCATTCATATAGTTGTATAAATAAATAATTACTACAAATGTTTCTATCGCTGATATCAAACTATAAATATCTCCTTCCTTTCATATCATCCCTCAGTATATGTTCTCATTATATATAATACTTACTACATGTTTTATCATTAAGATCTAACATACAACCAATGATATCTCCAGCTTGCCATATTTTCCCATACTGCTCACCACCTTGGTTCCATTTTCTACCCTATAATTCATTAATAGCAAAACTTTATTTCAATATACATATACAAGTTGTAACACCAAGTTCTATAAATATGTTACTAAAGACAATATTTGTCTTTGGCTGATGTTTGATACCTAAAAATCGGTGAAAAAAATACAAACAGAAGACCATTCTTTAAAATTCAGACATATAAAAAAAGATTAAAGTATATATACATGTATTTGTTAAAGAAAAAATGAAATAAATGTAATCTTTGTTGTATGTTTATATATTTGTTGTTGTATGGCCAAAATCTAGTCTTGAATCATATTTATATTCAGATGCTGTGGGAAAATCAAATCCAGGAAATTATCTAACTGATATAAAAAAGATGTGGTATGATTGCGAATAAGACAACTCTGCATATTACTTCATTGCAATTTACAATTTTTAGCAATGAACTAAAAAAAAATTATATTGCAATGAAGAAATACACTCCGTAACCTCATTTACACAAGTTAATGGAATGGTAATAAATAATAAATGTTTATTAAAAACAGAAATTCTCATACATATACAAATTTATTTTTTTCTGCAATCTAAATCCTAGTAGTGAAGAAATATATTACGACTTACCAAAAGTCCATCAAAACCATAGGAAGAACCATCCAAACCAATTTCCACACATGGGCTGGAATCTACCTTGGTCCAGCCCACTTTCATGAAGCCTGGTGTCAACACTTCAAATTCATAATACCTAAAAAAAACATAATTATCATTCAAAGCAACACTTCAAATTCATAATACCTAGAAAACATAATTATCATTCAAAGCAACACTTCGAATTCATAATACTAGAAAACACAATCAGCACAGTGATTATTTATAATCTTTTATGTGGACTGGTACTTTTCCCATTTGTAGGAATGAGTATTGATAAGTAGTGTAGGAGGGTAAAACTACCTGATACCAGCTCTTAATGAAAGGCCTGGTTATTTAAAGCAACAGATAATAGAAAAGGTGGGGTTTTTTCAAATAGTTTGAATTCTTACTATACAAATTATAAAAAAAACTTAGTTTAAAACATTTCTCAGTTTACCATCATGATTTTGGTTACGGTAGATAAATCTTGTAAGTATATGTCTGAAATAGTTACATCTTGAATAAGAAATAAAATTTTACCATTTTCCTGTAGACACAGCATAGGTTAGCTGGGTTCTGTAAGTTCTATTTCTAGATTTCTTCTGTCCTAATGCTCTTGATAATGCTACAAATATAATGTTTAAATTGTCTAAATATTGCTAAATGTACATGTTTCTAGACTTCAAAATACATTCATAATTTTAAGAAACATACAAGATACTTGTTAGAGAACTTGGCAGTAAAAAATGTAAGAAATTGACAAATAATTTTAATGAACTGCATAACAATTACTGTTAACATACAGACAGATTCATAATATTTGTAGAACAAAATTTTTAAAAAATTATAAACAATGCTGATTAATACACACCACATTTAGTTTTTAAAAGGCTTTTGACAAATTAAATTAGAAAAAATAGACCACTTGCTTGGATTACTTGGCAATAGAATGTATATGACAAAATACTTATAATAGAAAAAAATCTTTCAAGTATTAAAGAATCAGATGTGCTTAAAATATTTTGGTGTACAAGTGTGTCACATGATACAAAACACCACTCCACTTTAAATGAAATTGATATTAAAACAAGAATCTGTCCATAGTACAAGGATGCCCCACTCGCACTATCATTTTCTATGTTCTGTGAAATTGGGGTCAAAACTCTAATTGGGCATTAAAATTAGAAAGATCATATCACAGGGAACATGTGTACTAAGTTTCAAGTTGATTGGACTTCAACTTCATCAAAAACTACCTTGACCAAAATCTTTAACCTGGAGACGGACAGACAGACGGACGAACGGAAGGACGGACCGAAAAACATAATGCCCCTAGGTTGGGTATAAAAAGGTCAACGAACAAAGATATAACAAAAAAAATCTTCTAAGTTTTAAACCTGAAAACATGCAAACCACATACATTTTTTTAAAGCATAATGAATAAATAAAAAATGTTGCATACCTGTATTTTTTAAATTCCCATAGTTCAGCAAATGATCAAATAGTTTACTTCCTTAGAAAGCATTAAAATAAAATACATTGCAGAAAATAAAATGATGCAGCCACAACATTGGGATTTAAGAGGGACTGGATGGGGGTCCTTCATTCCTTTATGCTTGAACTTTTTAGACAATTTTTCTCTATTCTTTATTTATTTTTACCCTTTATCTCTATTTCTTATATTTCAGCATCCCATTATTTAATGGCCTATTTTTCTCTATTCTTTATATTTTTTGCTCTCTATTCTGAACTATTTACCAATTATTCTCTCCATCCAGACCCTCAATCAACAATGCATAAAATTACAGCACTAACTATACATGCATTAACCAATTGTTGTGCAATTACTCATTTAATTTCAATTTGCACAAGTTCCTTTTCAAATTATTTAGATATAAAATCAGATTACTGTTTAGCCTACAATTTACCCAATTCCCACTTGAACAATTTTGGTATAATTAGTAACACCTAAAAAATTTGCAAATACATGTAGCTCATCTCATGATAAAATTAAAATAGAATTGACCACTAGGAAGAAACAGGTAAACACATGTATAGTTTCTGCTGCAATACATAAATGTTTTAACATAAAGGTATGGCATACAGTATATAAGACAAATATAGCTTCTATCTTTTCTGAAACAGGGAAAGTAATAAAAACTTACATTGTACAACATCAGAATATTTAATTATTTTACATTTCAAATTCGCAAGTTAACCTTAACTGGTTTATTCAAGGTTAATTTTGATTGTTACCTAATGAGGTTAAGTTGTTGTAACTTAAACTCATTATGCAGCATTCTTAATTCTGAAATGCAATATTTATAGATTTTTTTGTGAAATATCCAGCATGAGCACCCAAAGATAATTTCATATCATCTGAAACCTTCAATACATGGCAATAATCCATCAATTTCCTTCGAAGAGCTCCTACCACAAAAAGCATGGCTACTCACAAATGTTTTTGCACAATCAGAAGTACTTTTGTTACTCTCCAAAATTTTTGCATAAGAAGGGTATCAAATGACTTCTTCACAAAATAGACAATTTTCAATGTTTCAATTTACTAGCTTTCTGAACTTAAACAACTTATTTTTCACTCATGTAGTATTTGCTCTTACTCCTAAATATCACATGCTTAGCAGAAAAGTAGCAGATACTAATTCTGACATTGTTTAATTTGACCAGGTCAAGGTACCAATCCACGAATTCTAAATATCACATAAAATGGTATTACAATAATTAAAAAATAATACTATATTACAACTAAAACTGTTATGGAAATGTACATCTGCTGAAAAAAATCAAAATGCTAATACAATAACAACACTTTTCTTTACATGCTTGATATTTTTGTCATGAAGAATACTACACAATTACCTGTTTGAGCACTTTCACCTGTCTCACTCGTTGGAGGTTCCAAATTGTATCCATAGGCAAGAAGTGTCTTGACTGTTTGATTTGCTTGATCCCTATGAAGACAATCATTACAATATATAATTGTAGAAGGTCCTATAACAACAACACTTTAAGGAATGCTCCAGTAATTTATTAAGATCGACATGTTTCGGTGGCTAGGCCACCATCATCAGGATAGAAAACAATACATAAAATCATGCTGATGTACAAAATCGGGTTGAGAAAATTAAAATGTCACAATGTTGCTATGGTGAGTAACGTTATAAATAGCAATAAATAATTGATGAAAAATGACATGAAATGATTTTAATAGAATGAAAAAGACAAGGAGTAAACAAAAATGGGATAACTATTCAAAAGTTTACTTTTGTTATCAAGCTTCCATTCTCCTTTTGTAATATCATTAGATAAATTATTGAATATTTTAATGGAATTACAAATTTTTTTAAAGTATATGATGCATAGAATAAATGTATAATTTTTCAAATATAAGTTTGAATAAAGACTAGCAAAAGCAATTATATGTTAACCAATTTTTTTCTGGCAAATGGTCTGTAGATACAAATCTACCTAAATTATGTTGTGTGTTCAAAAAAATATTCCTATTATGAAACACCTTATTTTCACCTGTGCTTAGATTTACAAGTAAGGACTGAACCATTTTGATTTCAAGAACTCTTTTTTTTTCTCCGAACAAAAAGCTCTTGACTGAATTGACCATATCAAGGAACATGGAAATGTGTTAACGCACTCACTTTCATGTTAATGCAAAACTTGCTAGAATTACCTGTTAGCCTTTTTAATGGAATCATCCACTTTGTTGTATGGCACAAGATGAGGACTTCTTTTGTTGTGCATGTCCTTAAAATACAAATTCATAATAATTCAATACTTGTACAAGTTTAATTAAAACCATCACAGGTTAATTATTTTGCAACAAATCTTTTTCAATACACTTGTACTTACAATGACAGATGCACTGGTGCTTAATATATATGCTCATATTGTTAAGTATTCTTATCAAAAACAAACTATGATAAAAAGTGGTATTTCTTCTGTAGTTATGTATAATCTGCTCACCAGTTTTCACCACAGAAATTCAGGAAAAACATTTAGTCACATGGTACAACACAGGTTAGTTTCAAAACATAACAAAAGTTTAAATAGCACTAGTTAAATATAAAAATTGAAATGACCAGTTGCAAGATAATTTGTTCACACTTGTAACTCTGGTCAAGTTCTTACTGTCTTTTTTCCCCCTTTTGCTGTGAATATGTTACCTCATATGTTCCGTAGGTCCAGCCGTGCTTGATTCTGTCTTTGGCCCAGACATTATGTGTATTTTCTGCCAGTAATTCTACCAAGTCTTCCATTAATTCATTCAATGTCACAGATGACAGGTCCAGAGGGGCTGGTTTGTATCCATTACTTTGTAAGAAACTATCAAGTATATAAAATAGTCATGATATACACAGTTCTGATCCTCTCCACAGTTTGGTGGAAAGTGAAAACAACAATGCACACATTATTGTGCTAAGCATACTCCTACTCGTAATTCAAAGTATCTGGAAGATAGATCCAACAAGAATGTGTCTATAGTACATGGATGTCCCACTTGCACTATCATTTTCTATGTTCAGTAGACCGCGAAATTGGGTAAAAACTCTAATTTGGCATTAAAATTAGAAAGATCATATCATAGGGAACATGTGTACTAAGTTTCAAGTTGATTGGACTTCAACTTCATTAAAAACTACCTTGACCAAAAACTTAAACCTGAAGTGGGACAGAGGGACGAACGAACGAACGAACGAACGGACACACAAAAAAAAGTGCTCACAGGTTACAATTCATCACTGTGAGCAGATGACCAAATATGAAGTCATCATTTGAGTAATTTCTGATAAAAGACAGAACAGACAGAGCAACAGCTAGATGGACAAGGTGATTGCAATATAGCCCCACTTTTACAATGGGGGTGCAATAAAAATAAGTCTAAATACGGAACACAGGAATTATCATGATTGATTTTTTATATTATCTCAAGCATTTGAAATAATGAGTATGGCATGAATCAAGTTTAAGAGTCAATTTTCAATTTCTATTTTTGCAATCACATTTAATACATATTCCACTTCTGAATTCTAATAATCTGTAAAGTCCTAATTATAAAATATAAAAGGTTTAGTTGACTAAATATACACTTTTGGTAATAAGAAATAAAAGTGTTCACAATTCCATGAAGCATATATGTCAATTGTTAACATAAAAATGAAAAATTCAAATAATCTAAATGACCCGACTTACTTGTTTGGCAATTTATGTGTCTTCATTCTATTATTTTCTTTCTTCTGATTATCCATACTGATGTGATAACCTAATGCTAGTAATGTTCTGTAACAGATAGGATCATGGTGTTAGTACAGTACAGCTAAGCCATATCATATAATACCTACTGAAGTCTATGGCTCCAAATGTCTGATAAAGATCTATAACTTTAACTTGTAGACATATTTATTTCCATATAAAGACAGCTTTCAAAATTTTCCTGATTAAAATCTGGCATCACTTTGTTATGACATAACTTCCATACGGCTCATACTTATATTTTTCAAAGCCTTTTCTAGAAGATAAGAAAATTCACATTCATTTTTGAGAATATACTGGGTGGCACAAGTCCTAAAACGAAATCTCTCCTAATGTTGAAGTTTAGTACAGACATGTTTTCCAATTTTTTTCCCATTATGGATTTTAACTTTAGAAATCATATAAGACTATAGTACATTTATATTCACTAATTTTATTTTATGACTTGAATGTTTGAAACTTCCTTGGAGTTTAGTGCTTTTGTTATTTTTTATATTTACCTTAATGTTTCAAAAGATACTGTGATAACATATTTCTTTTCTGTCATGGGGACTTTCTCAAAGCTATTTACAGCTGGATTCTTCTTTCTTTGGTCATCTCTGACCTAAAAATGACAAATATATTTTTGTATGGATATACATGATGGCATAAATTTAAACCAGTTTACATGACACTTGCATATGTTCTGATGCAAAAGGATTTGGCAATGCAGACTCATAGCACATCTTCTTATTTTCATATCATAGAGCCTGTAGAAATCAAAGGGGGAAATGCAACTGGATTTAGTCAGATTATCTTTATTCCAATTATGCAAAAACATTCTAAACAATTCCTATGTTCAGACCTATTCAACTGATTTATACAGTTTGTTCTCTTATGTTGTGCTGTTACACAACTGTCCCAGGTTAGGGGAGGTTTGGGCATTAACAAACATGTTTTACCCTGCCACATTCTTTATGTGCTTTTTCAAAGTCAGAAGCCTGTAATTCAGTGGGTATCATTGGGTGATGTCTTCCATATTTGTTGTTTTGTTTATTGTTTTGAGCATAAATCAGGTCATCAGTTTCCCCTTTCTAATTGTTTCACATTTGTCAGGCCGGGCTTACTATACAGTATTGGTTATGCTCATTGTGACATACATTTGTTGTTCAGTGGGTGTCGTTTGTTGATGTGGTTCATAAGTGTTTCTTGTTTCTTGTTTCTTGTTTCTAGTTTTTTATATAGATTAGACTATTGGTTTTCCTGTTTGAATTGTTTTACACTAGTCATTTTGGGGCCCTTTATAGCTTGCTGTTTGGTGTGAGCCAAGGCTCCGTGTTGAAGGCCGTACTTTAACCTATAATTGTTTACTTTTTACACATTGTGACTTGGATGGAGAGTTGTCTCATTGGCACTCATACCACATCTTCTTATTTATATTTACATGTAGTTTTATATATCCTAGTCCTTTGATTTCTGGTGTATAGTTGACACATCAGCAATCATATCACTTCACCTTTGGTGTGATTTCATTAAAAGATGAATTGGTTGTTGAAGCTTGTCCAATGTTTTGTCTCATAATTTACAATACCTTTGGTTGTTGCTGTTCACTTTGTTTTTTTAAACGAATCCGTCTTTTAAACTTACACTTAAAAGAGATATAGCAGATAGCTAGAGTACACATTTACAAAAAGATATTTACCTCACCAAATGACCATCCTTGTTCTATCTTACTAGCAGCCCAAACCTCATGTAAATTCTCTGCTAATCTGTCACGAACATTTTCTATGTAAGCTGGAAGTTGAATCTGAAAATAGAAATCAAAGTTTGTATGCTATTCCTTTCATCTTTTGTGGAATATCAAAACCACATTTTAACCATGCAATCATTAGTCATTCTCTGAAATATTTTGGCATTATCAAATTTTCTTCTTACTATTTTAATTCTAAAAATACTGAAAAGCAATAGGTGACAGAAACAGTTAGAAATTAAAACTATATAAAGAAAGCCCTATACATAGAACACTTATTAATGAAAGATAAAATTGAACACAGATTAAAACTAAGAATGCACTGTACATGAAGCTACTAACTGCATTTCTCTTGTAATCATCCTACTTTTTTGTTTTTTTATGAAAAGCTGAGTGATTTTGGTTTATATCAATGATCAGTTATAATTAGTTTAATTTTCTACTTCAATCATTTTAAACTTACATTAGCAGTATCTACTGGTTTTGGCACATATGGAGTATATTCTATTTCCATTGGTCCATGTACGACATTTCTGTGGATGTCTCCAAACCAGAAACACTGGTCCAACTTAAGTTTCTCTTTTGGAAGTAATGCTTCTATGGCTGGTGAGTGTCCATCTGGTAGTTCAAACTTAAATTTACCATGGTCTCCACCAAATACAAAGCGACAACTATATAATGTAAACATTTCATGCAGATTATATCAAATATTACTATACAATGTATTAAGACAGGTATCATATGTCATCAGCTTTACATTGAAACTGGCCAATTTCTGTTTTTAAATTCAAGACATACTTTGTTTACTGCTAAATTTCATTTTCAAAATCCTTGTTAAAATATTGAGATTGACTGATAATGTGGTAAACAAAGAAGATTTAGCTAACACTGTGACATCTATTTTATTTTTGTGTTAGACAATGAAAACATACAGTCTTTGGGATACCCAAACTTTCTTACCTAACTCTAGCAGACATTGACACAACTGGGAAGAACAGACCATCAAGATTGAAATCCTTGAAGACGCCTCTGACCTTGATTCCATTCAAGGTGAAAGTGATCTGTGGTACAGAAAGGTCAAGGCAACAACCAATCACATCTCCATGTTCTAACTGGTGACCACTCCTTCTCACTTGCTTTGATTTCCCACCTGTATAGAAAGATTTTTTAGTAAACTGGAAGGAATATTTTCAAAAGATTTCTGTACTGCAATGAAGTGTTCAATGCTGCTTTGTGACTTTGAAATGTAATAGTCTAAAGATGACATTAAGAGCGTGGTGAAAAGTCAATCTATTTTCTATATTTCTTTTAAAGTAATTGATGACAAAGTCTGAAAAAATTTCGTAATTTGAAAAAAAAGCTCTGTGAATTATCTGAATTAGCACCATAGAAATAAACACAAACTTCCTCTTAACATACCTGTCCATAAATTGACACCATCAAATGCATAGGAATACAGATCATCACCAACAGCATTTCCTCCCCATTGTTCTCCTCCTCCAGGGTAGGGTACAAAGCCATTGGTATTGGCAACGCCCACTCTCAGTGTAGGTGGAAGATGTGTAGCTGTTTCAAACTGAATCACAACAAGTTCAAAATACCACTTCTTGTACATCGCTGATCCATCTAATACTCCTACATATATATTTGGCTTAATACTGAAAAAAATAAGATACTATAAGTTTCCTCAACAATAAAAAATCTAGATAAGTCAAAAGATATAAAGCATAAATACAGACTAGTCTTTCTGAATGACTCAGTCAACTCATTTCACCTAATCAGTAGAATACATCCATAAAGAAGATTCTGAAAAATTCCTATTCTAATTATACAAGATATGTGGAGTGAGTTGAAACGAGATAACAATCCAAAAACATATGAAAGATAAAATTTTCATATATCTCGTAAAATTTTAATTTAATAACTCCATAGTTTTAAAATTTTATTCTATTGTCAAGCAGTTTTGTCGGAATCAATAAATCTCGGCTAGGTAACAGGTTAGCACAGATAAAATTCTTATTGGTTCAACACTTACCTAGCAACATGGTCAACAAGTTTTGTCTGCAGCAGTAAGTCTCGGCCAGGTAACAAGTTATCACAGATAAGATTCTGATTGGTTCTAACAGCTACTCCACTTCCTACACATAAGGAACGTAAAACATCTAGCACCTATAAATCAGAAATATGTATTAGATTTTAGACAAAGACAATTATTTGTTTCCAAAAGTAACTCACTGAGGATATACATGTTTTACTTCAGAAATAAAGTTTGACAAATTTGAGAGAATGTTTCTTTTTGCTTACCTAAGATTTCTAGTTCATTCATTTTTAGACTATTGGTTCTCCACTTTTCATCATTATGGGGAAGATTCCTACCTAACTTACAACTGTGTATGAGATCAAAACTGTCTAAGTTGTTAAATCTTATTGATTGATTGTTGATGCTTAATGCCGTTTTCAGCACTCTAAGCTACATAATGGCAGTCAGTTTTTTTAATGGCAGAAGAAACAACAGTTATCAGAGAGAACCACCAACCCTCTGCAGGAAAACTGGCAGATCTTGTCAATTAAAATCGTTGTAAAACACACTTGTCACAAGCGGGCTTTGAACACACAAACTCAGTGTTGACAGTCAGTGATCACTATTTGATGAACTACTTATATCATATAGCCACCAAAGACCTCAATTGTAAGTCTGCAAGTCAGATTTGAATTAATATAAACCTGACAACAATTTAAAGCAGGTATACACATGAAAACCCATTTTTACTATTCTTTTTGTCAATCAACTGAGATAATAAATGCCTCCAATGTATAATAAATCCTTTAAGTAAAAGTGACAATATCATATAAGACTAACCTTAGGATCCCTGCCAGCTCTGTCTATCAATGATATGATTGTTATAATGTGTTTCTCTTTGATCATATTGAGAGCTTCAGGACTGTCTATTAGTACACAATGTAACACATCTAGGACTCCTAAAATTTAAAAAAGAAATTACATTTTTCAAGTTCTTTTCTAATAATAGTACATTGTATATTCAGTTGCTAAATTGGGAAATTTAGAATGTATTAGTAGTTAAAGAATCAATAGTGGTATATTATCTTGTTCACATCAAGGTACCTGAATCCTCTTGCTGTACATGATCATGGATAGACATAAACCAAAATGTTAGATATTAACATACTACGATAAATTGTGATCAAATTATACAAATTTACTACTGTATATTCAGAAATTATAGCGTGCATTTATTATTGCAATTTATGAAGAATGTAGAAAAATGCTAGATTAATTATTGCGATTTCAGGTAAATCTGCATACAGAAACTTGTATATGTAACAGAAATTTGAATGAGAGTTCTTATTATTGCGATACTCACCCAGTCACATTATGTGCAGTAATAAAAACCTCACAATAATTTCTGAATTTACAGTATTTATTATTCTTTTTATTGGATACTTTTCAAGAAGTTTGAAGAACAGTTCACGGTAGCCATAATGTTACATTTTTTTACTTGCATCAAGGTATTTCTTGAAAGACAAAAATATCTACCACTATTTTCATTTCACTAATTTGACACAAGATGCTTTTTCAAAGCATAGAGCATAAGGACCTACCCAAATTTATAACATTTAACATACCTGTTGATGACTGCTGACTCTCTAACCTACTGACAAGCCAGTCAAGTCGATATGATTGAGCAAACTGTGCACAGTTGGCACGGTTACCACGGATCATGGCAGCTAGGTAAATAGAACAGTCAAATTTGAGTATACTGAATTGCTATAGTAATATCTTTCAAAATTTGAACATTAAACATTTATGTGTCAAAAGGACATCACACCCCACTTGCACTATCACATTTCCATTTTCAGTGAACTGCAAAATCTGAATCAAATCATAATTTGACATATAGTTAAAAATGTTCACATCATAATGATCAAGTGTATTGAGTTTCAAGTTGATATGACCACAATTTTAAGGTAAAACATCTAAGAACAAAATTTTTAGCTAGCTTAAACCAAAATTTAACCTGTTAAGTAAACCATTACATCCTGGTCAAAACCCTTATCCTACAATTTACATATTTTTTGAAAATATCACGTCAGAATGTACATCTATACCAAGTATCAAGTTGATGTGACTACCACCGTTGGTGTTGTTTTAAAAAAGGAAAAAATATCTAGATCTAATTCAAATTTGTTGAAGTTGCTGGTTACAACTAAACAATTCTAAAAAAGCATTCATCATTTTTAATTTTTTACTTCCAGTTTTGGGCAAACATAACATACAAAAAAGCTATCGATACATAATTTGATATATTTGCATTAATTCCTACCTAACAGCAGATATAAATAACTTGATATGTCATCCCATTTACTAGCTGCCTCCTCGCCTGCATAATGGGCAAAGTGTCGCCTACTTTTATACTGGATGAATTTGTCAATGGTTTCCAGAATGAGAGCAATCATACCCTGAAAAATCAATCATTAAAAATCAATTATTTAGGCAAGTATTTCCAGTATGCTAGTTTAAAACATCAACTTTGGAGAAAAAAGAGTAATTAATTTGCAGATTTTTTTTCAACTTTAATATAAACATAAACATATACCATTTTTACATTTGGGTTTCACAGATATTGTCCACCCAAGCAGCATTTTAAATTTTTCCACTTTTTATGAACGTATTGGCTGTCTGGCATCCAGGAGGGTTGATTTAATGGGACCCAATCTAAAAACAAGATTAATTGAACTAAGGGTCATTTGCCTTTAAAATTAAGTATTATCTAATCATAACAATTTTGTGCTGAAATACTTGATGATTCCTTTAATTATTTTCATTTAGTAATTACTCATTGAACTTAAATGTATTCTTTGAAATCAGTGAAAATCATGCTAATAATACTCATACCACATCTTCTTATATCTATAAATATTGTTTAAATTATGTTAAATTCCAAAAATATTAACGTATACCCAAAATTTGATACCTTAGTAGCCAAACTGTTTACAATTTAATTCAGGTCCTCTTTCAAAAAATACAAAACCCAAAACAAATTCATAAAAATCATGGATTTGCACTATCTATATGTTAGTAGTTTAAAAGTAAAGTACCTCTTCTTGGAATAAATCTTGTCTATTTCTCAAAGCTCTAAGCTTGTTTTGTTTTTCTTCATGCTCTGAAATGCAAATTTAAACAAGGTTTAAAGTTTTTTTGTTATTGAATTGCTGTCTCATTGATATATCAACAGCTTCTTTTATTAAATGGTTAGCACTTTAGCACTACAATGAAACTTTCTCAAATTAAAGCCTCTATAATATCAACTGAAGTCACAAAATATCACACTTGAATTGTTTTCACAAATTTTAATGAATTGTTCTGCAAATTGTGCGGTGAAAATATTTTAAATCACATAAACTGAGTCATCATTATATCATCTTTGTTTGCAATCTAAATATATGCATCAATTTCCTGTATGTTTTGAATTTGAACCTTATATAACTGTGGTGTACAATCATCATTAATTAAAAACAGTTCTTTAGCAAATATCTTATATATAATATAAACTTAGAGCATATACCTTCATCTTCACCAGGTTGAGCAAAATAGTCAATGAGGTCTTCAAGGCACTTCAATACTTCTGAAAGACTAATTCTACCCCAGGCATGACCACTTCTACCCTCTGTCTTTAAAGCATCTAGTGCTCTGAAAATTAAATACATATCAATCAAAATGTGTCTTAGACGATTAAGCCTTTACAGTTCTAACAATTTATAAGCCTTCTTCTTCCTCCATTACTCTCAATAGTCATGAAAAAACAAAGCTTATTTCAGCGAAAAAAAGTTAAGATAATATGACATCGTAGACGTTTGCTACATCATGTCAATTCCAAATGATATGTCAGGGGAATTGCAGAACAGAGTATAGAATTAAAAATCAATGTTTCATAACTTTAAACATATTTTCTAATCCTCAAGTTTCTACTAGACAATGTTTTTATAATATAACAGAAATAACAAATTGTGTAGGCATCTAGTAAAGACCTAAAGAAAGGGTTAATGCTTAAGCATATCTGTACAATAAATCTTCAGTCACAAATCAGTGAAATATAAAAATATATTAAATTCTTAAATATTCTTCTTCAGATTAAAAATTTCAGCAATGGTATCCATTTTTATTTTTGATGGGACTACTTTTTTTTTACTGTCTTCTTTATTTAAACTTACTTATTAAATCTGTTGAATATAGACTGACACTTCCTGATAACTCTAGCAGATCTCGATTCTTCTTCTTGAGCTCGGGAAAATGTAAAACCATCATCCATATGTCCTTCAACCAACATCACAGCCTACAGAAACAAAACAAAAGAAAGTTCATGAAACACAGATTCAAATTTTGAAACATATCCTATGAATAAATAAAAAATCAGTTATAGCAGAAACAATGCATGTATTCACTAAATTTTTTACAGTGACTTAAGATTGTTGCAAAAGCATTTGGAGAAATTGTAAGATGTGGGAATCAAAATTGCTATGGATTCAATATTATTTGATAAATACCAATTTTCCTGGATTTCTTGGGTCAAGGTGAACCATGAATTTAAATGTTCCTGGAAGTACAATTTTTTTGTAGGCTTGATGCAGACTCACATCCACCAAAAACTTCTCTTCAGCCATTAAAATCAAGCTTAATTGTATCTTAAACAGACCTTTTTCACTTCCAGTTTTCCAACTCCTCGTTTCTTTGTTTCGTAAGTTTGATAGGATAACCATCTTCCAGTCTCACAGTGTTGTATGAAGACCATGGAGTCTCCGTACTTAATGTCAGACTTTCCCATTCCTTCATCTTCTCTACCCTCTGTCTGTTTCTTGTCATCCTAACAACAAAAATATTGAAGGTGCAACATCACGTCAAGTTTTAATATAAAATCTACACACTTTTCTCTCATATTCAATGTATGTGAATGTAACATATGCTTTACTACACACTTGAAATTTTCTTATGAGAACCAGAAGTGAGTTTATGATAAGACTTTTTTATCGTTTAGTTTATTATTATTATTTTATCCTTTTTTAAGGTAAAAGCTTTTGATCTATGAAAATATTCACCAGAATTCTACACCAAAAAAATTCGCCTAAATTTCTATTAAATTGATAATTTCATTTGATAAGGCCATAAATAGAACGTTTTACGACATGTAGCAAAATTTTAACTTCTATGCATTCAGGCAAACATGGTTTAATGCAAAGACTTCTTTTTTAGTAAATTTATTTCTCATTAGATAGAAAAATTAATATTGTTGAGAAGTAGCCAGATCACCATCTACCTTTGAGCTAAATAAGAAGAATGCAACAGCTTGTTCCTCAGCTTTCTGGCGATGAACTGTTACCACTTGGTTGTCAGTGGTAACTGCTAAATATCGCCCAGATGTCACGTGACGTAATCGACACTGCTGTCCCCATCCCATGAATCCACCAGCCCATCTGCAGATAAACAAGAAATAATTATAAAACTTTGAACTAATAAAAATATTTTGAAATATGACATATTTTGAGATAAAACAAATATCTTAACACATCCCAACCTTTATTCTTGATTGAGTGTATGTGTGTGTGCCTGCATGTTTGAGTACTTGACTGGGTAATTGCCAGTATTTGAAAACTAGTATGATGAATTTTTTTACATTGTCCTCTTAACCTCATACATGACATAAAGTTGAGACTCTAACTTGAGATATAATTTCAGCTGTAAATTTTGTTAATTGCAAACATTTTATTAAGAAATAAATTAATTTGTCCAAAATTTACAGCTAGACAGTTGAGACATCTAGATATTTACTCTAGACTGGTATGTAGGTTTCATGTATGATGTGAACTTATCCTCTTCACTGAAAACCACATGGTGACCTTTCAATGTTCAGTTTTGGATTCTGTGAGCCTTGATTAAAGTATCATTGACATTAATCCCCAAAATCTCCTTTATATTTATCATCTGTTTATTTACTCTACTTACTTTGTTCTTATAATTTCTATTCTCCATAGAGATCTAGCATGACTACATACTGCACCAGTTTCATACATCACTGCACTGAAACAAAACAACAGAAAAAATGTTATTCTTTAGATAGACAAAGTAAAATTGATTTGCTGCCTGTAAGGAATTACAAGAGGACTTTTTCTTAAGTTAATTGTACTTTTTTACCTATATTCAGCATGGTTTTGTTCAAGACATGGTTAGATTTTTTTTTTTTTTTCAAACTTTCAACCAATTAAGAAAATATTTTGTGCAGATAAAGTTGATGCAAAAAGTAGTGTTCCTATTTTTATAGTGTTCTAAAATGGATACTTATGGAGCAAATATGCCTTTAAATGTTGAACATATCTCTTTTATCCAATATGGCAATTGAGAGTCTGTTTGTCTAATAAATAATCACATGGTTAGGTTTAAAATTATGAAATGTATAGAATATGAATTTTTAGCATTGCTAGTCAACTGCAGATAATTACTCAGTTTCAATTTATGTAGTTTCAGTACTGAAACACAATTTTTTTTTCATAACAACTTTCAAATATAAACATGTATAAGTAAACACCAATTTTAACAAAAAAAACTTAAAATTTCATACCTAAATTCATTATCACTGCCAGCTTCAGGTATAGCTAGACATTCATCCATGTGACCATGAAATAGACGAATAACATCACCACCAAATACATAACCTAGACATTTGTTCCTGATTCCTCCAGAACACATAGGAACTACTGTCCACAAAGTCTGTTGGAATGATGCTATAACCATACTGCCTCCACCAATATGCTGCAAAATAAACATTTCAAGATTAACTTACTTAAGAATATATACATATACTGTGTATTAATCCCTTATATGTGATTTAAGTTCAGTCTGAGTTACTTCCCTTTCAAGCAGGTATTTTCTTAAACAGTTTTTTTTAAAATATTTTATGCAGTTCAAAAATATCTTTATAAAACATTACTAGTTATTCATATTTAATTTAAAGCACTTCACATAACTACCTAAATATTATTTTCAACACTAAAATTGATTAATATATATAAATTTATCATTGTAAATATACAGAAAAATACCTTTCTGAAAGACCTCTTGCAAATTCAAGAATGAATTACTTTTGGAATTAAAAATATAGAGAAATAAAACAAATTTATACTGGTGTTTTTTTCAGTTTGATGAAAACAACTGAATAATATTGATTGATTGATTGATTGATTGGTGTTTAACGCCAATTTCAACACTATTTTGCTATCTTTTATTGGTAGAGGAAACCGGAGTGCCCAGAAGGAACCACGACCTTCGGTAGGAAAATTGACAATCCTAATCAATTAAGATTGGAGTGGAGCACACCTGGCACGTGCAGGATTCGAACTCACAACCTAAGTGTTGACTGGCTAGTGATACAGTAGTACGACTTCTTAGACCACTCTGCCACCGAGACCCCTATCATCATTTATATATATAACATGTATAAAAATTGTGGTTTTTATCCAACGCAATCATAGGTTTGAACGTTGTTTTCAATTTAGACTTGTACATATATATATATATACATACCGGTATACCGGTATATATATATATGTGGGGGAAAACATATACACAATAAAAATTTAAAAAGTTGACACACCTTACAACACACATTCAGTATAAAGCCTAATGGTCAATTTTGTTGAAAATATACTTTAGATGCAAACAAAAGTCAACAAATTTTTTTAATTAGAAATTGTTTAAGTGAAAATTTTTGATACTTACAAGGTATCTTTCTGAAGAAACACTAACAAGTATAAGATCATCTCCAACTCGTACTTTTTCACCTTCTGACCTTTGTTTAGATGCTGGATGTATAGTCCACCAACATGCTTCTCCTATTGGGGAAATAGATACACAATATAAAAGAAGGAGATGTGGTATAATTGCCAATGAGACAACTATCCAATTCAAGTAGATTTGAGCACTTATAGGCCACCGTATGGCCTTCAACAACCAGAAAAACCCATACTGTATAGTCGGCTATAGAAGTCCCCAAACATGAAAAATCTTATTTTGTTACATAAGCTTATTTCTATTCAGTTCCTTTTCAAGCAAATTTATTAATGAATATTAATAATTAAAGTGACTTTTAGTCAGTCAGCCTTCATTTCAGTGTTTTACAGGGCTTTCTACAATAATTAAATTTCCAAATATCAACATAATTCAAAAGTGAAAGTTCTGCGTAATACTTCTACATGTATCTCAAATATCAACAAAATATATATAGATATCCACAAAATGTACATGTGAGAATTTACATCATATAAAGATAGATAGCTATTATGCATAGAAACCACTATTATTTTCAATTTCTACAAACCTTGAGCTGTTTCATTAAGTCCTACGTCAAAGGCCAGCTTATCATTGGATGAACTTGTGGACAAACAAGATAGGTACTGAAAAAAATATATATGATTATTTATTTATTCAAAGAAAATGGTTGTCTGCTTTTCAATAAAAGCATACACCAACCTTTTACAGAATTTTCAAAAGTATCAAACACAGTGAACGGTTCTCACCAGTATTATCAAACAGTATCAAGGGATTTAAAAAAGCACTGGTTCCCTAAAATTACAGCTCGACTTTGGAAAACATTCTGCTTCAAAATGTATTTAGATTGTGCCATGGAAAATGGTACTGCCTCCAAATAACAATGATTTCATAAATTTGAAATATGTAATGAAGTGGAATGACCTAGAATTGCAACAACTGAGAAAATAGTTACAAAGTTTAAGGAAAATTAGGCTATATGAATATTCAACATGAACCACACAGATTTTGCCAATGAATTTTTAAGCATATCACATCTTTAATAACCCTTCCTACTTCCTGGTCATGAAAAATACTTTTTGAGAATACCTTATATGCAACCATTATATACAACATACACAACAGATGTTAATTCACATAAATAATTAACCACAATAAAACAAATAGGTTTCAAATAACAGAATATGAGAATTAACATTTGAAATCCATTAAAACCTGATCTATCAAAAATAACAATGAAGTTCATGTATGATAAAGTGACGCTACAAGGATCACAACCATTTAAAAATTTGCAGAGGCTAGAAACTTTTTTATAAAAAAAATTTTTCACTACAGCATAGGTAGATAAAGCTTTTTCCAATCCATGCACAAAAGATTGAGTGCCTTGACTATGTCCACACTACTACACTAAGGTGTGTACACTGTTTTTGTTTTGTTTTGTTTTGTCGTAAGTGCAATCCAGTTATATGAATAGATAAAATCATTAGTATATGTATCATTATTTTTACAAAGTAAAATTGATTTATCACTAGTATTGTTTGCTCAAGGTCTACTAGCAAATATTTCATGCATATTTAGAATGAACGATTTAAACAACCAAAAGTTTAGTGGGTCAGTTTGGATTGACTGTTGGAAGATTGGACTAAGACAAAAAAACTCATGTTGGTAAATTGTCTAATTGAATATATCGGGAAATGGGATATTTTTTGCTGACATTTTTGGTATCCGATTTGCCATAGTCTACTGTATTTGTAAAAATCTTTAGCATGAGAGGGCATGGCATGGTACTCTTCCTTCACAGGTAAGAGGTCCCTATTCACAATTCAAAACAAACAGGACTTGGTATTTTCATATCCTGCTTAACAAATGGTACATCCTCATTAACATGAGTCTTACTTCAAGAAAGAAATCTAGGCTACTAAGATACAAAAAAAGCCATCAGTGGACATGTGTGGTCTGCCAACTGTGGATGTGTAAAAGAAGTTACATCCACAATGGCTGCACTGTAATAAATAAAAGATTTTAAGTTTTTGGACCAGTACGTGTTAGTGTTAGTGTTAGTGCTAGTACAAAATGTATTTTCGATAGTGTAATTAAGACCAATCCTAGAGAGTCCCATCCAAGAAACTCCAACAAAATAACCTAGCAATACAAATCATGCCTTTATGATACTCACTTTTGAAATGAACAGAACCAATCAGAGTCCACTTAAGAATGAAGACATATGAACCAAAAAGATCAGTAAAGTCATTATTCCATAACTTGGACTTGCGAAATGAAGTTGATTTTTGACAATGTAAAACTTACCATGTTGCTATGAAGGTGCCTCAGTAAAACTGCATGGCCGTAAAGCAATGTTCTGTGACCTGATTGGGCTGCCTAAAACATAAAATATGACAAGTTATAAACATTATTAAAAACATTCTTTGTTTAGTTATTAATTTTTCATTCATATTGAACTCCAAACAAATATGCAAAGATCTTAGATATATAAGACAAATGAGTACTAAAATTGACAGACCATTTAAAAAGTAAAATAACAAAAATACCGAACTCCAAGGAAAATTCAAAATGGAAAGTCCCTTATTAAATGGCAAAATTAAAAGCTCAAATACACCAAACAAATGGAAAACAACTGTCATATTCCTGACTTGGTACAGGCATTTCCTTATGTAGAAAATGGGTTTTATAGCTAGCTAAACCTCTCACTTCTATGACAGTTGCATAAAATTCCATTAAACTAGTATATGTACAGCATTTCTTCATGCTGGTGGCCAAAGTACTGTATAAAAGCCTTAAAGATTGTGTTGCAGTGGCATTTAATAAACTTCCTCTGTCCTAAATCATTAAAATGACTATTATGGTTTTAAATATATTTAGAGAATGGTTGATTTTGAATTCAAAGTTCTGCCATGTTTGACTAAGATGATTCTTGTTCTGTTCTAGGAATCTTATGGCGGAGAACTAAACATCATGTAGGGCATGATACTACCCATCCATCCTCATCTCCTTACTCCTTACTCCTACTCATGATCACTAATGTTGCCATGAACACCTTTGACTTATACTATTCAAGAAATTTTATTTTTAAAAGGTTAAGAGTTAGAGATCTAATTCGATAATATTCACATCTGATTTTTCAAGATTGGAAAAACTTCTTTCTGTAGTGCACTTTTTAATTTTTTAATGTGTGGTATAGATCACCCACAACCACCCTCAATCTCTGATTAGATTTATAGATATAAAATCTAATATCGGTAATTAATGTTGTAGGAAGGTGAAAGGGACACCCTGACCTTGAAAAGGATAGAAAATCTATTGCATTGCTAAAGATTACATAACAAGCTAGACACTTTGTATAAATCAACTGTAAAAACAATAATTGCAATGATGTTTATATCGTGTCAACTTTCCTTTCCTATTGATTGTATTGTGATAGTGGAACTTCTTTATTATATCCATGATTAATAAACGTCACATGGCTAAGTGAAATGTATTGTATACCGAATTTCCCCTGGTGGAGAGGTTGTGGTGTAATTATCAACCAAAACAATGAAACAATGTGATAAAATCAATATCACGACCTAAAAAAATCCTTGAAGAACCGCTTGTCAAATATACTTGTCACCCAATTTGTAATCCTACAGTCAGGACTATCTAGAGAGTTGGGGAATATTGAACTGTCTGCTTCTTAGACATATGCATGTGATTAACAAGGCAATTGGATTCTTAACACGATGAAATTGATACTCATGTAAATTATCCCTACTTAAATCAACAATTCTGCTTCTACATGTTTTCAAAAACTTCAGGCAACTTGATTTGTATATATTACATTATTCAATGTCTTATCTTTAAACCAATATGCTCCTTATCTTTTCTTATAGACAATCCTGTTTAGACAAGTAACTACTTGACAGAATTATTTTAATAAAATAATAATGAATAATAATGTTCTTCATGTACATGGGCTTAGGTTGGTAAGACACTGACGTCAACTGTACTTTTATATTCCTTTGCGAAGTACTAAGGATAGTTTAGCTCTTCATTAATTCATTATGAATAATCATAAAAATGTTATATTCTTTTTATAAGCTGCTTGGAAGTATTATTCAAACTCTTTACAGCATACTATTGCTATCATATATGTATGGAAAATTAAATTCAAAGTTATCTAATATAAGCCGTCAAGGTTAGACATCCAAATTTTTCATAAGAAGATAATTTTTTTTTTTAAATCAAGGAAGTTAAACATCTAATCAAAATGAAACCAAAGAGAAAAAAAAAACAGACCCAAAAGAATATTAATCTGCTTCCAATATATAAATGTGACACATATGTCCCAATCTGGTTGCTTCCATTTACTATGACAAATTAAAAGTTTTTTCAACCAAAAAAGAGGGATCATTTGGACAAAAATTCAAATAAAGACAAGTAGTGAATTCTATCCATACACACATTATTTCTTGATTGAAAGAATACTAGAGACAAAAAAAAAAACGGCCAAAAAAATTTTCAATATTTTTTTAATTTTCAAAAGAATGAAATGTACCTGTGCAATTTTTTAATAAAAAATCTAAGAACAACAATAATAATAAAATAAAATCACCCTGTATCTAATTATGTAGGTAGAATGAAGAGTTCAAATTCAATTTTCATCCTTGCATAAATAAATATGAAAGCAGGCAGACAACTTCACAACTGAAATAATCTATGCTAACACCAACCTAGACCGACTCTTTTGGTACCTCATGTATCAAATAAAGATAAAAACAATATCTAAACATTTTTTTACATTTAGATCTGGCAATAATTCACACTCTAATCCTATACAACTTACATAAAACCATTATCAAATTAAATATTTATAACCACAACTGTAGTAACATGAGTCACATTATCCACATAAAAAGCATTATATACTTTGGCTGTAGCTTATAAACTTTTCTTCGATGTACCATAACATCTTGTAAATCAACATGACATAGATTAAACAATCGTTATGCTTAGCATTATATACTTTGGCTGTAGCATTATAAACTTTTCTGCCATGTAGCATACTAACATCTTGTTAAGTTACATGACATAGATTAAACAAATCAATGTACCATGACATAGATTAAACAATCGTTATGCTTTGCAATCAATTAAAAGAAATATTATTCATCTTTGCATGATCAACACAGTACATGTACACTGCATATGTTATATTTGATAAGTTGCCATGGCAATACACCAAAACTAATTAATGCCAGTATAATAAAAACAACATGATTTTTTTTAGATGTTAATCTGCTTATATTTGAAATTCTACCTCATTTATATATATTTTAAAGCTTTATGCAATTGTCTCTTTCAGGGTAATATGCAGTCATGCTTAAAAAGGGTAGAAACGGATAAAAAAAAACTTGAATGAATAGTAGTCCATCTCTATTTTTATGGTTGTTGTTGAAGTTTCTTTTTGTCATTTCTATTTCCTTGTGAGCATGGCATGCCATATTATCTTGAAACAGTCTATAAAACATGAAAACAGTATCATGTAGCATTTAAAGAACTTTTAAATTAAGCAGAATTTTTTTTATAGTACATAGTCATTTTATGCACTCACTGATATAGATTAAGGCATTTAACATTAAAAGAAAACAAAAAAGGTATAATTATTTCAAATATAATGTGTTTCAATCTGATTAAAATACAGATATGTGTCCACCCTCTGCTAACACGGATCTAACAACATTAATTCTACTTTCTATTCTGGTAATTATTACATCAGCCAATGAAACTCCTGCCTACAAATTTTTGAAGGTGTGTATCATTACTACAAAACCAAAGGATTCTGGAGCATGGACACAGGATCTGTGTTTTAATCAGATGGACAATGTTTTTATTTTAAGATCCAGTATAAACATAAGCAAAACAAGTAAAAGTTTCCGATAGATTTCATAGTGTTTAGTCTGATTATCAAAATACTCGGATTCCCATCACTGATTTTAAAAAGCACTTTTACCTTGAAATTATTCATCTGCATGCAAACCTTTCAGTGACCATTAAGCACATTTCCCACGAGCCTTTGCTGTTTACATTTTATACAGAGGAAAATTACTATCAATATCCTTCTAATTTTATGACATAACTTTTATAACTGCAAATGTTGAAATTAATTGACTTCAATTCCCATATTTGACATTAAATATATGGCTTTTAATATGATGTTAGGTTTTTGAATACTTTTCAAAGTATATATCTGATAATTATTGTTTGCAATTACAAAACAGTAATAATTTCTGCAATTTAAATAAAAAACAATGTTCTCTCTGGTGTGTAGTACATAATAATCATCTAAAAAAGTTTTTGATTTGAAAATATCTAAATTTTCCTACGGGAACTTTTGGAACTGACAGTAACAAAACAAATGATAATCTGGTCTCAAAACTACTGACTAAACAAAGTCTTTAATCAAAGGCAAACATAATGAATTGGCTATTTTCAAAGCCATTTTGTATTAGGACACTGTCACACAGCCAAACAAGGCACATGTATAACTAAGACCTGGAACAAGGCCTGGCCTGTCTCTCTATCTACAAGTCATTTGCTGATGGGCTAGCAGGTTACATGTATCATTAACACTGTCTGAATGTAATACCAATTACACAATTTTTCTGTCTTATATCAATTGGAATACATGAAAATTAAATACTCTTAAGAAAATGGTTCAAAGTCAAAATGATATCTTCTCCAGGCTCTTACCAGGAAATATGCTTAATAGGTCCAACAATGTGTACAAAGTATATGAAGATATGGACTATTACTCACAGACAATTTTGTTTCTGGTCTTTCTTCCTAAAATTTTACATTCAAGATCATTGTCTTGCACATATTAGCAGATTGTTTGCATGTATTTAATACCTTTAAAATGACTGACAATATTTAGGCCATATCCCATATGGAAGAATATGCATTTAAAATAAAAGATTGCATAAAGTAAAATATAACTGTTGAAAATAAAAGATTGCATAAAGTAAAATATAACTGTTGAAAAATAAAAGATTGCATAAAGTAAAATATAACTGTTGAAAATAAATATAATTTCAAGCACATAAATTTGTTACTATTTTTTTGCTTTAAAAATAATGCCAAGTCTGTACCTCTCATCTCAGGCTGTCTGTATAGACATACTTATCCTTTTGGAAATTTAACTGAATTAGCTCCAAATGAACACAGATTTGTCTTCAAATAACCTTCTGGTGTCATGCAACAATTACTTCTACTTATGACATCAAACCTTTTGAATTGTGAGGCAAAATTTTGCAGGAACTTGTTTGGCTTTCTGTGATGGCAGACAAATTTGCATACAAGTGTAAATACATCTATTGCTGGCCTAGCTTTGATTGAATAAAGGATGTATGAGGTCATGTTTACAAATTGGTCCAGAAATCTCAAAAAAAACAATTTTCTTAAAAGTGAATATAAGAATTGTTTTGGTTATTTGTGTTGTTGGTTTGCTGTCTTTTTGACATATTACCTAACATCATCCTTGATGTGTTGCAAGATTATTTGAAGTGATTTATCTTAGGACTATGACTTCCAAAAGGAATACAACTTGAACAGATCAATCAGTTCAAAAGAATTTTTCTACTTAATTTTAAAAGAAAAATTCTAAAATAATATAAAGAAACACATGCATCATTTAAAGAAATAATCAAAGGAGAATTTTTCCTTAATGTAATTCAAAAAATTGTTTTATAGTTACAGAAACAAAAAGACAATTATAAAAATTGTATCTAATTTTGTTCAGCTGTGCCCATGTTTATTGTTGACAAAGGAGATTACATGGAAAAACAAGTACATGTAATAAACTAAGGCTAAGAACAAATACAATGTGTTTCAAACAACAAACGTAAAATGGGAAGGGCCACACTTCACCTTTTTTTTTTAACTAAACCATTTTTTTGTGTACCGTAAATGGAAACTATAACTGAAATCAAGCTATCAATGTGAAGTTGTTTTGTGTGTATTAAAGTTGTTAACAAACATCTAAGTTATCCTTTATAATCCTATAAAATCAAGAATACTGCACTGAAGAAGGTTAACTTCTATGTTTTATATATCATTATGGATGTTCTGACATTTAATGCTTGAAGTTTGCATCAGATTCCATTGCATCAGAGAAGATAATTTAAGGTTTGCAGACATCAACAGATGAAAAGGGATATGAATAGCTTGTATAAACAACTCAATAATGAGCTAAATTAAATTCATTTCAATGAAGCTTTAGACTGTGCTAATAACACCAATTTGGGCATTCAAAAACAAAATAATTGGATCTCTGTAATTCCCATAATTCTATCCATAGTTCTCTAAACGCATATTATTCTTACTCTTATAACATACGCTGGGTATGTTTTTTTTTCTAACTGTGCGAAAGCCTAAACTGATTTATAAAATAGTTCATTTAATTTCGACAATACAACTATTTGGTATAAAACAACCATACATACTGTGGAATCCTGGGATGATGATGTGACCATTTCCTGCAGAGCTCTGACCGAAAGAGCTTGTTCTAGAACAAATGAACATACTGACAAATCTGGAGGAACATCCTAAAAACAAAATAAATCAAATGTTATATGAGTAAATGCAAATGGGCTACGTTTACATCTAGCTAGTCTGGACCAGTGATGTTTTTCTGTTTGGTCATAATATTGTCCATTTTCCTTCACTTTATAGTTTTTCGTTGTCCCCTTGATAACTTTTCTTTATTTTTCTATTAAATATCCTTTCCTTATTGTCATTTTTTCAAAACCAGGAATTTCAAATTTATTTTGCGGCTTTATGTCCACTTCAAATGGATAAAAATTTGATTAAAAAAAAAAAAAAAATTCTAGGTGAAAATGTGAGTATTTTGTTTATTATTGAATAAACACTTATCTCTGTTGCCAAAGTGGAAAAATAGTTTATTAACTTTGTTAGTCATCATTGAAATGGAAAAGTCAGTTTTGTATTACATAGCAGAACACGACAACCAAATTTGTGGAATTAATGGCTTATTCATATCACACTATGTTCAATGTGATAGGAGAAATGTCTCTTCAAGCACGAATATATATATATGTCATGTGGTACTGTTACAAACTTTCATATCAGATGAAAACCAACAACCATGTTGAAAAGAATATATGAGAAAGGAAACAGGGAATGTGTCAAAGGGACAACAACCAAACCACAGAGCAGAAAACAGCCCAAGACCACCAATGGGTCTTCAATGCGGCCAGAAAATCCTGCACCAGGAGGCAGGCTTTGGCTGACCCCTAAACAATAATGTATACTAGTTCAGCGAAGTGGACACCACACTAAACTCCAAAACATAAAAAGGTACCAAAATTTTTAAAAAACACAAAAAAAGGTTAGAGGTTCCTGACCAGAGATAAGTGCAAAAATGTGGCTGGTTAAACATGTTTTAAGCATGTGTCATTATAGATACATTTGTTATCAACACATTAATCTGTAATTATCAAATTGGTGCAGATGACTTTTATTTTTACTTAAATTTAAGAATTGAATGGATATTAAGCAATTTTAAGCAAAGTGACCTAACAGTTCAAGTACATTGTGGCATGTCACTTGCATTTATATTGCTTAAAACTTACAAAATTTTACATTCAGAAGGATTTTGACCTTATATTTTCTCCCTCTGACTCAAGGCTAGATTATCTCTATTTACATAAATTCATTCATATTTTGCTTATACAAGACTGCAAGAAATTTTGACAGGAGAAGTTGATCAACTCTACAGACCAATGCCAAGAAAATAACCAAAAATAACAATAGATAAAACAAACACATGTTCTTATTTTCAGACACTTTCAAACATGCATTTATACATTTAATACAGCTATTAAGAATCATATTCCTCAATGCTTTATTTTTCAAAGAGTGTAGTCTTTTCTGATGTAAACTTAAAGACATCACTAAATAATTGTCTGATGTTTATATAATTGGTTTTCATATCAACAAAGTATGTAGATCCTATAAGTATCCCCAAGGCAACATTGCTGAAGTACATAAGAACTGGCTCATCTCCAAATCCAATATAAAATATACAAAGCATATGGTGAATTTCCAGTGCCTTGTATTTACAGTAATGTCTAATTATCATGCCAACAATGATTACATAAGAATACAAAAATTTCATACTTTCAAGAGCTAAATGTTGGCCATTTTCAATTCAAACCTTTAAAACTATACATATCAAAAAAACATTTTCATGCCTTTAATCAGAAGGCTGTAAACCTTTTGAACTATTGCTTGGTACAATTGTAAATTTTGTTTGTATCTAAGCTGCCTTAATTGTATTCTTTTGTGTTGTGGATTTGTTACTATTCGTGGGATACCAATTTTTGTGAATTTACTGGGTAAATGTGAACCACGAATTTAAATGTTCAAAGAAATGCACATTTTTTATAGGCTTGTATGCAGACTTTGACAAAACCATGAAATCAAATATCCACTAAAATACTTTTTTTGTCAATCGACCAAAATTGGTCCCCAAAAAAATAAATGAATCCCTAGTATGTTATCTCACGATAAGTTATAATGTATGAGTAGTCTGTAGACCCTGAGAAATGATGAAAATCTGCTCCATCAATACTGGAAATTAAAAAGCATTCTGAGAGTATTGCATGGCGATACATAGTCCCCTACCAGTTAAAAATTCATTGTACTGGAACAAAATGCGAACTTCATCTATAACTTGTCATGGTGTAAACTATATACCAATTATCAAATCAATATCTTCAAGCATGACGAAAAAAATTGAGGAAAACTGATTATTTGAGTGAATTTTCTAAGTCCAAGGACCATAACTCTGCACAAGATCATCAGACCGTAACAAAATTCGAAATTGATCTGTAACTTGTCATGATAAAACAATACACTACATATCAAATCAATATTTTCAAGCATGAAGAAAAAAAGTGTGGAAAACTGATTTGCCAGACTGACACATAGACAGATGGACAGACAGACAGACAGATGGAGTGCAAACCTAAAGTCCCCTTCGACTTCGTTGGTAAGGGACTAATAAGAGGGGATAAGCATGTAAGAAATATGTAATTGATCTGTAAGATATATGTAAATGATCTAGCAACCCAAAAACACATAAACATCTGAAAAAATTTTTTGCTATCTTATTTCGTTTCCTCTTTATATATTGTGAGGTTTGAATTTAAGCTGGTTTAAAAGAAAGGAGTGTAAAGACACTTAGTTTTATTACATACCCGACAAGATACATTCTCTAGGCAGCACATACGGCTGCCAAATCCTTCTGCTGCAAGACATACTCTATCAGTTGTACTACTATCTCTGGAGGATGTCACACAACTCAAACAAACAATATCATTCTACAACAGAAAACAAATATATTGAATTTATTTAATTAAATCAAACTGGAAAATTAGAAACACTTCAAGTTTTGTAGCAAAATATGTCATGGCCAAATTTGTTTCACTATTTACTCACCAATAAACAAATTTAATTTTAAGTTGACGTGATGTCAATTTTTTACTTAATCTAATGAATTAAAGCAATAAAGTGAAAAAACAACACTTATCCTTCTATGTTTTTTAATTTCATTCTTGGTTTATGTGGTATTTTTGTTGCTTTTTATTGTTCTTCTTATATTTTTTTTTTCTTCGAATTGTTTTATGTGGCGGAGGGGCTGGGGGACTGATGCTCTCATCAGTCAGTACAGCACTGAATACTCATACTGTCTCTTATAAAGAATAGATAAATAACACCCCTGCATCTTAATGCAACTCTAAATACTGGTATGTAAAATAAAATACTGTCGCCAATAAAACATGTTCAGATATTGTCATATGATGGTGTGTAATGCCATTTTGTGTACATTTGTACCAATTATAATATGACGGTTAATGGTAAAAATATTTTTGTATTTGCTTCATAGATTTAAAATGATAAATTTGTCATTTTTAAAATTTTTATATGGGGACCAGATCTATTCCTTGGCTAGCAAAGATGAAATTATATATTCAAAACCACTAACATAGGATATTAATTTCATGTTTTTATTTATGCATCAACAAAAACACAATATTCAAAATTCAGTTAACTGTTTGCTAGTAACATTTTTACAACAAAATCATGAAAATGTACCGTAAATATACAAGCAATCACATTACATGTAATTTAAACTACAGCTGGAACACTTTCAGTATTGTTTATTTCCTATGTTTTGAACAAGGTCAATTCAATGTCAATCACTTTCCTTCACAATTATTAGTTCATTTAGAAATGAGAAATATGTTTTATTTCTGGTTCAATGAAAAGTGCACTTAATAAAAATCCCTTTCTAGTTGATTTCCTTCTTATTAACTGATGTGCTTACTGAAAACTGCCATAATACTTTTTGCCCTTGGAGTATTGTCACGGAATAGAAGTTCCTTCATAATATAAGTTCCAAATGGAAAAAATATTCTGGAATATTATTTCCACTGGAAAAAATATTACAGCAAATGTTCCTAACGGAATAAATGGTATAGAATATTTGTTCCAACAGGAACAGATATTATGACATTGTTTATAACAAAGTTTCCAGTGGAACTTCTGTTAGGCGGAACAAATATACGTTGACAGTATCAATGTAAAGGCAAACACTTGTTAATATAGTAGTTAAAAGTTAAAGTGGTTACAATTGAGAATAAAAATTGATAAGGAAAGGACATTTAGCAAGTCTAGGTAAATGACTATTGTTTAGCATTTGTTAGGTGCAGTATTAAAAACAATTTGGTAAACTCTATACTCTAGTTTCTCAGCTCGTGGAGAGAAGGAGACTGGATCGTAATCCTTGGCTAGCGAAGATGTAGTTGTCTCAAAAAACCTCTGGAAAATATAACTATAAAAAGCCGCATTTTATGTACTACTACACTTGTTTCCTATCATTAAATCGTCCTGAAGACGCCACCGTAAGTGGCAAAACATGTAGACCAGAATAAAGCATTTCCTTGCAGTAATCCAGGATGTTGTTGTCTTTTTACAGTTATATTATTGTATTCTGTTGAATATTCATACTGAATACAATTAATATAAATAAAAGAAGACGGGGAGTATACATCAAAGAGACAGCAACCTAACACAAAAGACATCTAGAAGGCAACATACAAAAGTCCTCAATAACAGACAGGTGACTTTATAAATTGTCAAGCTCTAAATCGATCAGTCTGAAAATGTTATGAAAAATTAATCAGAAAATATCAAAGGTCTGCCATTACCACTGAATTCTACAAATACCTTTAAATTTTGAATGTACATTAAACAAATAAATATGTTTAAGTGCAGTTTCATACAGATGGTCTTATGGCTTTTCAAGCATTCACCTCGGTGGTAGTGTGCTCATCTTCATACCTGTCAACTGACCCGGATCCTGTGTGTGTGACCTGAGTTTTTCACAATTCTGAGGGGTCACCCGGAACACACGCCGGGTGACTAAATAACCCAGGAATTCGGAAAATAACCCGTTTTCACCCGGATTCCTAAGCCTTCAGAGATCTTCAGACTGATTAGATATAAACTGATTTCTTTAAAATACCGGCAAATTCGTAATTCTTCCTGGACAAGAAGTTCAACTAGCTGTGTAAACTCAGCTCAAGTGACCCATTTCAGTGCATGGCTCCACTTGACAGCTTTGGTGTCAAACACACTGTTAATTAACACCAATTACCTTAGCTTTAGGTCGTAAATAATTTGTGTATTTCAAAGTTGTTTTAAAAATTACTTCCCCTTTTTTGTCGATTCACAATATATCCTTAAACTTATGTTTTTTTTTGTAAAAGGATTAAATCTTAAATGAATTGAATGCAAAAACATATCAAAATAATACTTTTACTTATTGTTTTACCTTAAAACAATTAAAAATTAAAATTTTGAAAATTACTTTTTTCATCTATACCTCCTTTAATTGTTTAACTTTATTTTATTATATTCTAATATCAACCTCTGTAATATTTCTTTGCTTAAAAGCTGCACTAATGTATGCAAAGAAAACACAAATTGGCACATTGTATGCCATGGACTGAATATGAACAGGAATAAAGGCAATGTAATACAAATCTATCAATGGCCTCCAAGTGCAATGAAATAATAAAATGTACAATTTTAAATTACTTAACCATGTGGACATGTTTTGGAAACTTTGATATAAATTATAAGAAAAATGTCCCCTAAATACTGAAATTCAGCTTGAAAAAGTTTGTACGCGTTATGACCTGAGATTTCATTCTTCTATGCAGGTCATCACCTGCATTTTCATTGTCATAGGTTGACAGGTATGCATCTTGAGTGTGTGAGGTTCTGGGTATGATCTGCAGCTGGACCTACCGGGTAGCTGGATAAAACCAAAGACTTTTGAGTATTTGCTGCTTCTCCTACAAGCTGAAGCACATTTTACTTGGGAGTATGATTAAACTGAAGACTTGTCAGCATGAATTCATAATAATGTCTTGGTAAGGTAAACGTTATGTCTTCCGGCTGACTATGAGCTTGAGGGGTAGCACATAAAAAATCTGATTCAAAATATCTGTCTAGTACGAAGCGTGGTATATTCATATCTCTTTAACATGTGACAGTCTTAAATATGCATGTATAGTTAGTCAGTGGACGTTAGTCATCAATCAAGTAAGTGACAATCGTCCAGATATGCAAGCCTTCTGAGCATACAATCCTCATGAAAATGCAATCCTCCAGATGATGCAATCATCCTGAATAAACATGTACTTTGCTGTACGAAGTTACACAAACAACAATCAATCAAATGTGCAATGTTTCTTTAATTATAGCAGATCAAATTTATTGCAAAGTGAACTTATATATTGGGTAGTTTCTGTAATGTTATTACATTAAAGTACAACATGAACTTCAAAGTCAATATATGACTGATTTGGTGTTGTATACTGTTGATAGCCTGGAATCTAGGATATTTTATTTATTTTAAAGAAAGCCGTGCATGCATTGTAGAATTTACTGACAAAAAGTAGGCTACTGTTACCTTGAAACAGGTTGTTTAAATGACAACCACTACTTGTTCAAACATTCTAAGGTCATACTGAGGATTCATTATATTTTGTGGAATATCAATTTTCATGGATTTTGTGGATAAAGGTGAACATGAATTTAAATGTTTAACAAAGTACAAATTTTCTATCTGCTTGTATGCTGCAGACTTTGGCAAAACCATGAAATCAAGTATCCACGAAAATACAATTTTTCCTCACTCTACGAAAATTAGAACCCAAGACCATAAATGAATCCACAGTGCTTGAATGTTTAAACATGCTAAGGTCATATGATGGTTTTTTTTTTGCCATGGGGAGGTGGATGGGGTTAGAATGATCTAACCTGCAATTCTTTCCATCACCTACCGGTATACATATCTGGTCCAATAATCATCCATTCTAATATCTCTCTTTTTAATTTATATAAATCTCCACTTTGATATAATTAGGATAAGCATATGAATTTAAAAGCTTTAACATCCATTTTGTATTTAACAACCCAACTTTCCATGAAAAACAGAAATACGTACAAGTTGGATTATATCAGTGCAAAACTCCATTATGTTGACGATTTATATCACTCCAACTGTATTTTTGATTTTTAAAATAAGAATAAAATTACATGTTTTCCAAATATACAACTCAGAACATAAAAGACCTCATATAAACTCAAAGTTTAAGCAGCTTTTCAAAGCACATCTCAACTCAAAAGTACAAAAGTTACCTCCATAAAGTCAAACATATTAAACATAAATAAATAAATCCAAACAGTAGAACACTCCAGATAAAATGCTATAGCCAATATGTTTTACAATGGAAGCATATGTCCATATGTTCTGAAATTCTATAGCTAGGATTATAAAACCAGCAAGGGTTATGTAAACAATCTTTAAGATAAAATCTTATCTAATTTTGACAGATCAGGTTAATTATAAAAATAAGTAAAAATAATCATCTCCAGCTAATCATAATCCTTGATTACATGAAAAAATTAGCAAAATCAGCATTTTGAAATACATTTAAAACACTTATGTAAATATCTTATGTAAGAAGATACATATTGGCTTCCAAACTACAATACATGTATATAAATCATATTTTATTTTCTCAGTTTACAATTATGATTGAAAAAAAGATGTGGGGTATATGTCAATGAGACAACAACCAAACAACACTAAAAAACCAAAAGACATCTAGAGTTCAACCACCTTCACCAAAAAGGTAGGGTTAAATCGAAGTGAACAGAAAAAAATGTCCTTATATATTTCAATGATAATTTAAAACCTGTCCATACGTGATGAAAGCTTTATTTCATTGATATATGCTTCCAA